TACCTTTTGGATTTGTACAGCAAGTTCTCTGGTAGGTGATAAGCATAAAACTTGAGTATCTCTTAATTGAGTGTCAATGGATTGCAGCATAGCAATTGAAAATGTCGCTGTCTTACCCGTACCAGACTGAGCTTGGGCTATGACATCGCGTCCTTTGATCATCGGTTTGATAGCTCTTTGTTGTATAGCCGATGGGCGTTCGAAACCTACAAAAAAACCCCATTGAAATAACACAATATTAGTAATGCATAGGCAAGTAGTATACACAAGTCTTAACGGTTAAGAGACTTACCGTATGAGTAAATACCACGAACGAGATCTTCCCGGAGATGCATATTATCGAACGCAGTGAGTATTTCGACATCTTCACTAGTCTCGAAATCTACGTATGATAAATCTTTAATTAAACCTTCCGATTTGTTTTTTCTGGCTGCCATTTCGAGATTTAATAATTCGCACAGTGTTTTAAATGTTAATTAGAAACTATAGTCAAGATTCAGTAACGCGCACCGGCAACAAAAAAGAACATTAATTAGTGATTTTGATAACATGGATTTTATCGAAGCGTCTGTATCTGTTTATCAGAAGTTATCATAATTTATGACAAAATAAATTTGTTAGTGTTTTATAATTTTTTTAGTATCATACAAATATTTGGTGACATTAAAACTGGCCCCTGAGTATCGTGTCCCCCGCTGTTTCCCCTGCTCGTTATCCATGGGTTCTTAAACTAAATCGTTTAACTCACAATGGCAGCTGCAGCTGTTACAGTGCTGCGGCTTTTAATTTAATTACTTTACATTGTGTGTTCCTTGATAACCTCGATTATCAATCAAAGGAAACACCCAATTGTTTATCTAATTGAATAGCAAGGAATATTGATTCATATTAATATCACTAATTATATCTTAATTCGTAATTAAAACGCTAAACTTTCTATCACGTGGTCATAACATTTTATTTGATAATAGATGTTAACCCGATAATATATCAATGTATTATATTGTACTTAATTAGATATTAATATATATAATAAATAAATTTAATTTGGTATTCAATTTAAGGAACATATTAAAATGTAAAACTAAAAAAAAAAAGCGTTGCCAAATGTTGATAATACCACATAATTTTAATAATACTTTTCTGTCGTCCATAAAACCGAATATTTTATTGATTGATGGTCCGATGCATCGAGTAACAGTCTGATCAGTCATCAAATTTATTAAATTTTATGAGGAACATCGAAAATCATCGGATTGTTCATCTAATTGATAATCTGGCTTGTCGAGGAACACACAAACAGTTCCATTTAATTGTATTATCAAAACATTATTATTTAGGGTTATTGAAATTGAATGATTTCATAGATTTTAATTAATTATAAATATTTTCTTTTTAAAATAATATTCATCTATATTAAAAAGATATATTAAGAATCATAAACATAGAGTATGGGTTCACTAGTTTACTCTACATAATTTGGATGGATTACCTACTGCTTATTATTGATAATTAATGTAGGTATTATTTCTTGCGTTCTAAAAACCACTGGAATTACACCTTCGGCTTCAGTACCAGTGTACCATTATAACATAGAGTAAATATAATAGTGTCTAAAATTTAGATCTTAGATTAAATAAATAGATATTTTAAAAAGAAATAATTTGTATTAGTGTAGCATTGTAAGGTTAAGAAATGTCTAAGCATTTCTTAGTTTTTCCCTGGAAATTATCTAATGTGAAAAAAGTCAACATTAGGTACATTTATTATGAAAAACTTTATCCAATAGTTTTACCATTTTAATACAATTTCTTATAAAACATTTTTTCTTATCTCTTGAGTGCTATCCAATACTAATGTGATAATATTATAGTCTTAAAAATGTATTTTCCTAATTTCAAAATATTGAACATTATTATGTTTAATACATCGTTTGAATCACTTCATTAGAAAAACCATTTGAATATTTAAAATCATCAGCAAGGAAAACCAGCCTTTTCTCGTGCCATTGTTGAACACACATAATATTATACATTCTATTTTTGGTAAACAGAAAAAAAATACAATGTGTATACATTGTACTTTTCATTTTTTTTTTGTTTTTCTCCGACCAACCGTTAGTTTTCTTACCAAAAAAGTTACTGAAGTTAAAAATAAGTTGAATACAATTTTTATTAAAAACAAAAAAAAAATACATATTATACAATCAATATAAAACAATTGTTCTATATGTATAAAACATCAGTAAACAATAATAATACATTCATTGCTATTATAAAAGTATAAAATGCTATTGCTATTATTATATAATTAATAACATTTAATTTAATTAATTATAATATAATAAATAAAATTATTTTTTCCGTGGTTTATTTTTCCAGTGGATTTTTTCACTACATTCCCCATTTGTATAAATAGTCTTTTACGCGATACTGAAGAAATTGTTTTGTTCCGAGCTATACATTAGGGAGTTTGTATAAATTAAAAAACTTTAAATGGTTATATTTTTTAGAATATAATTATTTGATATTATCATCTTTAATATTATTTTGAATACCTAAGTACTGTATTAGACAACCATAATTTCTGCTTATAATTAACCTCCTGTAACCCTGTTTAATTGTCAAGCATTTCTATTTTGTCTAACAATTTTAGCAGAGTACCTACCAAATAAAAAAGGTGCAATTGAGTGCTCAATACTTCGCACATAAGTGTAGCCACTGTTGTAGGTAGAAAGTTTGGAAGGTTGGATACAGATGGGAATTTGATGATTATCTGTAAGCAACGATAAACCATTGCTATCGAAAAAGCTATTCTGAACGAAGTTCAGTTGATAGTGCTGCTTTGTCAACAATATATATCATATTATGGTAAAATAAGCATTTTACCATATTATGCAGTGGTGTATTTATAGCTATGATTTTTTTTCTTTTTAGGATTTAATTGTCTTTTATATTCCTAGTTTTACTAACAAAGAGAGGCAAGAATTCAAAAAACTTGTTGAATTTTATTACCCTAATGTCGATATGATTGATATATGTATGAGTAAATTGCAAATTTGGAAAAACTATATTGAGAATAACATGTATAAAAATGGTTTAGAGGCACTGAAAAACTGTGACAAAGATATTTTCCCCAGTGTATTTTTATTGATGAAAATATTTTGCACATTACCTATTTTAACAAATGAATCCGAAAGAAGTTGTTCAAGCTTAAAAATAATAAAAACCTATTTGAGGAATTCTATGAAAGTGGTAATTTTTTTATTTGATAGGTTTTTTATAGTTTATATTAAACTTATATTTTGATAAGATTAAACGGTTTAGTGAAGTCTATACATCGAGATACACAAATAAAAACTTATGAAACCATAAATGAGCTTGCCTTGAATCCAAGAAAATTAGACATCCTTATATGAAAATAAAGAAATATGTGATTACTGATTAATCTGTCTTTCATATAAAACACAAAATTATTGTGCTAAAACATAATCAAGTTTAATTACTTGATTATGTTTTTTTCATTTTGTAATTTATAATGATTAATTTAAAAAAAAAATTGGATATTTTGGTGGGGGGCATAACCTCCCACGGCTTTGTACGCTAAACTTCTTGTCATCTGCACCCTACAAAAAATCTTATTTACGCTACTGTATTATGCAATAACATTTTTTTTAATAATTTTGTTTAATATTGTAGGTACCTACCTATTTTCAAGTTCTCAGTTTTTTTTTTAATATATTGAAAAACATTTAAAAAGTACATCCTCAATCCGATTTTATTTCAGAAAAAGTGCTATTATTGTAAATCAGAGCAAGTTTTCTGATAGAATAGTTGTACACAGATAAAAAAATAAATATCTGCAAAACCAATATCTACATTCTCCGCTAAAATCTAAAAAATTATGTCAAATAATACATTGATTATATCTATTATATTTACTTCTGGACCAATGACTATGCCAAATGCTAATGTAAGTCCACTTCTCTCGGGGGGGGGTCGTCCTTATCACCCCTCCTCAGGGACTTGCCTGCTTACACATTTTAAAATTTTCATTTATACCGAAAACCCATTTCACCGATTTTTACTTTATTTTATTGAATATTGAATAAAATAGTAGGTACCTATTTAGCAAATTAAAAATATTGGTTAGGTTGTTTATTTGAAGGTTTAATTTCTGGAAAAATAGTAGTCCCTAGGAAGTATTTTCCTTTGGGGTATTTAATACTGTCGGTCAAAAATTTGTCTGCTTAAATATTTCTGGATGAAAATTAAAAGTGTTAGATTGACTTTTTATATCCCTTTCCCCTTAATGGTTTTAAACCTGCAGATAGACATATAATTATTTATAAGTCATTAAACAATAGACTTGATAATTACAAAACAAATGGTAATTGTAAACCAGAGCGGAAACTTAAGATACCTAATTGAACTCGAAAAACTTTAAAACATAAACCTTTTGAAATAGATATTCACTGATAAGTAACTAGTCTGATAAAAAACTTATCTACCCATATCGTCTGATAAAAATTTGTCTGGGAATTATTGTAATTTTTTAGTTTTATATTAACAATTTCAATACTCAATAAGTCGATAACAACATTTCAACAACAATTATACAAATTACAGTTTTCACAACCAATTAGTTTATTATTATAAATTATAATACTTCATTGTGTAAACAGTGAACAGATACAACAGTAGAATAGGTGTACATTTTTTTGTTTCTATAATTTTTATGTTTGGTGTATATGTATTTGCTTTAGACAGAAAATGAGTTTGACTTATAAAGAATTTATTGATTATGCTTTGGATTTTAAAAATCATTCAGACTCAATTGATGATGATTGGAATATATGTGAACATAAAAATCCTATGGTAAAGTAATATTCATTTTTTATTTTATGAACACAAAAATAATAAAAAACACCTATAGATACATTAAAACTTTAAATATTATATTTAGTACTGCAAATTGTATTACAATAAGTAAACATGTAATATCCTGATAATGTTTTGTTTTTTGTTATAGAATGGAAGTACTGTAATATATTTGGCTAAAAAAAAGATGCAAACATTTAAAAAAACTTCACTGAACTCAAATCAGTCTGGTTGGTTTATTGATTCTTTCTTGTACCTACATCATAATGATGGGTATTAAAGAAAAATAAAATGTTTAATTAAATTTGATTATAAATATTTTCTTTACTATTTAATTGAAAATAGGCACTTGTTTTTCTAAGTAGAGGGAAACATATTTAGTTATTCGATTTATAATTATAATTTTTTTTACCTTAACAACTATACAGAACTTTAATAGGTATTACTTTAAAAATTTAATATAGAATTTCAAATTTTGCTCAAGAACATTTATTTTTCCAAATAAGATTATTATCACAATGTACATTTAAATATTAAAAATCAATAATATATACTGGCATGTTCTAATGTAACGTTTCAAAAATAGTATATTACCAAAAAAAAGTGTCCTCTTTGTTATAAATTTATAATTGGAAAGTATTACTAAAATACCATGTATACTTTGTACCTTTACTACTTATGTAACTAGTTGCCTTGTTATACTTTAAATAAAGTATTTCTCTTGTAGAGTTTCAGGGAGAAAAAAATATTTATCCAGTTATGTGTGAATATCATATATTATATAATTCAAGCTATTCGTGTCCTGACATGTTTTTCAATATGTGGTATACAGGTAAACTAAGTAACAATTTAAAAATTATATCAATTATTACACTATTGAGGAAACCATATTATATTTTTTTATTCAGATGGAAAATTATTATCATTGGAAGACATATGGTCTATGGTTCATTCAATTTTTAAACAAAACATAGAACATGATAAATGGAATTTTATTACACAAAAGGTTTTTTATTTTTTAATTGCAATCTCAGGTAAATAGTTATTTAAAAATGTAAGTAATCAATTTAATATTATTTTAGGAACATTTATTAAACAACAAACCATTTTTTAGAATACACCCTTGTCAGAATACACATGTTTTAAAAACATTGGGTTTTTCTTCAGAAAATATATATAAGTAAGTCAAAAAATAACAATTGTTTTTTTTTCTGTTTAAAAGAGTTAAGCAAATTAAATTCCATTACTTAAAATTACTACTGTGGCCTATGTTTATTATTTAATTACTATATTTTCTTTTATAGCTGTGCTCTTTATTCATATAGGCAGAACCATGCCTAGGGGGGGTGCGAGAAGTGTTCATGGGATCCGAATGCCCAGCAGACAGGTTGAGCCTTATTTTTAGCTCATCGGAATAAATTTTTCTGGCACTAAGTGTAAATTTTGCTGGGCATGGTACTGCATATAAGTGAAGTCTGCTACTCTTATTCTTACCATCTACATGTCCCTCTATCCTTCACTATGTTTTCTATGTTTCTTCTTTGTTTACCTAATATGTCATTATAATATAATTTTTATTCTATTCATACATAAATTTCTGAATACAAAAATAAACAAAATTATCAAATTTAACTACTTATAAAAAAAAAAAAAAAGAAATAATAATAATTGACTGTCTTGTCCTATGCGTTATACCATATTTTACTACTCTACAGCAATATTTAAATAATATCTTCTTATAAGAAATGGATGATGTTATAATGTATATAAATGTTATAGTGTTTTATTATGTTAAAATTATTGTACTGATATTATCTTGTTATTCATTAACATTCATTTTTATACGAATATAAAAATAATTAGAAAAAAAAAATTGTAATATTATTAGGTATGCAACAAAATACCTTCCTTGGTTATTGTTGCACAAGCTGAATGGGTCTTCTGTAGTTTCTTACTCTTAATTCTTCATTTTGTATATCATAAAATTATTTTGCTGAAATTTTGAAATGTCAAGTATTAACTAAATATACAATCAAAAATAATATATTTTATATAAACTCATAGATTAAAAAATAACAGTGTATGGAGAGAGAGTGCTAATCTTTATTATCATTAAATCATAATAATAAAGATATAAATAGCATGTTAGCCTAGTAATCAATATTATTGATGAATAATATTAAATTAATACTTATTTTTCAGGTATAATCCTTTAATAACTTGGTTAAGTACTATTAATTCATTTATCGGCCTGGAACTTCCGGAATCATATGGATGTATAAATTCAAATTTTTTACCTATATAACTCATATTCATATTAGAGAAAGGCTATTCATTTTGTGGAAATATAAAATTTTAATTTGAGAAATGTATTATTTATGTCATAATTATTAGAACATATTATTGATAAAGGTTTTTGTAATATTTGCCTAATAAATGAGCATGTTGTAACTTTGTAAGTATTGAAAAAATTACTTTGGAATGCCTTAAAAAAATATATATGTAACTCAGAAATTATCAATGACTTTTCAAAAGTAATATCATAATTTTGGAAGTCTTCAAAAGAGAAAATTAAAAATTGACTGTTTAAGAAGCCTAGAAAATTTGTCAATAAAGTATAAATGTAATTTAGCATTGCTTATTGGTCTAAAATGTATGAAAACTAGGTGTGTTTCGACTCCGTTAAATTCATTTATTATATAAATATAATTGAAAAATACCAAATCTGACAAAGCCTATAATAACAATTTTAGGTATATTTATGACAAACATATGTGTAATAATATTGAGTATATGAGACCCATAAAAAACCACATGACGTGCTTGTCTCATGGCTATGAATATCAGTATATAACATTCACTGAATCATTTTAGATTCCAAGCATAGTGAGAAATGTATTGGTTTTACAATGATATTTATTTATTTTTTCTTCTTTTAGATTTTGAGTGGAGCAAAGAAGCTCATGGTTTTGCAAAGATGTTTTTTTTTATCTGTGGAGAACTTTTCTACCAAAAATCTTACACTGATCTTAAGTGTAGCACTTTTTCTTAAAAAAAAACTTAAACTAAAAAAGGGAGGTGCTTTAGGTTTAAGGAGTTCGTTTTTAGATTTTCCCCAAGTTTTTCTAGCAAATGTGAAAAACAGAGAAAAAACATGAGGAAAACCAGGAAAAACATAGAAACCGGAAAAATCAATACAATATTAAACAAATATTAAAGAAAATATATAATGCCTATTTAATTATTTTACCATAATATGTCATATATATATATATATTGTTAGTGATGAGCATCACTATTAAATGAATTCCGTTCAGAATTGTTTTTTCAATAGCGAAGTTTTATCATTACTTACATATATACATTAAATTCTCTTCGTTATCTTACCTTCCCAACTTCCCACCTACAAAATTGGCTGCACCCGTCTCCATAATCATTTTTGACACTCTGACAAGTGTGAATTGGGCTTTATGGTAGGATTTATAAATATAATGTTTTTGAGCAAAAAAACGGGTCACACGCAAGCCCCTCAAGATCATCTGTCTTCAGGAAGACTTAATAGTCTTGCAGTTCTAAATATAGAAGGTATTCTCACAAAGTTTGAATTACACAGATGTGATAAAAAAATAAAACTGCAGCAAAACAAGTAAGAAAAAAAAACTGAAACACAATGTAAATATAATATATTATTCTGTTCTCTGTTATTATAATATTATTTACCCTTCACTGCATTGGCCTGTTATTTTTTTAAATTCTGAGGGGAACGAAGAATATATTGGTTTTACAAAGATGTTTACTTTTTTTTTTTGTTAACACTTCTTCTACCAGAAAACTTACTCCGATTTATATGATTTAGCACCTTTTCTGAAAAGAAATTTTCTCGGGGTGGCACTATAAGGAAGTCACTTTTGGATTTTCCTGGCAGTTTTCCCAATAAAAAGTAAAAAGTAAAAACCGGAGGAAAAATGCGAAAATCAGCACAATATTATTAAGAAAATATATAATGCCTATTTAATTATTTTACCATAATATGACATACATATTGTTGACAAAGAATCATTATCAACTGAACTACAGTCAGAATCGTTTTTAGTAAGCAATGACTTATCGTTGCTTACAGGTGCAAATTAATTTTCCCTCTATATCCTACCTTCTCACTTCTCACCAACAGCAGTGGCTGCATTCACCGTGCGAAGTATGCCCGTCCTTTTTAATTTTGTGTGTATACTGTATAATATATATATAGTGACCATAACACTAATTCCAATGTAATTACTTTTAGATATACTATGAATTGTAATAGTTTCGTATACAAAATAGGAAAGGGAATTGGAATTGCTTATGCACACATCTGAATTAATATTGTTTCTCATATTTATAGAATACTAACTGACCCGGCAATCCTTCGCCATTGCAAGATTTCTCAAATATTAATTTGCTATTTATTTTCTGGATGATTATTTTTATTTTAGACCACTTTTAGTCACGTCTCCGTGGTAATGTAGCCATATAAATTTAGCGTCGCCATCGCGGATTCTTCATAATGTTGAAAAAAACTTGGGTTGTGTCAATAGAAAAATTGATGCTAATTGCCAATTTTTTTTATTTATTATAACATACAGAAATATACAGAAACTTTTAATATTTATTTTATCATTCGTTGCTTGAAATTCGCCATTGCCTATTAAAAGTAAATCTTGACAAAATTTATATTATCTTGATCTGTACATATCATTTTCATATTAGTTTTTAAGTTCTAATATTTTTATATAAGGCCATAAGTAGGATCTTTTCAAAGACGTGCGATAAACTTCTCGGAACAACGCCGATATCAAACACAATACAAAAAGGTCAGGTTGCAGGTAGCTGGAAACCCGTGGGCCGCCGTGCCACACAATATGTACAATAATATATATAGGTATACAATTATTTTAATTAATAATAACTAATTATTAATTAACTTTATCGGATTAAATTTATGCCTAAAACCTGCTCTATGATGTCCTCTTTAATTTTAAAAAAATTGCACGACGATTGAATAAGTAGTCTCGGAGTTTATCCCGAACAAAAAAAAGCGACTTTATTCTATATAGTAGTATAGATGCATTGTAGAACAGAAAACCGTGTGCGGAGGTTCGGGGCACATTTTATAGAATATTTTCGGCACAGATTAAGATATACATATACATAATGCAACCGACGGCCGAAACGCAGGAAACAAACGATAAAGATGTTATTTTTAGATTACCAAATTACAAATAACAGCAATGTATACAAATATAAAAAAATAATACCATCAACAAAATGTAATAATATTATAAAAAGATATTTTAATTGAATTTTAACAATATTTGACCTTGAACGTTGAATTTAATTTGTTTATTTACCCGTAACGTTTTACAACTGAAAGTGTAAGCAACGCAGTGTAAACGTTGCATATATGCACGCCACGCCACTGTAGAGGAATGAAAAAGTATAATACTAAACGTCAATAAAAACAAGACTAAATATCTAATTGTATTATGGAAGTAACATAGCCAAGATTCAATTTTGATGGGAGATAAGACAACTAAAAAAGTGCCGGACTTTAAATATCTCGGGAGCAGATGTGAATAAAAGGGCAAATAGCGATTAGGAAATCAATTGTATCCTAATAGCAGAGAATAAGTGTTATTACTCACTGGTACCGCTGTTTAAGTCAAAATTACTATCAAGGAAAACAAAAATTATGTTACGCAAAACCCTAGTCTGGCCTATTGTATTATGTGCATGTGGGATGTGGGTATGAGCGAAAATAAACTAATAACATTTTAGAGAAAAATATTAATATTAGTTTTTGATAAGACATTAAAAATAAAAACATAGTATTATCAATAACACAAAACAAATAAGAAAAAAACTAAATCATTAGGAAGTTAAAAACAATATTTTATTTTTGACATACAACAAAACCTAAAACAATTATATAAATAATCTAAAATCTTTAGTTACAATTAGTTGACATATATATATATATATATATTATAATGGTTTATATTTAATGCACGCACAAAAAAAATTAAAATTTTTGATAAGGGATCAATTATATTAATAACATAAAATATAGTCATAATTGTTTTAAAATTACTATTTAATTTCACAATTTAATTAAAATTCGCAACATAAATTACTACACATGTACATTCAAATTGCCTAAATATAAAATTACGACATTAATCATTTCTTTTCAAGGATTTATAGTACAAAATAAAGTAAGTATAATAAGGTTGATTTAAAAAAAAAAAAAAAAAATATATATATACAATAATTAGCTATGTTAATACAATAATTTTGTTCAGATATTCAATTTCAAATAAAGTTATATTTTTTCAAAAGTGCATAAGTACTTTAGAAATCATTTAAAAGACCAAATAATTTAAGTTAGATTTTTAATCCATTAATTTTTCTAAGTGTTGCATTATATGCATATAATATACAGTTTGTAACCTATTATACATAAAGATAGAACTCAGAAGTTGTTGCATTTGCATATTTTTTTGTGGGCAATTCGATTTAATACTAAATAATTAAAAAATTAATTTAAGCACATAAAAACAAAAATATAAAATTTTATGAGCATATTTCTTAATTTTATCATTTTTGAGAGCATATATTTTGATTGATGGTAATACAATATTTCAAAATTTGTTGGTAAAACAAAACATAATATATTATTTTGATAGTTTTCATTAGATATATTGTTTTATGCTTTAAAATTCTGTTCTTATTAATAAATATTAACCTACTTCACTAATTTACTACTACATAATATATAGGAATAATATATAAAAAAAAAAGCTGCAAATACAATAATGTTCTATAGATTTTTTTTGAAATAATCCAATGACTACCATTGATTATATAAATAGATCTACAAGCCACCCAATATTATTAATACAAATCAAAATTTACTAATATCTATTCGTGGTGGGAAAAAGTAAAAATATATTTAAAATCTGAGATTTTGAAACTTTGGTTTTGCATTTTTTTTGATATTTTTATTCAATTAAAAAACTAATTATAATTATACATTTATTTAGTATAAATATAATATAGGATTAATATTATATTATAAATTATCTGATTAAAATGTATTATAATTTCACTAAGTAAAATTACCAAATAAATATAAAATATGGGTAAAAGGTGGCTGCTGGCAAGTATATTATAAATATATAAATATTTTTTTTATAAAATTATTTAATATACATTTTAGATTATGATCATAGGGATTTATCAAAAAATACATAATAAATTTAAAAAAAAAAAAAAAAAAAAATAGGATTTAGGTATATCACATAACTAATACCTATATGTATTTTTTTTTTTTTTTAATCATTTTTGTACTTTAGTGTATAATTATAAAGGTATCATAATGCATATCCATCAAATGTTGTGTAAACAAATAAAATAAGTTAAATTTAGTACTTTTTAAGAACATTAAGTTCTGAGTCCTACATATTATAATATATATTATGTTGTTAAATATAATAAATTAAATTAAATACGTAAATATTAATTTTAGGACTTAAGATATTGAACTATTATGGAAAATAATTTAAGTTATACAAAAATTGTTCCTTTCATTAAAGATGAAGCAAAAACAAACAAATATGTAATTAATAATTATAATACATATTACATTAGTTTAAAAAGTATCCAATAATAATGATAATAAAAAAAAGAGAACATTGTAATAAATTGTTTTATATTTTGCTATTTATTAATATAGTATTAATGGGTATAAATGTAAGCCAATAATAATAGTAAAATAAAAATATCATGTCAAATGGATATAAAATTGTCGAGCTAATAAAAAACCTTAAATGTTCAACAAAATACAGTAAATTAATAATAGTCTTCAGTCAATAAACTTCGGACATTATTAAATTTTATAATACACAATCAAAAAGAAAAAAAAAGCAAAAGAGATTTCATATGTTTTTCTCAGAGAATTTTAAAGTCAAAAACCATAATCATATTAGGACATATATGTTATAACCCACATTTTAAATCATATATGTACACATATAACATATAAATATACACAAAAAATATGTATATACACATACATGAAAAATATGTTATGAATAAAGGCTATCACTGTTATCAATCATTACTCTTTGTGTCAACCAAAAAACAAAGTCTTTGAATAAAATTTGTTTTTTTTTCTACATTAACAGATTGATCAAATGGTAAATGTATTAAATGTTTTTCAATGATCTTTTTATCCAAACCAATCACAGGTCTTTGAACTTCCTCAGTGTCCGGCTCTATTAAAATAACATTTCTAATAAACAAACTCCATTGCATTACTACTCTATTTTCGGTTGTTGGTCGCACTTCTTCTGCACGTTCTATCATATTTGCTATTAGCGATATTCCAAACTACCAAAAAAGTGAAATTTAAGACTATTTTATGAAAAATTAATTTTTTTAAGTTAAAAATATTCCAATATACTTTGTTTGCCAGAATGTTTAAAATAATCACAAAAAATTAAAAGGTGCAAATACTTACAACGCTAATGACTACACACGAAAGGTTTTTCATTAAATATTCTGCAATTTGATTCAATTCTGCAAGACATAAACAAAATATCCATTGTCTTATGTATGGTAAAAATAACAGCAACAACTGGTCCTCACTATCTTTTGATATAATAGCACAAATTGATGGGCCGAAAAATTCACTCCATAAAAAAGATGGATTTTTAAGATGTGGCAGAATTCTGTGTACTAATTGCTGAAATAATGTGTTAGAAATTGTTAAAAATTAAATTTTTACTATCTATCACAAAATCAATATTTATCTACTAACATTAGAAAAATAAATTATACTTAAATTGAAGTAAACTTTTAATTCGTTGTATTTATTACCTTTCCTTTTCGAACTGTAACATAAGATACTAAATTATTTAAATGGCTGTTTAAAATATCTGTTAATTCATCAATATATATCTGAACAGTTGGCATGGCTTGGCTTTTGTTCCGTATCGCATAATATGTATGCTCAATTTTTAGTAGAGGTATATACATCTGAAAATTATACAGTATTAAAATAGAGAAATAATAATTAAAACATGCTTCTAAAATTTCAAACAACTAACATGTTCTATTTCTAAAAGAATTTGTCTTGAATTTTTTTGGGCAATCACAGCACGATTTATTGTTGGAGGGGGTGGCACAAAATTTAAATTATTTGTCTCGATATCAATCATCTTTCTTGGTGTAATAACATTGCCAATCTGAAATATAATAGTAATACTACAATTAATAAACATTGAAAAATATATTTAATTTAATGATAATTTTATAAAATTGAAATCATAATTAATTAAAAAAGTTTATTAATATTCTAAATAATATAATTTGTATGATTATTATGTACCAGCACTTTTCCTAAAGAATTTTCAAATTGTAGTTGTGTATATGAATTATTAAATTTTGATTGTTGATCAGTTTTTTGATGGCCAGCATTATTGTTGGTTTTCATTCCACTGTTGCCATAATGACGTTTTTGATACATCTGTAAATTTAAAAAAGCATTTTAAATTAATTTTTTTTGGAATCATAAATATTCTTTGTAGTAGTTAGTTTGGGAAAAACAATAAAAATAAGTGTGGTTTGGATATCCAAAAACAAGAAACAATAAGTGAAAATCATAAATCCTACTACCTTAGGCAACAGGTTATGAAAAATATACAGCTACCTTAAGGTATCATAAACTTTCACCTTTCTTACCCCTGATAAAAATAATTATACAGTTTTAAAGACCAATAATTATAGTGAACTACTCTTAGTTTGCTAAGGTTTGAAATATTAGAATGATAAGTGCACCCATTATTATTAGTGAGAAATTGAGAATGTAGGATATAGAGGGAAATTAATTTGTATCTGTAAGCAACAATAAACCATTGTTTACTAAAAACAATTCTAAACAGAGTTCAGTTATACATGTTTTGAAAGGTGGTAATAGTTAAAAGTTATGGTTTTCTAAATTTAATATTACAATTCTTAAAAAAAAAAAAAAAAAAACACCTTACATTAAACTCAACTTTTTTTGTTGACCATTAAGTACAACTTATAATGAATCTGTTAAATATCCAAGCATTTTTGTTTGTTCTAAAAATAAAAAACTCACAAACTTAAAATGTCTATAAATAGCTCAAAAATGACTCAAGTGTTTTGAAATTTTTACCACATCTGGAAATGATAAACATAAGATAATAAAACATTTTTTTTTTTTTAAATTTTCTCTTTTTTCTATGTTTTCCCCAATTTTTCCCAATTACACAAGAGCAAGATTTCTGTTAGAAATATTTTTACACAATAAAAAAAAAAGAATTAAAAATAAACATCATTGTAGAACCAATAAATACATTCCTCGCTTTTTTCAGAAACTAAAATAAATGAAAATGGTTGCCAATAATAACTTTATCTTTAATCTTTTAATAATTTAAAAATGGATCAGTTTTTTTTGTTATTACGAATATTGAGAATTTAAAAAAATTACATTTCTAAAGTACTATCTAGAGCTAAAATGTAACAAAAAAGGTCTCTTGTCATGTTTTGATTGGATCAAGAGTTTTAGCAGAAATTATTTTGATAGGTTCCTGACAGTTTTTTTGTACTAACTATTAGGAATCTAGAAAAAAAGTTTCATATAAAGTACTACTAGGCAAAAAATCAGTGAGGTATTACATAGATTAAATTTAAAAAAATTGGTAAATCAAAGTGATTTCATAAACAAAATCTTAAACAATTAAATAGACATTATATATTTTCTTTCATAATATTTGTTTAATATTGTATAGATTTTCCTGGTTTTTTCCTAGTTGTTCACACTTGCAGGGAAAACTCTTGGGAAAATTGAAAAATGATTTCCTTAAAGAACCTTCCCAGTCAGATTCCTTTTAAGAAAAAGTACTATCATTGTAAATCTGAGCTTAACTAGAATTTTAGTAGAAAAGTTGTGCGCAGAAAAAAATAGGCCATAATATTTTTTTACTAATGCCTACATTTTATCCAGGGTTTTCCCAGATATTATGAAAACTGCTTGAAAAATCAAAAAATGACCTCCTTTAAGTACCATGTAGATAAAATTTCCTTTCAGAAAATAAGCTACACTTAATACATTAGAGCAAGATTTCTGGTAGAAAAGTTTGCACAACAAATCAAGGGGTATTTTGATATTAACATAGTCCCAGTGATGGCTTGGGACTCTAGGTACACCCAAAATGCATTTGTTATTTCTGTGTTTGGATAAAGGGTAAAAAATACAAACAATTTGTGGAACTTGGGTTGTATACTATCTACACCAAAATATATCAACAGTAACTATAATATGAACATCTGAAAATGATTTTTAATTCTTATTATTGTTAAAACAAAATGTTGCACAAAAAAAAACTTGAATGGAATAGATTTAATGTTCTGTATCAGTTAGACCATACATTTGTATGTATATATATTTCTATATCAGTGTTTTAAAGGCTTGACACATCTGGTGTAAAGGATAAACTAGTTTTTCCAGAAATCAGGTTTGGTGGGTACCATATACATAATTATACCTAAGTCAAAAGCATACTATGTCGGACTAACATTTATCATCAGAGTCAACATAGATAGAAAGGTATTGCCATTAGACTATAACAAACATATTAAATTTGACAATATAAAGTTATTTTCCATAGCATAATATCCGTATAATATCAATATTATAATAATAATCAACCATTCAATATTACATTATATACATAATAATAGTATTTGTATTGTTATTAAATAATTTATAATGCAGACTTTAAAATATCATGGCATTAAGACCAAATAAACAATGTGTGATCTAAAAAGAGAAGCATAAAGGCGCGAAAAGACACATTACAAAACTAAATAACACACAAAAACATATACACTAACCGTAAAATAATAATCTTCTTCTAATGGATTATTATGATGGAACTGTATAGTTTGTATTCCAGCTAACCAATGTTTTTCTCTAAGTGTCATAAAACCAGCTCCATGATCTTGATAATTTGTTCTTTCTTCTGTGAAATTTTTCTGAAAATATATCACCCTTTTATAATATTAACAAAAATTAATAAAATATAAATAGTTTTAAATTTTAATAATATATTTAGTAAGAAATTCAAATTTTAAACAATAAAACCATTGGACATCTTAAACAGGAAATTTTTTTTTTTTTCAACTCACCAATTTATTATAATTTTGATAGCCCACAAAATTGTTCATTTTTTTATAATTGTTTAGGTTCCTTTGAAAATTATTCCTTGAAAAATCTGAAATTAAAAACCAGTATATATTTAAATTAATTTCATTTCAATTTCAATTATTTATTTAGTTATAAAATATATTATATAGTTTTAACATTCTACTAAAATATTTTTCATTTTAAATAAAATTATTTCTGTTACTTGTTGCTTTAGTTCAAAACAATTTTAAATTATTTAATTTTTTTAATAAATACAAATTGTATAGTTATTTTAATAAAATAAATTACTAACTAACTTTAAGACAGATCCAACAAGAAATAATTATAAGTGATTCTTAATAAAATCCAAAATTATTACTTTTTGGTGTATGTACTGGGGTTTGTAATTGTAAACTATACTGAGGAGGGGCATTTTGTTTATAATATGGATAAAGAGCTAAAAATCCTTGAGTCACTTCCTCCACAGGGTTACTGTAAGTTGGTCGAACTTTAACAGCATCAATCTGTAAATAATTTTTAATGTCATTATTTTAATAAATTAAAATAGATTTACAATTCACAAGCCAAGATCATAAATTGTGAAAACATTTATAGTGCTTATTGAAATTATGACAAATTTTTACAACAATTTAATATCATTTCTTTTACAAATATTTTGTTTTAAAATAATTTTTAAAGAATATTTCAATCAAATTTTAGTATATTGATAATCCTTTTCTACTAATAAATAATACTACATATTTGTAATCAAATAAAAAAATACCATTTGTCTTTCCAAGTCAGTAACACTTATGGCGGGAGAAAAAAGTTTTTGAGGAGGTTTAGTCAAATTATCTTCTAAACGTCCATGTATATCTCTGAACCCTGGAGGGGCATTGAACACATTCTATGAAAAAAATAATTTTTAAAAATCTTCAAAATTATTATAGATGGTCATATTAGTTTCTTTTGTTGATTTATTAACAAAAGCTAATTAGCCATGCGTTTATGCTATAAAAAGTAACCTAACATATTATTATTGAATTCCAACAAGGATTCAAACTATAATATGTATAATACTCATTAGTCTTAGACAAAACTTTTTATAAATATACACATATATATTCATATATATTAGAAGCAAATAAAAGTTGGAAAATGTGCATGCTATATTTTCTTAATTATTAAAACTTTAAAATTTCCAGCTTTATTTTAACATTTTTATGGACTGTTATAAATAAAAATATAATATATTTATGAGTAACTATTTTAATGATCATGCACAGTTCAGTTATATTAAATGAATATACCTAATTAACTAATAACTAAAGTACTTCTGAGTTTATTACAATAAAGTATAAAACTCAAAATCCATAAAACTGTGAATTTATTAATATAAATATTATATGTATATATTTTTATGGTTTTATTTAAAAAATCTTAAAAATATAAAATTAATTACTTGTAATGGAAGGATTGATTCTAGAGTTGGTCTAACTGGAGCACAATGTTGGTTAACAAAATTGAAATTATGTTGATATTGGAAATGCTGTTGAAACTAATTCCAAAATAAATAATTATTAACAGTAAACCTTCAGTTATGTTTAATATAGTGATTAAATTTAAATGTATTCAAAATAACTACTATGTACACATGTATTACACAGAATCTGTCATAGAAACCAGGGATGGAGGAGGTTCTTAAGCACCAACAACTTAACTTCAAGCAGCCCTAGATATCATATCATAATTTTAAATACCAAAACTTCCAAAAATTACTTAATTCATTAATAATTTTATGAACACGGATTATGAAAATAGTTAACTATTTATACATCATTATAAGACAAATATTAAGTAAATAATTAATATCTTTTAATAATTTTAGATTTTGAGTGAAGTGAGGAATGTATTGGTTTTAATGCTTTTTTTTTTTTTTGCTTCAATGTATGTGTAACTAAATTTTGCGCGCATTCACTACTAGGGCACTCCGCTATACCTTATCTGCAGTCTACATGTGCAATTATCTATGCTACTGGTTGTGTTATATAGGAATCGGTTGGGGTATAAAGATTACAGTCAGTGATATAACAAAGTGATATAAAACTGCAATACTGAACATTTTAGGAATACTGACTATTATCGGTCTTCCCCATAACCCTTCATTTGTTTAATATTGTATTTATTTTCCCATTTATTGAGAAAATCAAAAAATTACCTTAATTAAGTACCCAAGAAAAATTCCCTTTCAGAAAAAAAGCTATACTTGATACCTAGAATTAAGATTTCAGGTAGAATGTTTGTACATAGTATAAAAAAAATTGAACATCTTTGTAAAACCAATACAAATTCTTTTCTACATTCAGAATCTAAAATTTAATATTATACAATACAATTGGATTTGGACTCTAGTTATGTCACTGATAGAAACCATATATTTTCAATTGTCTAATATGGCTAGGCGAAGTATTGACTTTAGGGAATAGGGTGTTCATCTCTCACAATCTGAGGTCAACTGCTAATCCATAACAGTCAATCATTTTTCGGGTGATGGATCCTGTATAACTTATATTAATTAAGACAATTTAATATACATAGTATGTCCCATAAACATGTTGGTCATCTACAGTGGGCTAAGAGTCAAAGAACACCATTCTACTATTCTGGGCACACGCTACTACTACCAATAATGCAACAGTAACTGGCCAATATGCTATACAAATAGCAGTTTTAGTGTTTAGTAATTTTTTTTTTTGTCAAAATAGAGATAAATGGATCAACTGAATAAAGAATAACCATCAAATTCCTCATAAAACTTGTAAAAACCCATCTACAAAGTCATGAAATATTAAGTACTGTTTATGGAGATAGAGCTTTAAGGAAAATAGCTCTTTTTAAGTGAATTAAGCGCTTCCAAGAGGACCGTAAAGACTGCAAAGACAATATGAAACCTTCAATCATTTGTGACAACCAAAACATTGGACATGTGCAGTCTCTTGTGCTTTCTGATCGAAGAATGACTGTTTACATGTTGGCTGATATGTTGAGTATTGGAAAATCATCTATGCACAATATTTTTGACAGAAAATTTTAGGACTGAAAAAATTGTGCGCATAAATTGTCCTTAAGCTTCTGATACACACACTGGATCAAAAATTGAGGCCAAAAGAGTAAATACTCTTAATTATCTTGAAAGGATTATCACTGGTGGTGATAAGTCATGGTTTAATGAGTAGGGCCTTGAACTTAAACTTGCTCTGGCACAACTGGGATGATGTAGAAACCATGAAGTGCGAAACAACAAGACAGCTGAGGACTTTTAGGGATGTTTTGATCAATGAAACCAATGAGATAAATGCATTGCTATGGAGAGTATTTTGAAGAGGATACAATTGATGTATAGTAAATTATGATAAATAAAAGTATTAATTTAAAACTTTTTATACTTATTGGACATACTACATATATAAATTATGACAATGACAATTTATTCTGGATTCCTAATTTGATTACCAAATGATATCATTAGTACTTGTTATAATTCCCATGGTTAATTAGGTAATGTTATGGAAACCCTTAAGGTGCAATTCCTATACTCACAAATCATGTAGTGAACAGTTAGTAGTCTTCAAATTTATTTTATTTATTCTAAGTTTTAGTTTTCTAAAGGTTTTTATTCAATTTAAACAAAAACCAAAAATTAATTATAAATCTACAAACGCAATGAGACTTATAAGTTCCACTAGTGTTGAGTCTTCTTTTGAAGAAAACAAAATTTTGTAATTTATAAGGATGTGATATATTGACACAAAACAAATTAATATAGGTACATACAATAAGAAACATACAGTAAATAACATTCATAATAGTGCCATGGCCACTGTTATAGAAATAAGTTTCATTTCCTAACTACAAAACTATCTAGTGCAACATAGCTGGAACTTGAATCAGGCCTCGTTGCTGCAGGTCTATAGACATATATGTAAGAAACACATTTGTATTTATTTGTGAAAACAAAAATAAATGTATTATATGACCCCATGATGACAGCTAAGAACATTGATGTTGAAGGGAAATGATAACATGTACTATGCAAGGGTATAATTTCTTTAACATATTAGATGTTATCAACATTTACTAAGTGTCAACATTTTTGGAAATATATATTTATTATATAACTTACTGGACTTGGACCAGGAATTTCATAATGGTGATTATATGTATTAATTTGCATCTGCAGCTCTCTTTCAAGCTCTGGTAATGTTTTTAAAGGCTGAGTGAATACATTTGGCTCTGGTGGTTCCTAATAAAAATGATATAAATAGTTAATCATATTGTTATTTTATTAACACTTAAACTTACACGTTCATGAGGCCAACGATTTTTAGCAACTTCATCAAATTTTACATATTTTTCATGACCAGTTTCCCAGTCCCCGTCTGTTCAAAAATAGCAAACCATATATTGTAAATTATACATTGAAATTATAAAATGTACTTAATAAATTATTATAATGCACTCATAGATAGAACTACAGCCTAGGCCAAGGCCCAGGCTAACTGTGCACCTTATTAATCTATTAAGTATAGATAATAAATAAAATTAACATTTTCAAAAACAAATGTATATATCTTGTTTTATTTTACAATAACTGGACAGGGGTCCTATACATAATTATAAATAATGCAGAACAGAAATAGTGAATCATTAATAATAAATTGAATATAAAATAAAAGGAAAAGAACAGTAAAAGACAAAGTATTATATAAGATAAATGCAATTAACAAGAATCAATAAATTTTATCAAAAATGTATGAATTACCAGCAGTAATTACTAAGTTAACAGAGGAAAATAAAATAAAATTTTTATTTGAAATTATTTTGTGAAATGGTTTGAAATATCTTGTATTGAGGCAATTGGATTTAAAGTTAATTAAAGACGGCAACTGATGACAATGGATAGAACCTAGTAAAATTTTTTTGAGAAACTTGAGAGCGATATAATGAAAAATCAAGAAAATTTAAGACAGTGTTAAGAAATTAAGAAATAAGTTTAATTTTAGAATCAGAGATATAATATAAAGAGTTAATTCAATTTTTCATTGGATAAAAATGCATATATTAAGATTTATTAATATTGCACTATGCAAGCAAGTTATTGATACCTAATTTAAGTTAACTGTATCTTGATTAGTTTTTATAACAGATTATAAATATTAGAATATTAGAATTAGTGATGACATTAGGAAGATCATTTATAAATTTATTAAAAACCTTGAGGAATACCTTATTATGTATTAATGTACTTTATACATATTTAAAAATATGTAAAAGGGTAAAATATCATTATTTGTTTCTGAATACAAAAATAATTTTTATTATTTAGCCAAAATTAAAATTAGTCTGTTTAATCAAGTATTTCAACATTCTATTTATTTTTAGAAAATTAGTTAGAAATTAAATCTTTTTGTTTAGCAATGAAATAAATATAATTAGATAGCTGTTTCTATAAGGGAAATTATAACAAAATTTCATAAATATGTGAAGAACATAGAGTAAACATAGTACCATCAGTTAGACCTAGAAAAGTACATAGGCATATAAATGATGAAAACAGAAAAATCAGTACATATATATGAGACCAAAAGGTATAAAATCTGTTTAATATACAGGTAAACTGTATCCTGTACATGACTCCTTAATTCATCAATTGAATGATTTTATTTGATTTTGAATTAATTTTATTATATTTGTGGAGCATTGTGGTACTAAAAAAGGACCATTATTTCTTTAGTTGAATGTTGAAATTTTAAAGTTTATCTTGGTAAATTCTGGACAGGATAATTTACCATTTATTCATTTATGTACAAAAGCTATAACAATGTCATTTTATAACCTTCTAGAGGCCAATAATTCTACACCAAATTCTACAAGCCAAGGTATCTAGGGGGACATCCATTATAATTAATTTGTATGCCATCATCCTTGAAAAAGGTCTTGGAGTTTTTCAAGTTTAACAATTAGGTAATTTTTTTTAGGATTCCAAATTACTGACCTAACAAGAGAGCAATATAACACTTTAGGACAATTTATGTTTTTAAATTCGGTTTATAAAAATATAAAATTATATTTCATCATTTCATTAAAATGCTAAAGAAAGTTAATTTCTAAAAATATTTAATAAAATACGGAGACATATTTCTAACTATTGGTGATATTATATTTATAAATTGTGTGCAGTTGTACAATATTTAATCTTTATTTTTTTTTAAATTTTTAATAATTGTTTTTTTAGGTCTTAATATTATTATTATTTTAGCTCTTATAACTTCAGAGTCCTAATAATAACTATACAAATTGAGGTTTTAACTTTCTCCCTTTCCATTAATTTGGCTTAAAGATGTCCACACTCTAAAACTCCAATATATTACCTGACATATCATTTCCAAATGTTTCCTCATTAAGTGCATCATATTTATCCTCGTCATAAATTTCTTCTTCGAATTCATCATCAAATTTCTCCTAAACAATACAAAATACATTTAAAAATGCATACCTTTGAAATTTCAATTTAAAATCATATTTGTAAAAAAAAAAAAAATTTGAAATGAACAAAATATTTAAATATTGAAGTTTAAATTTCACCAAACTTTTTTTAGTAACAATATTTAACTCAGAATGGTATCCATCAATAGGTTCAGATGGTTTTTAGAAAATTAAAATGTCGAAGCTCATTGAAATTAAATTTTTTTTTGTACAAATGCAATATCAGTTATTTTAAATTTGATTACACAAAAATGGAAAAAAATAAAAAAATAAATAGATACACTTTGCATACATATTATTAATATGTAAATGTGTATAATATTTGATTTATTAAATTACAATTAACAATGCTATGAAATTTAATAATATATACATAGGTTATTATGCATTTTTTATAAATCTAAATAAATTTGTTGTATGCAAATATATTACCTTTCTATTTACAACACATTTGACACTCTAACATTAAAATTATAGGCATAAATACAGTTTAACTCCCAAGAAATTTTATGGAGTTGATTTCCAAAATATGTGTTTTTACATGCTTAATTTGATGGTACTTTCAAAAAAAAGTCACTTAAACTTTATTTGAAAGCAATTATCAAAAAATGTGTGAATTTTTTAATGGTTGTAATTACTAATTATTTGCTTAAAATTTGGGTGAAATCAAAATTCACCTATCGTACTTAATTTGTATGTTATTGTTAATAAACTAAATTATAATGTTATTTTAATCATTTGCATATTAAAGTAACTCAAAATTAATTTTTTAGACTTTATTTTTTATTTGGTGTGTGATAATATAAATAAGTTTTTGGTGAAATCAGAACTAACTAATATTTTATTGATAGGCATTTATTTATAAGCTATTTGATTAAAAACGCCAAAGGGGCGGTTCCTTTGATAGTAATTGAAAAATTACAGCCTTGGGAGCCAATTGCCAAACATAGCACATTAAAATGCATTCATGAACATCCTCTCAAGTTAAGTTTGATAGTTAAATGCATTGACAGATATTTATGAAGATGTCGAGATTATTCCAAGAATTTATATCAAAAACAAGTATATTTTAAGACTTTTTTTAGATTTTGTTATTTATAACAATAATTTGACATTCTAATAGTTTTATTAATTTCACCATACTCCTCAGCTCTCCTACTATCAATGTTTTTTTTTTTTTTTTTTTTTTTTTAAAATTTTTTCCCCCAAAAAAAAAAAAAAAANCACCAAAAACTTCTTTATATTACATATTGAATGAAATATAAAGTCCAAAAAATCAATTTTGAGTTAATTTAATATGCAAATGATTGAAAGAACATTATAATTAATAATAATTAATTATTACGTTTTTACATAGTTTATTAACAATAACATAAAAAGGAAAACCGATAGGTGAATTCTGATTTCACCAAAATGTTATGCATATAATTCCTATCAAATCTAAAAAAAAAAATTAATTTTTTAAACTATATATAGTTAGTATATTTATAGTATTATAGTTTTGATAATTAAATATAAAAACAAATTTAAAACTATAAAACACTTTTGATGTCCGAATTTATTAAATAATATAAATGTTAATTGAAATATAATACTGAATAATTAATATTGATTTAAACACCAAGAAACATTATAACAGAAACCTAGTAGTCTTAAAAAAATTAATTGTATTATTAAAACGTTTTAATAATAAAAATACTTCACAACCACATCATATTATATGAATATAAATTGCTACTGAATGAACATTACATTATTACTGAAAAAACTATTCAACATTCAAGAATTTGAGTGTTTAATGTTTCAAAAATACAACAATTACCTAATGCAATTTCGATTAATTATAAATAAGATTACCTGTTGATCAATCAAAAAATCATCCCTGTCCATTTCTAACAGTAGTTTTCTAGGTTTCAAAAAACTTAAATTGTCGAAAGAACGTATGTTTGAACTAGAGCAGCTTTGCCATGGTCCGTGGTCTTCCGCTAACGAAAAACATTTATTTTTTTTTTAATTGATAAAAACTGATAAGACTAATGTAGTTGGATTTTGCAGGTTATATCAATATTCCAACTTCTTCGGGCTTGAAGTATAGATAAGATCTGTAAGTAAATAATTATACAATGTTTTTAGATAGTCTATATTACCATCTATAAACCTTGGGTACCTAATATCAATGATCACGGTTAATACTTTAAAGCAGTGGTTTTCAACCAGTGCGTCGCGACTCCCAGAGGCGTCGTGGTTTTATATCAAGCGAGTCGTGTCCATCGTAAATATAGTAGAGTAATACATTAAATTGATTTATTTTAATTTATATTGTAATCATTATTCGTAAGTGAGCCGCTAATTGGGATTTCAAAATCAGAAGAGCCGTGGACACAAAAAGTTTAAAAACCACCGCTTTATAGTATAGATATCTGTGTATAAAGTCTACGGTCATTACCGTGATGATATTATTATCATGACTCTGATATGGCTCTTTACAAAATAGTAAATACGAAGTACTTACTACTAGACTGGCAGACTACCAATTACAGCTATATTAGATAATTTAAACATTAGTTATTCGTATACATATACTGTAGAAGTGTAAACTAGTTGATAGTTCAAAGTTCAACGAAATTAATCGATCATTCAATAAAATCAAATTATTTACACAACGTTTATATTATTTAATCGGTTCGATATAGCGCTGCGAATTCGAAGAAAATGTATTTCAAATTATCGACATTTAGTATTTTGACTTTTCAACTATTTGAAGATCCAAATAATGTTTGAAATAATAATTCAAAATTTTAAAGACCTTCCATTAGTTTCACCCACATATACCTATGTAATATCTGTAGTAACATAATAAATACTAAATTTTCAGGAAACCTATATATCATAATATAGGTACCTATCAAAATTATATCAAATTCGGCACATTTGAAAATTATTTTTCGGTCGAATTGTGTCCATGGATTTTTAGCGACAGACCCTCAATAATAATAAAATCCAATACTTATTATTTAAAATTTTAGTTTCTACATAATATGTTTTTCGTAGGCAGATACATACCTTATTATGCCTACAGAACAATTATTGCAAAAGAACTCGGTAGGTACATATAAAAAATCGCGGACGCAGCTCGACTGTGATATAATAAACGGAAATGGGGGAGCCTCCCTAATCAAGAGGACACTGAGGACGCCACACCCTCATCTAAAACTATCTCCGTCTTACTAACACGCGACCAAATAAAATATTTTGTCATGCGCATGTCATACCAAAATAGCGTTCAATAAGATACATTTTTTGGCGTTAGATTTAATATTAATAATGTTATTACTAGACATAAAATTAAGTAGGCACATTGTGGTACTCTTATCTAGGTTTTTTTCGTTGTTTTAATTTCTATGTGAAATATAATCATTTTTAAATTATAATATTCCACTTATCTACTCTTTACTTATTTCTTCTTAAAAGTTTACATATCGACAAAACAAAAGCACAGATAATACACTTTAATGTTGAAACTAACGGCACAACATTATTTGTTGTGAAACGAAAATTTGGTATGTAGACTAGAGATATACTAGGCATAAATGCAGTTTAACTCCCAAGCGATTTTTCGATTATTTTTTTTTTTTTCCAAAATGTGTGTTTTAGCATTCTCAAATTGATGGTACTTTCAAAAAAAGTTGCTCAAACTTCATTTAAAAATTATGGTCAAAAAACTTCAAAATACTCAATTTTTTTTAAAAAAATCGTGTTTTTGAGTTTAAAATACCAACAATTTAAATTTTGAATTTTTTTTTAATATTAATAATAATTGTTTAATCGAATGAATAAATTGGGCAAATTGCCATATAATACAAGTTAATAAATAATTGATTACAATAAATCTATATGGAAATAGATACAATAACATAAAATCTTGATAATTTTAGGCTAGAATATAAACTAATACGATTGTAAAAGTATAATATTACATATTTTTAGTTAAGTATATTTTAAGAATTCAGACTAATGGAGTAAAGAAATAATCAACATTAGGTGCAAGTTTATTGCACAAAACCCTGGCTCTAACAATAGGAGAGTTCGTTAAATAAATTGTGCTGTGCGACGGTAAGTAGAACGTGAGGGTGGTTTGATTATTATATGCTGAGATGTTGAATGGAATATGTTCTAATAGGTAAGGGGCATCGATATAATTATTTATTAGTTTATATAAAAATAATTATCAGCTAAATTCCGTCTAGAGACTAGAGGGGGAAGGTTTAAAAGGGATCTTATTGACGTATAATCATGCTGGTTAATAGTTAAGTTGAATTTATATTCTGCGAACCTTAAAAGTCGATTCTGAACCCCTTCGACAATCTCAATGTTGGAATCAGTATAGGGACTCCAAATAGGAGATCCGCACTCTAGGATAAAGCAATAGAGACTAATTTATGATTAACACGATCAAAGTCTGTATATATTACATCAAGTTGGCAGTTATTTTTAAAAGACTCTAGTATGAAGTGCTGAAAATTTAGGTTGTGAGAATGGGTTGATCGATTAGGCCCGAAACCGTACTGGCTATTGTCCAAAATGTTGTTAATTAGATTAATTATGTGCTTGAACCTAGTTTTTTTTTAACAATTTGCCAATCTGTATAAGGCCTAAGATAGTTCGATAGTTTTTAACATCTGACTTAAGTCTTTTTTAAAAACCGGGGTGATTGAGCTGATTTTCCAGATGGATGGGAACACCTTCTTCGAGTGATTTGTTAAATAACAAGAAAACAGGATAGGTAATGAAATCTGATAAATTGGAAAAAAAAAAAATAGAAAATACCATCAGGTCCGGGAGATTTGAATTTGTATAAAGACCGCAATATGTCTGATACTTCGTCAAGTGAAATAGTGCAATGTGAGGAAAGAATATGGTTGAATTTTTTAAAAGAAGAGATCACGGTAGAGGTGTCTTATGGAAGAACAACTGAAGGTCTATATACTGGTAGTAATTATTAATTATATGCATAACATTTTGGTGAAATCAGAATTCATTTATCGTACTTACTAACTTTGTATGCTATTGTTAATAAAACACGTAAAACTTAATTATAATGTTGTTTCAATCATTAACATTAACGGATATGTATGGTTATATCGAGATTATTCCAAGAATTTATATCAAAAACGAGTATATTTTAAATTTTTTTTTTAGATTTTGTTATTTATAACAATAATTTGAGGTTATAATCGTTGTATTAATTTCACCATACCCTTCAGCTCACCACACCATCTATGTTTTTTTTTTTTAATAATTTTGTCCTCAGAAAGTAAAAAAAAAAATATTAAATAAACTATATTTTTCCAAAGGTAAAATGTATTGTTTATATATTCATAAAATATACATTTTTTCACTGTTTCTTCCAAACCAAAAAATATTAGTTAGTTCTGATTTCACCAAAAACTTCTTTATATTACATATTGAATGAAATATAAAGTCCAAAAAATCAATTTTGAGTTAATTTAATATGCAAATGATTGAAAGAACATTATAATTAATAATAATTAATTATTACGTTTTTACATAGTTTATTAACAATAACATAAAAAGGAAAACCGATAGGTGAATTCTGATTTCACCAAAATGTTATGCATATAATTCCTATCAAATCTAAAAAAAAAAATTAATTTTTTAAACTATATATAGTTAGTATATTTATAGTATTATAGTTTTGATAATTAAATATAAAAACAAATTTAAAACTATAAAACACTTTTGATGTCCGAATTTATTAAATAATATAAATGTTAATTGAAATATAATACTGAATAATTAATTTATTGTTATTTATAACAATAATTTGAGGTTATAATCATTGTATTAATTTCACCACACCTTCTATGTTTTTTTTTAAAATTATTTTGTCCTCAAAAAGTAAAAAAAAAAGTATTAAATAAACTATATTTTTCCAAAGGTAAAATGTGATATTTATTATCCATAAGAAAAGATTAATTTTTCTATTATTTCTTCCAAACCAAAAAATATAGTTAGTTCTAATTTCCCCCAAACTTTCTTTATGTTATATATTGAATTTATTTTTGAATTTTCCATTCAATTCAAATCAATTTTGAGTTACTTTAATATGCAAATGATTGAAAGAACATTATAATCAAGCTTTTACGTGGTTTATTAACTATAACATAAATTCTGATTTCACTAAAATGTTAATCACATAATTCCTACCATGTTTAAAAAAAAAATTAATTTTTAAAACTATATATAGTTAATATATTTAAAGAATTTTAGTTTTGATAATTAAATATAAAAACAAATTCAAAACTATAAAATACTTTTGATATCCGAATTTATTAGATAATATAAACGTTAATTGAAATATATAACTAAATAGTAAATATTGATTTAAACACAAAGTTTTACATGACTTATTAACAATAACATAACAAATATGTACGATAGATGAATTCTGATTTTACCAAATGTTAAGCTTATAATTAATATTATAACCTAAAAAAAAATTACAATAATATAAATTTTTGTTATTTTAAACTAGGGTGACCATACGTCCCGTTTAAAACGGGATTGTCCCTTTTTTGATCATCATGTCCCGTGTTGTCCCGAAAAACTTCGAACGGGACGCTTTTTATTCCGTTTTTAGAAGATTGTCCCATTTTAATCCCGTTATTTCCATATAATTAAATTATAATTTATGAGTTTTTGTAAAAGAATAAAACAAATTTATGAACCAAATATAAAACAGATTATATTTAAAACTTGAAACNGTATAGCATATGCATTACGAACTAAAATATATAATACTATTTATAATCGATGATATAATTAGATATTATTATATTAATTTTATTTGTAAACAATTTATAGAGCAAACTAACCAGTTTTATGACACATTTTTATTGTATATTAAAAAGTGGGGAAATTCATTTGAAGAACTAAAAATATTTCGTAGGACACAATTGATATTCAAAAAAGTTTAACATTTATTTTGCAAAATAATAAACAAACCGGTTGGAATGTAGATGAAGATATTATTTTTGATGAATATAATCATGTAGTTAATGTTATAAATGAAAATTTAAAAGAACGGCAGAATAAATATGTTTATGTTGAAGAAAAATGGTGTGCTATCTATAACATTTTAAATAGTAAAAGTATATTGATAAATAATTTTTGGAATATTCTCTAGCAATGCCTAGAACAAATGCTGCAATTGAAAGAGTATTTTCTATCACTTATGTATTATGGACGGACGAAGAAAATCGCTTTCTTGATCATACCATCAAATCAATTATAATTTTGAAAAATCATTTCAAAAAATATTCGTGTAATGATTTTTATAATTTTTTGCTAACACAATCAAAACTGTTAAACGCAATCAGTTCATCGCAAAAGTACAGTAACGACACATTTGATAATAAAGGACATGATGATCAATCGACATCAACCCAATAAAAGTAATCAAATTTTGTATTAAAATATTAAGAATGGTAGTTAAAAAATATTTTAATTGTAAATGTAACTATAAAATATAAAAAATATAAAAAAAATATGTATGTTTTCTTAGAGTATTTAAACTAAAAATTGTCCAGTTTTTTTTTTTGCAAAACTGGTCACCCTATTTTAAACTCAAAAAGACAATTTTTAGAAAAATCGAACGTTGTGAAGTTTTTTAATTATAACTTCTACATGAAGTTTGAGCGATTTTTTTTAAAAGTACCACTAAATTAAGAATGTAAAAACACACACTTTAAAAATAAAATTCCAAAAAATCGCTTGGGAGCTGCATTCGTTCCATAAAATAATGTAGTTTCTTTAATATGAACTTTAAATTTTAGATTTCGAGCATAGCAAGGATCTATTGGTTTTACTAAGATGTTTATTTTTTTTAAATTTTTTTTCTAGTTTGTGGATACGTTTTTTCCTAGTAAACTTGCTCCGATTTTTACGTGTAGCAACTTTTCTGAAAGCTCAAGTTGTCTAGATGGCACTTTAAAGAAGTCATTTTTCGATTTTCTAAATAAAAACACTTAGGCGGGAAAAAAACGTAGAAAAACGTAAAATTTCACGGTTTCATTAGTTTATAAAAACATGGATGTCGTTTTCTACCAGAAAAAATTATTTAATCGAAAAATCAAATTATATTGTAACGAAATATACTATAAAACATGCACTTTTTGTGTTTTTGTAGTCAAAATGTATACAAATATTAATTTTGTTCAAAATATGCATTTTATCCAAAATATGCAAAAATATGACAAATAAAAATACCACCATTTACCTCAGCAAGAACTAATTCGTGGACATTACTTAAAAAATAAGTAATCAGAAGTTACAAAAAAAACATACCAATGCATATAAATCCTAGCCCTAATCATAACCTTGCCCTCGCATATCCTGTATTGGAATTTTATTTGTTCTTAATTCTGACAATATTGCATTTGTAAGTTCCTGATCTGTGGTAATATCAACTGGAATAAATCCAGGAAAATGTTCACAAATATCTACTTTTTTTGTATCTCGGTTAATATCAACAAACCGTATAATTATTGACATTTGTTCTACTCTACTTTTATCGGGTATACAATCTACAATTATTGAATAATACTTGGCATTTTTTAACTTTTCAAGTATTTTATTTTTAATTGCTCGAGAAAGTAAATGCATAATTTCATTTTGAATTCCCTTACCTAGATAATGATTATGAATGTCCTTATTTTGAATTCTACGCACTTGTTCTGATAAAACACCATCAAATTTTGCCAGCAGCTGTACTAGTCCGAGAAAATTGCCATTATTGTTTTAAAAAGAACTCATCATGATAATACACGTATTATATAATATTAATAAACTACTACTACTATTAAGGACCATTCTTGCATAATTATTAACAACTTTTAAGACTTATTACAGTTTTCCAACTAAATAATAATTCTAAACTCGATAAGAACGTGCATTGATCATCTGTGGTCGACTAACGCATGTATCGTTATCGCCGTTCTATTTATACTCAGTATTACGATTTTGGTGCGTCCTCGGTAAACAAAGTATCAATATTATATTATTATTATTAGTTATTACTTATTTCATATTTATTTTTGTATATTTTAAACAGTGAACATACAATTCAGCATACTTTATTATATTATAATAATTAAATTGGTTCATTCGAAATTTGCTGCCTCACATAAGTGCCGTCTTAGGCGGCTGCCTATTTTGCTACCACATTAAGCCGGCCCTGTATAGGTACATATAGTGTTGAGCAATACAGCTATACACTTCTACAGTGTTATCCGAATGCTATTAACTCTGTTAATATTCGTTTTATTTTTTTTTTAAAAAAAAATTTCATGCGGGTTTTGTATAAGACACAAATGTAGCGAAAAATTAAATTTTTAATTTGGAAATTTTTAAAAGTGAAAAGTAAAAAGTAATTTTTTTTAAGTGATTAAAGGATGAAAATAAACACTTGATGTTTCTCTACTATACATTGTGTCTTTGACACAAAATCCTTTGAAAAAAAAATTTCAAAAACAAATGAACATTAATAGAGTTATAACTTTATTATCATTTATATAACACTAGGAGTTGCGCTGAGAATCATTTTTTGTTTGTAATGCTCAAATTTGCTTAGGTCAGATAAATATTAAATTTCCCTCAATATCCTACATTCACATCTTCTCATCTATAACAGTGATCAACTCATCGTGTGAAATATATCAGTCTTTTTTTCTTATCAATCATTAATATTAAATATTTACACTTGTTTATTAACGAAATTGAATGCAGATTTATTGAATATCAGAAAATATTAACAGATTTCAAAACTTATTTCCAAAAACGTCAGAAATGTCAACACTATGGAGAAAGACAAATTTATTAGTTTGATAGATTTTTATGAAGATGATTTGGTAGACAACTAATAGATATTTTAATCAATAACTTTAAACTTTGGCAACGTAAAGTACTTGCATTAGATAAAAATACTATGGAAACTTTCATTATCTCTAACAATATGTATCCAAATATACACACAAATTTGATACCTATTACACATTTTAGTAATACTCTACCAGCTTTGACAGCTTCATCCGAAAGGACTTTTCCATCATTGAAGACGTACCTAAGGAATACAATGACAGTGCAGTGGTATCTATAAAATATAATATATAGGTATATATAAATAATTTATACTGTGTATTTAAATAAATAGGAAAAAGAATAGCATTTTAAATTTTTAGATATTAAATGGATTGATAATGCTATCCATTCATCGTTCAATATCTATATCTATATATAAATGCAGAGGAAGTTTTATACGTATAATTAATTTATAAACAATAATCCATAGTTAATGAAAAACGATTCTGAACAAAGTTCTATTCTACGTGGTTCAAAATGCTGTGATATTTATTATTTTCTTCAAAATTTGACATTTTTAAAATTATTTTATACTTTCAACCATTTTTTTTTTTTTATCAAGAAATACAACTTATGATGTACCTCGTAAAAAATGTTCAATAAATTTCAACAATTTTCTTAGTGTCCTATATTCGTACCTATATTATAGTTAAGTTTTAATAACATTGAAGAATTTACTATTTGTTTTAAAACATAAGTAATACTGATTACATACTTATTATTTTATGATTATTTGATTATTGCAATTTTCAGGATATAAAAAATAATTTTAAACATATTTAATTATTTTGTCATAAATAATATACAGTATAGGTAGGATAAAATCACCTAAAACCCTACAAAAATCACAAGATGGATACCTAGTATTGTCAAATTTTTATTTACTCACCCACACTAAATTTCGTGACGATCTCTTGAAAATATACCTATAAAATATATCAACAATGATTTTGTTCTGTACATAATACATATACGATTTAGGTAATCGTAATTATGTTTTAGATTTAGAGTGTAGCAAAGAATGTATTGGTTTTATTATGTGTGCTTCTTTTTTTTTTTATGCGGTGTATACAATTTCTACCAGAAATCGTGCTCCAATGTATCAAGTGTAGCATATTTCTGTATGAGCCTTGGCAATTATTTTACCATAATATGGTATATAGCTATCAATTGAACTCCGCTCAGAATCGCTTTTTCGAAAGCAATGGTTTATTATTGATTATAGATAAACATTAGATTATCTATAACAGTAGATGGAGTATACCAATAATGGAGACCATTATCCTAGGACGTATTTTTTTAAACATCGAGTTAACGAGACAAATTATTTGTTTTTTATTTTTCGAAATTCGAGATTAATTTAAATTGTCCTTCTTGGTATTTAATTTAGGCCGGACACACAACACACAGTGCGAAATTGGAGGTCTGCAGGTTATTGCAGTAAAACATGAAAGTCTTTTCCTTGCATTGTTTATCGTTGCTTACAAATATACATTAAATTTTCCGTCTACTAGCTTCTAAACTTACTACCTACAACAGTGGCCCACCCACGTGGGAGGTAAGTCAGTCTTTTTTATTGTGATTCGATTAAAAATAATCGTAGAGACCGGAAATTACTTATATTTGATTATAATAATACGTCGTAATTAATGGCCAAAATAAAAAAATTATTTCTAATGTAGTAATGTTGTATACATAAGAATTTCAATATTAAATTTTGACAAAAATTGTAAGTCTTACGGCCTTTTAAAACATATATAACCGACTTTGCTCGGAATCGTTTTTTGTTAGCATTAGTTTATCGATGTGTATAAATATAAATTAAATAACATTAGGTATCTTACCTTCCCAACTGCCAGCAAACAATTGCACACTAGTTCCCAGTAACAGGTAAAATTTTTTTTTTTTATACATTTAACAGATTCAAATTAAAAATTGTTCATCTCGAAAACCAAAAACCACTAATTTTATCAAAGAATTGCATATAGTTTGAAAAAAATTTCTGAAACTTATGTGTTCCAGCTGATTTTTGACAACCTTATGGTATGTGGTTTTAATGAAATGGATTTTACACATAATTTTGATCATGTAATTAAATAGTATGAGGTTTAAATTGATTTATAAGTCTATAGTACCAGATGTTTTAAAGAAAAATTGTCCAGGTTTGCGATGTGATTTTGGTGAACCATATTACCACAAAAAAAAAAGCTTAAGTTTTGTGTAATCAAGTAATTATACAAATATTCCCCGATTTATATAGGTTATAGACAGTAATTACATTTTTAAATTTATAATAAAACAGTGCAAAAATAAAGGTGTTATTTTCATATTTCAACTGACATTTTAAACAAGTAAAATATTATTTTGATTAGTATATTATAATTTTAATTTGTTTAAGATATTTATTACACTTGAAAATACATTACACATTGACTAAATAATTTAAAGTAATTTAACTATGAATAACATGTCATTTAAATTACATACAGAAATACAAAAGATTTTTAAGTTTAATTTTTGTACATTATTATAGTATCAATAATGAACAAAATTACAATATTTTATTCATAAAAAACAAAAAAAGATAACTTTTATTACTCTAAAATAAAATAATTGATAAGCTTATTTAATGCAGATAAATAAAATACTGTATTATTTTTGTTTTTAGCATCTCAATTAGGCTTTAAAGTTTAAACACTCATAATACATTATACATTGTTGAATAAATTTCAAATTAGATAATAAGGCTCCATTGGCTAGTTAGGAACGTACACCTTATTCATGTTATAAACAATTTAAAACATCTAAGTAATTTAATCTGTTAAAAATATATAATAATATAAAACTTTTATTTGTTTTAATCAGATATATTTTTATTTATAGGTCACAAATCAAATCAAAAATTTCTAATAAGGTATGTTAATATGCATTTAAATACTAAATAATAATCTCATAAATATGAGTTGGCAAATAATAGACCCTACAATTTTAAAATAATAATAATAATAATAACATATGAATGTATTTTGTATACAAAATGTTAAGACACTTTTTAAGCACATTTTGTTTTAATAATTATAAATATAGTCATGAAATGTACTATTTAAAATTATTGTATAAGTCCATAATTAAAATTGTGATTAACTATGATAGTACATTTATTGAAACTATTTTTAATCATGTCATCATTTATTAAATCCTAAGTTGTTTAGAAAAACTGCAAAACTAACACACACATAAATTACAATCTAATATTGAAATGTACAATTAAAATTTTACACACACTGATCATATTAGGGCTTACAATTTCCTGAGGGTATTTTAAAATACGTGTGTATTTGATAATGTCCATGTATTTAATAATACCTACAACAGTGGCCCACCTATATCCAGGGTCCAGCATTTATTTTTTAAAACTAAATATTGGAGTATAAAAATTACTGGAACATATATATTGTACATGACTATTATTAAATATACATGCATTTTTAAATATATGAATTGGTACATAGATTTTGTGTACCCATGGTACACATGAAATTGTAAGCCCTAGATCAAATATTTAGTAAACTAGATTCATTTTTCACTATTTGTCATTATGAGCCGAATGAATAAACTACATATTTTTAGACTTAAAATTACAAATTAAATATATAATTATAAATAAATTTTAAAGATATTATTTAGTACAAGGTTTAATGAATAGGAATGCATATAAAATATTTTTGTATTACACAGGAAGTATATGATAATCTCTACTTATCACTGGCATACTATAATGTAATTTTTAAAAATAAAATATTATATTAAAAAAAAAATAATAATAATAAACTATATAATTTAAAATTTCATATTATGTTTTTGTAAAAATTTTAAACATTAAAATAAGTCTTGTAACTTATAATATTTGGGATTTAAAAAAGATAGAATTCAGAGCTACAAATTAATCTGATAAAAGAAAATATGAATATTTAATAACTTAGTCTAATTAATTTGATCAGTTTATTGAAATAAATATTTGATCAAGAGTTCTTAACCTAGTTTGAACACATTTATTTTACTATATAAGTAGAGATTTGTTTGAAAATAATTTAAATAATTCACTAAATTAAGTAGTATTTGAGGCAGTACATGTCAATAATATTAGACACTATTATTAGAAATAATAGGTATAGAATAGTATTAACTAGAGAGAGAGGCCCACAGAAAATAAGTTAAATAAGTGCAACATGCAAATATAATTTCAAATTTATCATCTCCATAAATTATTGATAACCTATACCAGAGGTTTCCTAAGGTCTATTCTGATCTGCAAGGGGCTCATGTTATCAAAAATACAAATTGAAGGTACATGAGATGTAAATAGGTGTCAACGAGAATTATTAATTAAAAAAATGTGCAATCATTTATTTTTACTATAAACTATGTGAAAAAAAAGTTCCGGAATCTCTGACCTATACTAAACACTTGAAAATAATGATATAAATAGCATATTATATTTATATTAATATACTTTTAATAAGCCAATGCAAATTTGCTTAGCCTCATATCACTTAATATGAATTGGATCTCAGCCATGTATTTACACAAGGCAAGGTACTATAAATAGATTTAGTTTATATTTTAAAAATGAGGAAAAAATGATTTTACTTATTATTATTTACTTTGGATTTAATTATGAATTTTGTTTTTTTAAATCTCAGAGGGTGCATTGTTATTTTTTACCTTCTATATGTGTGTCCCTACTTAGAGATGCCTAAACTAGTCTCTTGAGTATCACCTATAGATACCATACAATCCATGGTTAAAATATACTATGTTGTTGCAATTATGTTCTTATTCTATAATTTGAATGTATGATACCAATATGATAACAATCTTTAATGTTTAAATTGTAATTAAGATGTTAATCTTTGATGTTTACGCTTTGTTCTTGCATATGGGCCTATGCTAGGATCTGTTATAAAATCATATAATACACTTGTCCAAGAATTATGCTGTGGCAAATTATCATAATACTCCTTGGCAATTTCCTTTACCTAAATTTACCAAAAAAAATATATACTTCTAACTATTTGAATTTTATAAAATACAAAAATATATGACAAAGTAAATTAATTTTTGATTTTCTTTATAAATAATAATAATATGTTAATAGATAAATATAATCTTAGAGCTAGCACATACTGCAAGCTTTTAATCAGCTGAAAGTTTAATGAGTTTTGCAACTGACAGACAATTGTATAGTAAATTGTATTACACTAAAAAAATAGGTCAACTAAACTATTAAAAGAGTTTGATTAAATAATCTGTAGTGTGCGCTTACTCTTAAAGGTTACAATAAGAGAAATAATATACTAACTTGTGGAAGTTTAGAACCAGGAACAAAAGGGAAGTCATGATGTTCATTGTGGTAGCCAACATTAAATGTAATTAAATTTAATGGACCATAATATGAATATGTTTCATATCCTTTATGAAACATATAATGCTCAGAAATGAAATGGCCAGCCACTGGATGTAAACCCATAGCCATTAATGATCCGCCCAACATATATATTAAAACTTTAGTACCTTAAGAACATTTTAAACAAAAATACATTTTTTTTTTCAGTTAAATCTAGAATTTATAACTCTGCTAATATTATATTTTCACTAAATATCAAATTATTATATATTATCTATATTATATGACTTTTGTATTCTATAATTTCATAAATAAAATGTTAAACTGATAAACAATAAACTTACCAATGAATTGATACACCCAATAATTGAATGCCAATTGAATACTAACACTTATAATTTCAAGGGCAGTTGGATTTTTTGGATAAACAAACATTGGTCTTAGAGCATAAAAAAATGGCTGTAATAATACCCAGATAAACTTTCCAAATGTTGAATTAAATAATTTAGCCTCTAAATATGTTGGTATGTCTGTGTCAAGTTTCTCGTCACCTTGATACTATAAATAAGAATAAACAGTTAAAATAAATAATTAAATAAATAAATGTTTAGTATACTCTTAATAATAATTTTGTATATTTAATAAAAATATGAAACCTTTAGATCGTTAAAATTATTTGTTTTTAATTATGTTCAATGATATAATAATAAAACAATAACAATTTATTATAACAGATAACACTATAGGTACATAGGTCATAATGCAATTTTAGTGTATAATTTAATTTTATGCTTATTTTACATTTTTATTTTATTCATTATTAATGTGTGTTTATAGGGTCATTAGAATAAATAAATAATAACAGATAAAAATTTATAATCCAAATTGAAATAAAATTACAAAATCATATTTTATACAAAACTTATGAATAAATTATATTCACTCTGTGATGTTCCAGATGGTAATATTTAAAAGTCACAGAAAATGGAAGTCCAATGGGCAGGTTAGCATACATTCCTAATAATTTATTGTACATAGGATATTTAGGTCCAAACCCCATGTTATGAGATATTTCATGGATTGCTGAAACAATTAATTTAATATTTATATTAAAATTAAAGAAAGATTAAAATTAATTAAAACTTACCAAGCATCAGTGAATGGTTTACCACTCCTCCAAAACAGTATGCTAAAATCATTACAGTTGACCATTTAAAGTCTTTAATGAAATAAAAAGAACCCAACTGTAATATAGTTGTAATTATAACTATCCATTTAAAATTTTTGTCAGGACCATAAAGTTTCTTTATTTCTGGATACTTCTCTGTAAAATAATACAGATGCCGAAAAATCAAAAATGTTTTTTTTTTCTTAAAATAAATAATTTGTTTGTGTTTAATTTAAAATTTATTAAATTAATATTAAAATAAATCTTTGTTGTATAACTAAAGGTTGCACATAAATAATGTACTATGTAACAATTCATAAATTGTATAGTATAAAAATTAAACAAAGTATATTTTCTCTTCAAATATTATTTAGACTGGACATAGAAAGTTTTTAATGTTGTAATGTAAAAGAAACTATACCTACTTCATTACATTTTAAAAAGATTCCAAGCTTTACATATACTTGCATCATTCAACATAATTATATATTAAAAGTTCTATTTTTAGAGTCCGAGTGCTTATTTTGAAGTTAATGGTTTTACAATGATGATTTTTTTTTATCTGTTAACTACTTTTCTATCAGATGACTTGATTAGATTTCTGAGTGTAGCACTTTTTCTGACAGAAAATCAGTGTGTGGAGGTATTTTAGGCAGGTAATTTTCGATTTTCTTAAGATTTTTTTTCATAACTTTTGAAAAACGAAAAAAAATAGGAAAATGTATGAAATATATCACTAAAATATATTTTTCTTTTCTTTGCACAACTTTTCAACCTGCACTTTTGCTCAAACTTTTAATTATAGCAATGTTTTTAAAAGGAAATTTCATTAGGGAGGTACTTAGAAAGGTAATTTTTTGATTTTATCCAGAGTTTTCCCAGATAATGTGAAAAACCTAGATAAAACATGGGAGAAACGTAGGGAAACTTGGAAAATCAGTACAACATTAAAGGAATATAATTAAAGAAAATATATAAAACCTATTTAATTATTTTACTATAAAATGACATATATATTGTTGATAAAGTATTAATATCAACTGAACTATGCTCAGAATCAGTGTTTTCCTAAGCAAAGAATGGTTTATCATTGCTTATAGGTATACATTAAACTACCATTAACAGTCACCATTATCTTAAACAGCTTTTTTACATATTAATAAAACATCTAAAATATTTGAAAAAAGGGCAAAAAAAATTATGGAAAATCTGAGTCGAAACTAGGATCTCTAGGATGAAAACAGGTATGTATCACCACTAGACTATGATAGATATATTACTGTACATAGGCATGCACAGAAATTGTTTGCAGGTGGTGCATTCCTCTACTACTCCCCCCCCCCTTACAAAGGGATCCATCTACAGATATATACTATACAATGGCAGGGAAGGGGAATTAGGAGTTTTATATTCCCCATTGGCTTAAAAATACAAAAAAAAGTATGAGTAATTCAATATCAAAATAAATATATTTCAACCAAGTTATGAGGAAAAGCTTGATACATTGATCAGAATTCTTTATTTTTAGGATTTGATTTTTAAATTACTAATTCCCATAGTTGATTTGGGTAGAGAAGAAGACTTAACGAAATATTCACGATTCTTATTTGATACATCCCCTCCCATTGAAAATTCCAGGGTATGGCACTGAAACTATATAACTAACTAGATGCTCAATTCTATATTCTATTGTGTATTGGTTTTGGAAGATAAGTAGTCAGTAAGTTGGGCAATGTTTATAATCTGTAATCAATATTATTATGATAAAGTGATGATAAATTTAAAAAACACGGTTTTCACTACATTTTTCAATCCAAAAACCATAAGTTAAATCTTATGTTTATAATTTGTTATTTTACTATTAACATAACTAACTATAAAATATAGATTTTATTATATTGGTGGTTATCAATAATATTTAATAACACAGGCCTGTAAACATTGCCAAACCTATATTACCGCTGGCTTTATGTATGATCTTGGAGTCACACAGTTAGATAGTATAAATTTCTAGGTTTATCCAACAAATTTAAGAAACTTAAGTTATTTTTTACAATCAATTTGAGTTCACAGGTGGTGCACCATCTGTGTGCACACTTATGCTACTGTATTTATAGTTTTCTTACAACTTTAAGATACTTAAGTAGATCCCTCTCGACTAAATGAGCATTAGCTTGGGAATTGTATTATAGGCAGATTGAAGTGATAAAATTTAGTTTAATTTCACTATGTTGTTTTAGGAAACATTTTTTTTTTAGTTTCAAATACACATAAAGACTCCCCCAAATAAAGATTAGTACAACAGTACAAAGAAATAGTCAAATATTTTTTTAAAATGATTCAACACAAAGTTGTATAAGTCCATTAATTTTATTTACCTAAATAAATTCAATATATATATACAATAATATATTCAAAATACAAAGTAGTGTGAAGGTACTTAGTGTTTTTAGCTCAAAACACATTAGATCATTCAAGATATGTCTGCTTACTGGGCTTTTATATTAGAGACCTCCAGTTATTTTTTGGGCTCAATTTATTTTTAATAATCCATATTTCCTTATACAGAGAAAAGGATACACAATTGGGACTTTTTAAGAATAGTAATTATATATTCTTGGAACAGTTAAAATAACAGAAATACAGCTATAAGCAATATTTAGGTTAGAGTTCTTATTAGCCTTATAATTAATTATTATAAAAGAGTACATAATAGATATTTCCTATTATTAGGTAATTAGATGTTAGCTATGTCAACAGAAAAATATAATTATTATCATGATTATTGGTATAAGATGTACTTTTGGAGATTCAGGCAGAGGTTTCCACTTTCAACCCTCACCTTACAATTTCAATATTGTAATATAAAATAGATGGCAGAAAATTTTATTTTAATGGCAGAAACTCTGTTGTATATGGGTGGTTTTTTTTAAATATATTTTATCACAATATTAAGTAAAATAAAGGTACAATGTATGAAAACAAAAATAAAAAATTTACTAAGGTAATAATTTCATGTTTTAAAAATGATGAAATGCTGCTTTTAAATTTAACATACCTGGGTAAGTAATTTTTTTTGAGCATAGATGTCAAATGATAATATTTATAATGCTAAAAATATATACTTATAAAAGGGTAGATATTTTAAAATAAAAGATACAATTTAAAAAAAAAATAGTGTCAATTACATTTTATTTTCTGTTAGTGATGCACAACATTATGTTTTCAATTATCAATATAATTTATAAAATTAAAAACAATACAATACTATTTCAATAATTTATTGATTTTTTTTTTTTGGAATTAAAAAATTAAAAAAAAGTTATTATATTATTATAAACAAGAAAAATTAAATATTTAACTAAAATTATTGAAAGTACATTCTATACTATCATCTATCATAGATACCTCTGAATTTTGTATAATTGTTTCCTAAAAATATGCATAACATAATAATTATTTAACTAAAACAATAAAATATATTATATTTAATTATTTAGTCTAAAATATTGTGCAAATCATGTCTTTGTGATATGTGGTTATTATGGATTATTGATCAAATTGTTAAATTATTATTAAATAACTCAAAGAAGTATCGCTTATTTTTCTTTGTCATTAATTAACTGTTAAAACTTAAAAATAAATAGAAAATATAAACTTCAATGAAATAATATAAAATATCAATGTACTTTCGATAAAGAAGTCATAAGTAAAATTGTTCACACGAGGCAAGTAGATGTTGAATTAAATAACACGATGAGAATTATTTCAGGCTGTGTCCGGGCTTCAAAAGTGCAAGAGCTCTTAGTCCTCTCAAATATAGCATCACCAGAATTTTGCAGATATGCAGCAACCATAAAATTACCAAAACTCGACAAACCTTTCGATATTTAATGACATAAGTAAAGCACCAGATAAAAGATTAAAATCTAGACACCCGATTTAGGCAATCGAGAATACAACAGATAACTAAGAAAATATGTGGAAAACAAGCTGGAAAGATGAGAACATAGTTAATAGCTCCCTCATCAACTCAGAGTTCTAGAATTTGAACTTCCTTATACAATGTGGTCTACTTTAAACCATATCAGGACAGAATGGGGAAAATATAAGTTTCTCTTATATAAATGGAAAATGTTAGATACCCCACTCTATGAGTGTGGGAAGGATCAAACCATCAAACACATTGTCGAGATATGTCCGCAGACAAAATATGAAGGAGGGATAGAAGAGATCCATAAAGGCGGCAGTGAGGCACAAGATTGGCTACACAACCTAGAAGTACACCTTTAGAAAATGGGCTAATTTCTGTATATTTCATTGTATGTGTTACAACTTTCAGTCACACTCAAAATTATACGTTACCGCAATTATCTATGTACTTATTTATTTATTTTATTTTATTTTTATATTTTATATTATTTATTTAGTTCATTATTTTTAAAATGTATGCATGTTTTCACCAAAGACGAAGCCATATGAAAGAAAAATAAAGGTAAAATTGAATCTATATAGTTGTGCATCATTGCTTTCTTTTCAAATATTTTATTAAATTATAAAATATTAGCGAGTAGCTCTACTAGAACAGAACTCAATTGGACTCCAATCTAAGCCCTAAGGTATTACAATTGGATTACATTTACCTAGTGAAAATAATACAAATTAAATTTAACAAACCTAATATTTCTTTTCTCCGTGTAGCGTGTGGCTCTTCTGTGTACGACCATTCAAAATCAGTTCTAGAAACTTTGGCTCCCATTTTCGTACAAATAGTATACTGTATAACGTTGTACAATATCAACCATTGCTTAATAAAAATAAAAGATAATAAATAATTAATTGAAGTTAAATACTTTCTATAATGTACAAAAAAGATAATATAATATAATACCTACACGAACTATGAATGTGCATCGACAGTAATTATTATTTATGGTATTCTGTTATTACGGAGCATTTATTATGTGCATGTAAATATCTGTAAGAAAAAAAAACATTTATATTCTACACACCTTCATTACACCATGACAATTGTTAATCCAATCTAATCTAATAATTATTAGACTCTCGTAATCACACATTCACGGGTACAAGCCGGTATATACCATGGGGAATTGATAGAGTGATTACGTAACGTGTAGTACAACACTGTAGTGACTATGAAGTACCAGTGAGCAGTGGATGTTCTTCTAAAAAACTTTCATGACAGCGTAGCATAATAGATTATTTTCTAACGTATTAATTAATAACATATTTTTTCCGTGACTAAGATGACCAGTAATATTAAATTTATTGATTGATAAAATTATAGATTTTAATGACAAATAATTAAAACAATTTTATAATTTTGTATTTATGGTGACAATTACGCTTAGAAATGCTGCGGTAAAAAAATGAAAAATACAATAAAAAAAAAAAATAGCCAATAGTTACCTACGTAAAATGAGTAGGTTAGCCGCCGCGTACGACTGTGAATGAGCACAGGCCGTTTTGTAACCAATAGGGAGACTACGGAAGGCTTTTGCTAAATAAAATGAATAAATAATAACAGACCGTCATTCGGTATGAGAATAGAAATTTATAACTCGGCTCAACACGATCCGCACCGATTTGCGACTGGATGAAGACTGATTACTCATAATAACATATAACAGTTAATCTTCAAATTAACGACAGCAATAAATGATAATGATAATACAGGTCGTTCGCATAGACATGTCAATAACAATTGATTCTATTATAGGGTCGCCATAAAAGTTCAATTACTGACCGGGACAATTACAAAAATAATTTCAACGACCTTTTTTTTTTTTTTGCAATTATTTTTAATTATACAATTTAGAATACAATGTATTATATATATATATAATAATAATTGCGATAAACCGAAAAATACGTTTTTTTTTCAAATTTTGGCGCAACGATTTCATTGTTTTAACTAATTAAAATTATAATATGTCTCTACTAGAAATCTTTGTCCACATTTCAAGAATAGCATGTTTTCCGAAAGAAAATGTTGTCTAGTTTATAAGTAAGAATGTGAATGTCCTTAGATTTTCTGTATACTTTTTCTAATAATTACGAAAAACCGGAAAATAACATTGAAAATACGATATTTGTTGTTTTGTTCTTATTTGGTTAAAAATATTTGTAGAAATCTGTTGTTTTCACAAAACACCTATATTAGTCTTTTGTAAACGTGGTAAAATTTCCAAAACATTCTAGCTCTTTTTATGCTACTTATAGATATTTGATATTTGCTAGTTTTTATATAATTATATGTATTTTTGTTTGTTTGGTAGATATGTATCCGTAATGCAAATTTTAAATTATAATATAACTTAAGACAAATAACTGAAATTTTAAAACAAAGTTCATTACAAATTATACTTATTGGTCAAAAAAGGATATTTTAGTTGTATGTTTTAGTTCCTATGTAATTCCAAATTATAATTACTATTAATAAGTACTTAATGGGTGATTTAAATGAACATGAGTTAGTTGGACTAACTTTAGAACAAGTTAGTAAAATTGTATTTTTCTTTTCGTCAGAAGAAATTGAGGATGATGGTCATGACTTTGAACTTACAGTACCGTTTGTAATGCAAAATTATGTTGATACTATATTAAATCTTGGTCCAATCATGGACAGTTCAAATCTCATTTTAGGTTTTAACTTTAGTTATTGTTTATAAACGCAGCATCACTTCTAAAGTGTAAGTTAACCCGTCATCATCGTTCATAAGTGTCACTTTAACACTTGCATTATATTTGTATACCTGTGAATGTTATATAAATATGTAAACAATCAATTAAACTAAAAATTAATAATAAGTAATATCTATCATGAACTAAAAAAAAGTAGTACCTAGTTCATGAATAATAATTTGAACATTTTAGATTTGTTTATTAATGTTTAAGATTTGTTAAGTACTATTATTCGTTATCAGTGTTAGGTTTTGGTGTAAACGCTTTATTCCGTTCGTCTACACTCCAAAGCGCTGGCACATTTGTTTCACTACCTATTTCGTGTAAGCGTTTGTGAGCTCTGATCGATGACATAGTGCTCAGATTCAGTGACGTCGTGATTATAGTCTGAGCTCTATTAAATGCCAAACTAAACGGCCATATTGTCCAAAGAGAATACAGCCACAGTGGCTAGTTAAATTAGGCGTTAGATTGGGTAGTTTAAGAAACCACTATAATTTACAACGTCACTGATCATAATGTAACATTTTGGCGCAAATCCCCTTTTCAGGATTCTTACCGATATCTTACCAATGAAAATGTAATAACAGAATATTATAATATATTCTGTGTTTTATTATTCACAGATATTTTATAATACATTTCATAGATAATAAAAAATATAATAAAACATTTTTTTTTTTTTCAGAAAAAGTTAGGAAACCGAGATCCAAGGAATTACATTTTTATACAAGTACGGCACAGGCCATATAGGCCGTACCTGTGCGTACGCCTATGCCTACTGCGTACGAGTACTAAATAATATTATTATTATCGAGCAAGTTATCTTTATTTTATGCATGTTAAGTGTGTTTACCATGTAAACATACTATATTTGATTATCTATGTACCACGAACTCAAATATTATAGTACTTACATACGCAGTAGTTTAATACCTACCTAGCTACTTAGAAAAGTTCGTCGTAGGTAGGAACATACTGTGTACTCTACAAGATGTGACAAGCCAGATAATAATAATAGCCGGGTCACGTAAAAATTATGCTTAGGACGTTTCACCCGCGTGTGCTGTATCAGTCCGACAAACGACAATATAGCAAAATTTACCTTGAGCAGACTGCTTAAAACTCCCTTAGTTTTGGTTTTTGAGGAAAAGTATCAATTATTATAAAACTAAAAGAGGGATTAACAATCTGAAGTTCAAGTTGATGCGTTTCTTTTATTAAACTGTTATAATAATTTAAAAACGATGAATTAGTCTTTAATTTTTAAACGATATGTACCTACTGAACACTTTATTTGGAATAATAATTAGAATAATAAAAGGTATAAGTAAATCTACTGGACCTCTTTTATTTTTCAATTTTTTTTTTTTTATATTTGTTTATTTCACTGATAATAAGATGTATAATTTATAATTTAGTTGGTATAAATTAAGCAACTAGTAGGTATAATAGTGTATGGTAATAATGTTTTAAAAATGAAAAAATTCAAATTAAAATTGTAAATAATTATCATAGTTTACATTAGATTAGTTTTTAATGGTATGATACAAATTTACATTGGTTTAGAAAAATGAATGCAATAATTAAGAATTCATTTTAAAAAATGGTCCAGTATAAGAAACCATTCCCTCTTAAGTAATTGCAGGCGCGTTTTTGAAGGGAAGGGGGAATTAGGAGGGGGATAGCCCCCCATATGCCATGTGATGTTCTTTTTTGTTCTATAAAATATCCATAATTCTTAGTACAAATGTAACTGGTTTCAAATGTCATAAATATGATTCCGGATCTTGGAAATACTTTGATTAAAACGAGAATGAAACACTTCTCATTAATACATTTCAATCAATATTCTCACAAGGATGAGATAGAATTATGGAAAACTAAGTGGTAACAATCTTTTCGAAAAGATATATATAAAATAATATATTTTTAGAATCAAAACTGGAAATGATTAATTTAATTTAAATTTTAGATTATGAGTGTAGCGAAATTTACAATGTTTTTTTTATGTTCTTTTATGTTTCACAAAAATTTCTCCCAGAAATCCTGCTTCAATATGTAAGTGTAGCACTTTTTTTGAAAGAAAATATTATCGTATTGACTAGATGATACTTTCAGAAGGCCATTTTTTTTTATTTTCCAAGCAGTTTTCCTAACATCAAGAAAACCCAGGATAAAACGTAAGAAAAACGGGGAAATTTATGAAAATAATGCTTTTATTATTTTCAATTTTGGTTTTTGCAGTAATTCAGTTAAAAATATTCGTAGAGACTTGAAATTTGGACAGAAAACTTATATTTGTCTTTTCTTGACGTAGTAAAATTGTTGAGCAATTTATAAACATTTTAATTTTGTGAGTTTTTGTACGTAATTTTTATTCGGTAAGTACTTTGTCGATAAAATTGTTAGATCAAACAGAAATACTTGAGAACTTAACATGAGTTCCATTAAAGTCGTACTTTGTGGTAAAAAACAAATTTTGAGCAGAGGCTAACTGGCTTATCACTTTTAAATATTCATCTAAATGAAAATATTAATATAGAAAATATTGTTGATCAAACCGCTTGAAAAACGCTGCTTAAAATAAAAGTATTATGGACTTGGGCTGTCTAACTATAATAAATTATTATTATTATTATTTTTGTTATTAATATTATCATTATTTCAATTATTATTTATTTAATGTGAAAAAAGTTAATTTAACTTTTAAATTGTACTGTTTTACTGCATTTTTGTACAATATATCTGTAGTCTTTTAAGCTAATATAAGTTGAAATGACATCGTATATAAAAGTTTTAAGTTCTTATTAATATCCTGACTGCACTTCTACTTAGTGGATCGTTATCTGTTTGTAAAAACTCACGTTCCTCTATGTTCACTCCCTTATCTGATATTCTGCAGGACGCGTTTCTGTCTCCACTTCTTTTTCTCCTTTTCGTTAACTCAGCGCCTACAGTACTTTATCATGCTAAACTTCTAATTTTCACCGTGATATGAAACTCTGCCTAAAAATAAACTCAGTACATGACTGCCAGAATCTGCAACACGACCTAGTTCTATGGGATGAAAATCTAGGCCACTCTCTCGACATTCAAAAATGTTTTACAATAACTTTTACCCGTCTTTTACTCTACGAAATACACAACATCCCAATAAAGGCATTAGGAGAATCTACGATTTAGGATTTACTCTAACCCCTATATTTCAAATAAGCACATACAAGAAATATGTTGTAAGGCTCTTAAGGTTTTTGGTTTCATCCTTCGTTCTTCTCAACTTTTCCATCTAGTCATGCCCCTCAAAACATTGTACTGCACCCTAGTGAGACTCATCGTTGAGTACAGCTGTGTGTTATTGGAACTGCAACAGATAGTGCTTCTGTAGAGCGTGTTCAGAAAAGGTTTCTCCGTGCCGTTTCTCATTGTTTAAATATTCTCTGATTCCCCGTCCCATATCCCACGACTACTCTCCTGTTCTATCTGGGCCTCCCAAGCTTAGTAGACCGTAGACTGATAAATAACATTTCATTCCTTTTAAATCTCCTTATCGGCAAAATAGATTAATTCACTCTTCTCTCCCTCGTCAACTTTAAAATACCACTTCGTCGCACCCGCTTCCATGCTCCAGTTCATATTCCTCCACTTTTCTACTAGTTTCCTTCAAAACACTCCCCCTAAACCGACTAATGAGAACCGAAAACAATGACCCATCCTTTCAATTATAAAACACAAAAAAGAAAATGCTAAGCAATGTAGAAATAATAATAGTCATAGGAATAACAATAGTAATAGAATTAAATATTAAGTTATCGCTAACAATCCAGAGGTGTATTATAATTAAAATATATGTTAGGTATAAGAATACTCAATGTAAACTGGGCTTGTCCCGTATTTTATAATAAATAAACAAATATCTTACCTTTCCAACTTCTCATCTCTAACAGTGGTCCAGCCATCGTGCGAAGTATGCCCGTCTTTTTTCTCATCAACCATTCATATTAAATTTGATTATTTCGCCCCTGAGTGATTGTTGATAGTGATGGTTGATTACAACTAAAAAAAAAAAAAAATCATAGCTATGTTAATGAATGCATAAATAAAAGCTTGATTAATCTTGTATATAAAATGTTTAATAAATTATACTATGGTGCTATGGGTTATTTTAGACTAATATCAGATTAGGTACAGCATATTTTTTATTTAAATATGTTTTAATATTTTTCTCTAATTTAGTAATTTTTTTTCGTATATCGGCTCTTGTTATTAATATTGTTACATAACATAGGAACTACATTTAGATTTTTTTCCTTTATCTACTATTAAATATACACATTATATTATTTTCAATCAATAAATTACGTAAAGGCTACAAAAAATTATAAAAAATTACTACAATCTACATATTATATAATATTATAATATACTATATAGGTATGCATGCATAATTATCTGATAAACCTTTTCCCTCGCTAACATAAATAATAATAGGTACTTAATATTATTACCTACTTATACAATATTATGCATATATTACTAAAACTTAAGTAGATACCTAATAAAATGTCTATATGGTTCAATGGGTTTTACTATGCATTAGTTATAACATACCTATTTTAATACCTCATCGAAAAGTATTCATCCAAGTTAACAACCTTTCTTCCTTTTAGATGGGTGGTTGACAAAAAAGTATTTTCCAACGAAACTGTATTACAATTAATATTAGAACACACCAATTTTTTTGATGTCTATAGAGAGTCTTATCTATATCCAAAAAATTAATAGACAGTGGTTTTCAAAAGTTAATGAGCGCAAGAAGTACCCAGGAAAACAAAGTTTGGTAGGTAGTTGGTACCCGTCTAATAATACGATAGTAATTTATAAATTACAACTTTTGTTACCTGATTTATCACCTACAGAAAAACTATTTTTATTATTTTATTAAGGGAGTTGGAAACGACGAATTTCTGTCTTTGTCTTACACATGAGGTATAGGGTATTAGACGTATTTTATTTCCAACGTACCGATTGATTTAGTGAAGCGATAAGAATTCTATAATCAGATTTGAATTTGTCGTGAAGTCTACTTGAGATCGAATTTTCCACTTTTTTGATTATTGATTTTAATTTCTCAAATCAAATATTCCATTTTTTCAATCACTCTTTTATTAGTATGTCTTTTTTAGAATTTAAGGAGATAAATTTAAAAAGTGGTTAAGTCTATCTTGCGTAGACTTCACGATAAATTCAAATTTGCTTTCAGAATTCTTATCGCTTCACTAGATCAATCGCTACGTCGGAAATAAAACACGTCTAAATCCCTATATCTCACGTATGTAAGACAAAGACAAAAACACGTTGTTTCCAATCTCCTTAACACATAATACAAAATATATGCAGGTTTTACTTCAGATTCTGAGCTTAGCATGAGATCTATTGGTTATACAGTCATATGATTTTTTTTTTTAACTTTTCGACCAGAAATCTTACTCCAATGAGCAATTTATAGGAATTTGTTAAGTTTTTGTTTAGTATAAATAGAGACTATATGGATAAAATTATTTGGCCAAACAGAAATTCTTGAAAATTTAACACGAGGTTTATTATGAGTCATAAAAGTTTGTTTACTGTAAAATAGATAAAAATGAGGTTATCTTGTATTAATTCTAATCTACTCTTCACTCTACTAATAAACTCTAAACGTTATAAACAAATTATCATGTTCATGTAATAAGTACTTTTAATACAATTAATTATTATTATTTGTTCTATATAAATAATACATATAAACCGTACAGATTTTCATTATTTTTGCAATCCTCCCCCTCTGAGTATTATATTAACATATATTATGTACCTGTATAAGAGGTAAAACCATTGAACTTTTAAAATCAATTGAGGTACCGTAAGTCTTTAACTTACCATAGTCACGTTTCTGCATTAGGTATGTTTGTTTAATCGATAACAACTAAAGCTGAAACATATTATTTTGTTTTTTATTTTGTAATATTAGATGAAATTATTTATATTTGTTAGGCAATACAATAAGAAAATTCGATGAAAAAAACCATTTCTTTTGCCTAATTATACTAATTGTCTGTGTAATATAATACAGAAAAATGAATAATAATCGCGAATCTAAAATACCCATACAGAATAAAATATTTCATTTTGACGATCATCATATTGAGAAAATTTGTGTGAGTTTAGAAAACGGTAAGTATATTATTATAACTATTATTATTGTACACTAATATTTAGTTAAGTAACACTATATTAATTGTTCCCACTTTTGTCCTGTAGAAATGCACCTATACTAATGTAGCCATGTAGAACGTATAGGTAGGTATACAAACTGTTGTATACATTATTGCAGTAATTAACTTTTAAAGTATACACTCTGCAGGGACGAACCGAGAGTGGGTTATGGGGGGAAGGGGTGCGACACTCCCTCATTCAGCAATATTAGAATTCTAGTCGGCAATCGTCACTTGGTAAATTTATTCGACCAAAATATATTAGTATACAACATTATTTCAAAATGAGAAAAAGAAAATTGAATAACCACAAATTCGTTGAGAATAACCGGTGATTATTTCTCCTCAAAATTGGAATCGGCTACAAACTTATGAAATTCGTTTGATTTCACCGGTCACACTGGTTATAAATCGATCATACAATTTTGTGACCATCTTGGATAGATGGTGACGACCGGTAACTTTTCATCATCCCTTCCAAAATTATTATTTCTCCTCCTAAACCATCGGCGCAGCGTCTAGGACATGTCATTGTTATTATCGTAGCTGTTTAAGTTGTTATTGTTGTTGTATTGTTGTCTGTCATACAAAATGAGTATCTTCTTATTATTTCTTATTATTATTTTGCAATTGAAGAGGGTAAGTCATCTATAAAGAATGTAAGTTAAACGAATATCTTCACCGTTGTCACCATCTCATCGGTTACTATGAACTGTAACCGTTGAATTGAACCGTAAAATGGTTTACTATCAATTTGTAACCGGTGACTTAACGAATTTGTAGTAAATGATTTATTAGTTTAATACGATTTAATTAACTATAAATAAGTTAAAATTATTAGTTTAACTTGTTATTTCTGGGCGACTATGCAAGTACAGTGTCGAGTGTCGAGGCAGTTTAGTGAGAGTCAGTACAAGATAACTAAATCTACCTAGGTAACTATTACTTATTTTACATTATTAGCAACGTTCCGTTTCATGGTATCGTAATTCTAATCGACAATGTATTACTCTACAGTTTTTGGGCTGTAAGTTGTATGTAAATTTAACATTAAAACACTCCTCTCTCTCTTTTGAAAATCCTGGCTACGCGCCTGTTCTGTTGTTATTATTTGATTATAATGTTTTATTATTTATGATAATTTAGAGATTGAGAATTTAAAAGTAATCAAAAATCAAAACCAGGCATTTAAAACACCCGATGGTCAGCATTTTAAAGCGGCTTTGTATGAAACTAAAACAATAACACTTTTAGAATTGCCATCGTTGGCACCGTCTATTAAGACCACTTCAAATACACAAAAAGAGGTTAGTATAAAACTATGAATATTTCTTTAGAAACAGGTAGGTTATATAGGTACCTACTCAATTTATCATATTATGCAGAACCACGTTTAATGAAGGACAATTGTCAGTGGCGGACATTTTCCGTGAACCAACATAGTAAACTAACAACTGACATTATTTATAAAACAACAAAAAGTAGTTTACCCATAGAAAGTTTAGATAAATGTGGGATCACCCCCCCCCTCCTTGGGGTTTTCGTTACCACTATGAATTATTACCTACAAATTTAAAAATTGTACCATATTACCACTTTGAATTTGAAATTCGCTCCCCTCTCTTCCGAGCTCATTAAACTATGTACATACACAACTATCTTTTAGATATAGATACCGCTTATAATGTTAATTTCAGATAAACGAAAGCAGTAAATATGTCTTACATGATGCTGTACAAACTTCAAGAAGTTTTCAAAGAACACAACACACGCAAACAGAGCCAATCACTTTGAAAGTAATTTTTAGTTAAAATAATGATCTATTTAAATATTTTGTTTAATTTCCACGTATTAATGTTAAAATCCCACTTCTAATTATATTTTATTATAAATTAATTATATTATTTATTTATTTATGATTTATTGCATCTACCTATAAATCATAATTTTAAAAATTTTATAAATTATAAAATTATGATTTATAGGTAGATGCAATAAATCATAATTTTATAATTTATTCATAGGATCAATCAAACATTGTGTCTGTATGGTTGCTTCAAAAAGAAATCGTCGATAAATCATTCGTAAAAGAAAAAGGTAGATTAACTCTTAACCATTATGACGGCAAGTCCATAACTGAAGAAAAATAATTTCACGGGGGTTATAAATTAAAAATGTGTGATGTTCTAATTTTATTGAAATTTTATATAGGTTATAATATAATTATGTATCAATATAACATGAACAATTTCTGAGTGTGGGATGAGGTGAGTGGAACCTCTAAAACCTCCACCCAAGTTCGGCTTTGTGTGATGTTAATGTATAATTGTTCTTTAAAAATATTTCTGGAAGAAGGTTAATTACATTATTGTAACTAAACATCATATTTGAAATGTTTAAAAAATAAACCATAAAAAATAATAATTTTTTGTCAATGTTAAATCTCAATTAACTATATTTTGCTACTTTTTTTTAGAAACCGAACCAAATAATTTAAAGAAAATGGTATTTATATCCGATCGAATTGTGACGTCAAATAATTTTTCCAAAAGTCAAATCGAATTTATAATGCGGCAACCGAGTGATAGTAAGTATACGTATATTCAGGCCCGTTGTAGGGGCTTGGAGGCCCATATTAGTAAGGGGTAATATTTTATTAAAATGAGAACAGACTGTTTATTTCCGAAATTTTCTGATTATTATCAAAATATATTATACTCCCCGTCGCCGGACGGTTCTTTGGTGTTCGGTGGGAGTTTGTATTATATAGGTACCTATATTTCTCCAAACCACGAGATTTTATATTATCTTATCGACTATTGCTCTTTTATTTTGGAAAAATCCGATTGTTTGTTGGTGTGTCGATTATTTTTAAATTATAATTATAGTGTACCTATGTACTTCGTGTATCTATGGTAGAAAATAAAAAAGCTAAAAGCCCGGGAGGCGATCAAAGCCTAGATGCCTTGATTAGGCCGACACTGAATACCAACCCAGTTTAGCACATAGTTTTTTTTTTTTTTTCATTTTATCCGTGTTACTAAGGTATATTGGTATAAAATTTACACGTTTATTTTAATTAATAACTAATTATTTACTAACTTAATTTGACTAAATTTATGTTTAAAACCTGCTCTGTGATGTCTTCTTTAATTTAAAAAAACTGCATGGCGATTGAATAAATAGTTTCGAAGTTAACCCGTAACAAAGATTTCCATATTCGCTTTTGTAGATATTAGTTTTTCGTATATAGATGCATAATTTCAATATTAACAATTCACTCCTATATTTTCTAACATAAACACTTAATTAATTGTACCTATTATAAATGTATAGATTTTAATACAACGTTTTATCGCTATACAATAGAAGAAATATTACAATTTTCAAACGATAAACTAATGAATTTTACAATCACGTCATTTATATGGAACAGTGCGAATGAAGTAAATTATATTATCAATACCTAATATAGTATACAGTATAGTGTGTACAGATTCTAGAGTAGTATACTTAGTTACGGTATACTAATAATTGCTTATTGCCAAAAATATAAAACATTTATTTTAATTTCATTTTTTTTACTAACTATTTTTAGAATATATTCGCAGTAGGATACGGTAAATATAATGACAAATCGTTCACCTGCTTTAAAGGAGCCGTGTGTTGTTGGTCGCTCAAAAATCCAGTATATCCAGAAAGGATATACGAATTCGACCAGCCCATTACTTGTCTCGATTTTTCAAAAATCAACGTTAATGTCCTTGTCGCCGGCAGTTATGGAGGATATATCTACACTTTGGATATAAGTCGAGAAATTTGTAATCCAGTTATAATCAATAAGTAAAAATATGATTTTTTTTTTATTTATTTACTTATTTTTATTCCGAAGGTAGGTTTGTTATTTATATAGCTTTATAGCTACATACAAATAACTAAATAAATAGGTAGGTATAATTATTCTACTGATTAGAACTAAGCTTCGACAAGTTAGTCAAATTTCCTAATTAATTAAAGTTAAAATAATAATACTGAATTTAATTATTATTTATTGCACAGTTAAACATTGAATTGTACAATATATACGCTCAAATATTTGGCCTTCAGGCTCCAGCACCTATAACTAGTCCAGTTCATCTTGGCTATCGGTAATATTATGGATTTTTTTAAATTCGTAACAGTCGCCAATGGCCAAGATGATCTTGATAACAAGTTATAATAGACGCTCAACTAGACGATATCACGGTTTTATATTTTACAAACACTTGTTGTTTAAATACACTATCTATACGATATTTCATTGATATTAGTAAAATGTATGTCTTCAAATCTTTTGATCTAAATGCTATTCGACCAGTGGCGTCATTTAAATTTTTTTTGGAACATAATATGTATTATGATTACTTAGAAACTCAGGCCACAAATCTTATTTACAATTTTCAATATAATAAAAATAAAATAATCCACATATTTTCCAACATATCTATTAAACCGTGCAATAAAACATTAAGTAATATAAATAATAAATTTTAATCCACAAAACATGACAATTATAAAGAATTTGATAATCATGAACAATATTCACGTAATATTCTAATCAAGTTTTCGGTTTTAAATCAAAAGAAAAACAAAATACAAATTTAAAAATAAAATATGTAGATTAGTTATGCGCAATCCATTATCCATTATTTAGGTCAAACGATTTATAACACCCAATCAAATTACTTTAATATTGAATTTTAAATACGCAAATGCATACTTTGTGTGATCCAAATGACAAATTTAGGTAAAACGTGCAATTCAACGATTCCGGTAGTACCTATATAAAACCATGACGTATGCAATAAAATATGTATGGTAATGTACATTGGCACATTATAAATTATATTTTATAATCAGTAACATTTTGTAATGAACTTAATTTTCAGTCTAAAGCCGCGTTTACACGATTTACTTTTGATGAATTTTCGATGAATTAAAAATGAACAATATAAACATAAAATCATTAAATTGATCATCCAGCATGAACAATGAACGAATTTGGGATAAGTCTTATTTTTTTCACATTAAGTGAATCATTTTGAGTGATTATAGTTTAATCATTAAAAGTGAACCGTGTAAACGCTGCTTTCATTTTCACTACCAGTGAAACACTCGTTTTTTCAACGTGATAAACAGTTATCCACATTAACCAAATTTTTCCATCAACCAATTTTATGATATTTTTTTGGTTTTCTACTTTTGAAAAAAAAAAATTTGAGCAGTTGATCCTAAACTATGAGCATATAACTTATAAAGCAGGGGAATATCCTACCTACATCCTTTCTTATAATGTATTTATTTTATTTTATTCAATTTACAGACATAATAATTAATATTATAATTATATAATTATATAATTCAATAGGTTTATAATAAAATTTTCAGATGACAAGGTTATTAATAATAATAATATATTAGTTAGGTTAAGGTAACTATCTGTTTGGAAAATAAGAAAAAGAAACAGTAATGGGATTTATTTAATTTAATTATTTACTATCTACATTTCTCATACGGCTTTATTACTATGCACAGAGTGATTTTTTTTTTTATCATGAATCAGCAATTTTCTCAAAATATTTCAAATGAAGTTAATTTCTGTTTTTTTTAATCATTGTGGAATCAGTTAAGATTTATTTTAAAATAATTTTTATTTTTTACCCCTACTTCATATATCTTAAATAAGTATAATCAAATTCATTTAAAATTTTCCGAGATAATTGTTGGTTCATGATAAAAAAAATCACTCTGTATTATATTATTCAAACATTTCAAACTGGTATTAAAATACATTATATGCACTTATTGAAATTTATTGCACCCTATTACACTAACAGATAAAGTATCTAATTAAACATGATTATCACATGTTCTAGGAAATATTTACAAAACTTTCCTATATGGAGTGTAGTTTCATTTTTTCAAAAAAGTTATACTTCAGAAGATGAGTTTGTACTGTCAGCAGATAGTAATGGGACAGTACGGAAATATTCAATTATTAATGAAGCATGCCATTCAGGTAAATAGTATAAATAGATATAGCTGGTACATACCTATGAGTATCATCCTGTAATTTTTTATAATAATACTCAGACACTCTTTTTTGTCCTACAAATAACTCCACTTATAAAAGTAGGGACAAAATAAATGTATCATTGGAAAGGCGTTGACAAATAGAGTTGCATAAACTAAAAAAATTGCACAAAGGTATATTGCTTTTAAGACAGATAAAATCATATAAACGAAATAAATACATGCTTTTCATGGGCGGCATATACGTTTTGGCAAATTACCTTTTTTTCCGCATAATAAAAACAGTGTATTTGGATAAGCTTCTCAGTGTTTAAGCAAATTTCTAATAACGTATTTGAACGAGTATGGTAGTAGGTACAATATAAAATATAAAAAGATAAAATTTTAAACAACACATACTAAAAATGTTATAAGCCCAGTTCAGACGATCAAATATTTAATCAAATTATCCATAACCAAAACTCTGTAGTAATTTAATTTGTACAATAATTATCATAGGTAGTACCATTTATTACCTATTGATTTATAATCAATGGTAATAGGTACTAATCACGATGCAAATAAAATTTCATCAACATCGTGGTACTAAATTATTACTTATTAGGATATTCTTACATTAGAACTACAACATGAGTTACGACCGTGAATAATTAATAAGACTATATAAATTATAGAAACTAAGGAAATTCATCACAATATGGGAGTGATGTAACAGCAGTATGAGGAACATTTGTTTCTATTTTATTCAATTTCGCATTCCAAATATTTATTTCTGCTTTTAATACTAATTCTGAACTTGAATGTAAATCTTGGGCACAGATCATTCCAGTCTTTACTATAGCCCCAGTATTGTATGCATCTTTTTTAATTAGAAATAGCCCTTCAAGTGGAATAACTATAGAAAATTTATCACTGAATCTAGATTTTAATTCTTGAATAATGTGGTATAAAAATTGTTATTTTAAACCACTTTATAGGATTTATGTTGATGTTGGCATTAATCTTTTTCCTCTTTGTTTGGAGACCACTAAGTCGAGGGACTTTTAATTCTTCAAAAATGTTATATTCATGGCCCGACGGAAGAAAAAAGTGGTCCAATTCAAATGTTTGCATCTCTATTGTAAAACTGAAATTATGCCCTTGTATTTATTTTAACTTGAATTATGTTTTATTTATTTCATAGGTTTCATTTATTAACGGCCCGATGTATACCTTTGTGCATTATATTTAATATTAATATTTTTAAATTTATCGGTTTTAGAACAGATTTCGTTGATTTATTGTGGTATTCGAAACAATGTGGACATTACTGTAAAAACGAACAAAAATTACGATTCAACAATAATTGTACAAAACATGTCCGGAACAACCATAACGTTTCATCCGGTGTACAAAAATACATATTTCATAGGAACTAACGTTGGTTATATCGTACAGGTATATTTATAAAATAAAAAAAAATTGTACATCTACAACATATTATATAAATGTAACATATCGTAAGTTCATGATATCAATACCTATAATAGTCATAAACAAGGTGGCTTATATACCGCTTTGGTTAAATTTTGCATATATTCAATTTCTGATTTTTGGAATTTTTAAGTGTAGTTAAAGCCGATATTTTCGAATATTAAGATTTTTTATAACATTTAAGAAGTATTCTATGGTGATATCAATTTGGGTATTTAGAATGAGAACTTATATTGAAAATTCCACAAATAGACGGAGTATTACTTTAAATAAATTTTGGTGTCAGAATTTTTGATTTCCGTCAACCCGTTAACGAGATATTCCACTTTTAAGTTTAGGTGACGGAGGAGTAGTGGAGTATCATTTTGTGTTAATTTTATAACATTTATAAGTGCTTCACTGTTCTCCCCCTACCGAAATTTAAAAGTGGAATATCTCGTTAACGGGTAGACGGAAATCAAATATTTAATTAAATAAATGGGGTGAGCACGCTTATTGAATCACTCTGTATAATGCCTGTATAGTGTTCATGCGTTTCCAATAGTTTAAATTTATGTAGAATACGATTGATAGCTACAACCATTACGACAAAATGTTTATGGCCCACGATGGTCCGGTTTATGGAATTAAATTTTCTCCGTTCTGCTCGAGTATTTTCATTACGTACGGTGCCGACTGGAAAATCAAAATTTGGATGGAAAACACAGAGTCACCGCTTTTATCTCTGAGCTATTGTGTGCGTTTATTATTATTATTCGTACAACCTGAGCTATTGTTTAAGTACTTAGGTAATAATATTTTAGAACGCTGTAGTTGACGCCGACTGGTCGCCTATAAACTCCACTGTGATAGTCAGTGTTAGCGGTTCAGTCATATGCATTTGGGATTTTGCGAGAAAAACAGTCGAACCTGTAATGACGTTTACATGCAAAACCGGCATTCATTTCTCATTGGTAAAATTTTCAAAACATGGAAACGTAAATAGTATTCATTAATTCAGGCTAAATAAAATATATAATATAGGAATTATTATTATTAATTTATTTTTATTTTAGAATATTATCACAGGGGACGTAAACGGATTAGTTAGGTGTTTTCACATAAATAACATGCCTTCACCATCATTCCTCCAGGTAAACTATTTAATATTTATTTTAATTAGGTAATATACCTATTTAGGTACCCGATTAAATGAAATACCTATAAGTATTTGTGTTTTAATTTTTTAAACAAAACGTAGATCAAATAATATACTTTGCACATGAGTGGCGGTCACTGGGTATTTATTCTATCTCTATTATAATATCAAATACCTATTAATTTATTACCATAATAATATAATACCTACTTAAGTGTTGTGCATATTTGTGAACACATGAAAGCTCCTTCTTCGTTTAGTTCGAGTTTGAATATTTAAAACATAAAATTATTTGATTTCAGAAAGTTCATAACATTTTGTAGGGATTATGGAGTCTTTCGTTGTATGTAAGGTATTTGAATCAAATAGTGCTGATTTATCATTGCTTTCAATATTTAAAAAACAAGGTAGGTTCCAGATTTGTTTTCAAATATTATTATGATATATCATGCATAATGTCCTTGACGGTTTCGTAGTTTAATCACTTTCTTTTTGGTTGATCTTTGACCTTTCGTCCTGACTTTAGTTCTCTGTTTTGTGACCATTATCTTTCCAAAAGTAAAATGTTCACCAATGTCAGGACATATTCCAGTAGGGCAAAAGGATATGAGAGAAATACTATTCGTGATAAATTTAATTCTGGAAAAATATTGTTAATCAACAAGGTATAATAATTATCATTTTTTTTTTTTTTTTTTGCAGAAAAATTCTATTATAACAGCATTAGAAAATATGGTATCATCAAACAAAGAGCTCGTACAGTTTTTACGAAAAAAAAGGTATTGACTGAATGTGAAATGTAACTGTGCATTAGTTAACTAAGTAATAATAAATAGATAAACATTTTTTCCTGCGTTTATTTTCTGTCTGTAACAAGTTTTAGACCAGTAGATTTATCCCAATCATAAACAAAGCAAATGTTAGTGCATTGGCGATAACATTTTTTTAAATTTACCTCTGATGTTGAGAATAAGGTACCAACAATAATAAATAATACAAATTTAGATTGTTAGTGAAGCGAGGAATGTAGGTATTGCTTTTAAAATGATGTTTATTTTATTATTTTTTTTATCTGTAAACAACTTTTCTACCAGTAATATTGCTTCAGTTTTTAAATGTAGTATATTTTTTGAAAATAAAATTTTATTTGGATTGTTTGACCAAATAGAAATGCTTGAAAATTTAATAGGAGATTATAATAAGTTGTACTTAGTGCAGATAAACATTAAATACCCTTCAATATCTTTTTTCCTAACTTCTTGTCTACAATTGTGGCCCATCCATTGTGTTAAGCAATATATGTCTGTCTTATTTTTATATACCTTCTTACTTTGGCTAGGTATTGGTACGAGGAACATTCAGAAAGTAAGGTTACAAGAGCCGGATTGTTTTTTTTTGGAAATTTCTTTGATCACATTTTTGTTAACTAATAAATATATTTATTATTATAATTATTAACATACTAGTTGTGTTTATTTTATTTCATTTGGTACTTGGGTAGTTAATTTTTTTGAGAAATTTGATAACTTTGATATAATACTAACTTGCTTAAAATCTATTAAAAACACAATCATACACAAAGTACAGCAATTTAATTCATAGAATATATTAGAACTGACAAAAGTGGAGGATATAAGGAAAATTGTTTATGGAGGTGGTAGTATAAAAAAATATACCTTATAAGCTAAGAGCAACCCTACACAGAATTTCAGGCTTTGATGGCTGGAGAGTCGTGTGTACCATGCTAAAAAGAATGTGTATGGAGCAGGTTAAATACAATTACTTTCTACACAAATGGAAAATGAAAGACTTACAGCAATGTTAATAATTATAAATTATCAATGGCATTATAGAGGAATGCGCATAAACAAGGTATAATGGAAGTATAATATTGATTTTCAGATAGGCCTCTTCAATTATTGAAAAGGCGATACATTGGGTATTTTATTATACATCTTAGTTTAGTTGTTGATTGTTTAAGATTTGGTGAGTTATAGGAGTTATATAGGTTTTACTGTTTTTTTTGTATTATATTTTTTCTGTTAGTAAACAAAATTTTGAAAAGAAATTTTGCTTGGATGCAAAGAGTATAGTTTTTTCTGAAAGGAAATTGTGTCTAGTTAGTGCTTGAGAGAGGCCATTCTTTGATTTTTTAATGGGCTTTCAAAATAATTGGAAAACCTCGAAAGAAAATTATAGATACAATGGTAAATATTTGCAATAAGTTGGCGTTACCAACTTATTGTTTTTAATTTTTGCAGCCTACCAGAAATATTGCTCCAATCAAAATATGACAATAGATCGATTTTGTTCCTTTTAACATATAACTTCTGACACAGAAAGTTGTTTTTTGATATCAAAAGTGTTTTACATAATGATTAGGAAAAACCAAAAATGATGAAAAATATGAATTTCTTCAAATTATGGCTCAATGATTTCATTATTTTAAACTTTTAGGGTTCATGTTTCCATTATAAATATTGATCCAATAGAAAAATGCAACAAAAAAGGAGACCTTTTGTGTTGTATTTACAGTCTAGTTCTTAATTTATTTATTTTTTGACTTCTTAGTAGTTTTATTCATAATTGAGCATAACCGAAAAACTGTAGAAATAATAGGATATTAATTTTTTCATTATTTAAAATTGTTTTTATTAATGTAATTCATTTAAAAATATTAGTAGACTTTAAAATTGTTTAACAGAAAGCTTAAAAATTTAATCAATAATATATATTATAAATATACATTATTATTATTATTATAAAACAGAATATTTTGAAACTTGATAGACTTGATGACTAAACAATAGTTTGTTAACCATATTTTTAACATAGTAATAACCAATTACTTATGTTTTAATTGTTGTACTATTATATCTGATGGTTTATTAAAATCAGAATTAGGCATAAATTATACGTACAACCTTTATAATACTTCAAGCCTATTATTCTTTATATTTTTTTGTATTATAATAATAATAACTAATTAATCATAAATAATTATTTTTGAAAAAAATATAAAATAAAAAAACTGAAGATTGGTAAAGGTAAAACCTTAAAATGTTTTCCAATTTTGTATTATTTTTTTTAAAATTTGAATGAAAACCTCTCCACTAATGTATTACCCAATACCCATTTAAGAGGGAAGCACATATAGGACATGGATAAACAAACAAATGTTATGTAATACTAATAACTATAAAATCTATTCAATTTAATATTATATTATTAATTTAATAATATTTTTGTGAAACATGAAAACTTAAAATATTCAATAAATGTACTGTATAATTTTCAATTTGGATTATCAAAATTACAAATTGTATAAATGTGATAACTGAGAATAATTGTTCAATAATTGATATAATTAAAAAAAAAATGGGAATGATATATTAATATAAATTATTTACAAAATAAATAAAATAAAATTTTAGGCTCTATTGTATTTTCCCCAAATGTGCAACATAAAAACAGATGCAATGAACAGTAGCGACATCACTAATACTGGTACTGGACCTCTGAAAAAGAGGGTAAATTTCAATAAAATTAATTAATAAAAATGTACAAATTTTTACATAAAATTAAATTAAAGTACACATTTGTCAAATTTACAATATTAATTTAAATACTGCATCAAGTAGTAAGATGTAGAATGCTGTAAGACAAATTTTCTACAACTTAACTATATAGTTTGATGATGGTTAGAAATTACAGTTTTTATATTACAATTTTGGTATCATAATAGTAGCAATGATAATATTTTTAATTACCAGCAATCGAAATGCTTACACTGCTTATATCAAATAACGATTTAAAAAAAATTATAACTTGTGCTATTATTAAGAAAAGATGGTGTAGTGTGTATAATTAATTTCAATCAAAATGGAATCGCAATTTTTTCCGGATTTAATAAGTCAATTTTTTGCCAGTCTCTATTCCTTTGTTGGCTTTTAAATACAATTGTGAACTAATCATCAAAGTCAAAAGTTTTAGTGTGCACTAGTCTTAGTAATCAGTTGATTTTAAAATATTACAAAAACATAAAAAATTATTGTTTTATACATACACTTATATACTAGCTAAATTATTACCTATAGTTGCCTGTAGTAATAAGCAGTATCTATAGTAAAGTAAATTATGTAAATTGTACATCTCAATGTCATATTATAATAATAAAAAAATCTATAGTTTTCATCAATTATTCAAAACGAACATTAATTTGATTCTTTCTTAAAATTCTGAATTTTAACTTCCTGATAAAAAAATATTTTTAAGAACTATCAGTTGGAAACACCTTATTGTGCAGATAACATTAAAAATGTTATAAAATCATATATTAGATTATTAGAAAGATACAAGTTATCTTTGGTCAATTTTATAATTAAGCAAAAATTAAGTAAATATATTTTATAATACCATAAAACACTAGTTAGAGTTATGTAGTATGTACAACATCTGTATTACTAGAAAATCTTAAACCACAACTAATAAGTAACAATTTTAAAACATGTACTACAGTCATATATCTGTCAAAAAATTAAATAGATCAACTTGTGCAATATAGATTAGCCCAAAAGTAAAAATTGTGTTAAACACAATGCTAAACATTTTTAATATTTTATACAATACACAAATCATGATTTAAATTTTTTTCTTTTTTAAAGATTTTATATTAAATAACTTCTTACACTTTTATTCCAGGGGAGTCATCAGTGTAAAAACGCCACATGCCTCCATGATTTGATCCAGTATTACGATTTCTTACTGATGTAGTAGGTCCTGTCGTTTTTCTAGAAAATAAATTAAAATAGTTCAATATCTGTATGCAATGATTAACCATTACTAATTAAAAAATGATTATGAGTGGAGTTTGGTTAATAGTGTTGCCTTTGTCACACTATGGTAAAATAGTTTCATATGCATTTTATATTTTTTAATAATATTTGTTTAATATTGTACCTATTTTACATCAATATGACAGACAAATATGCTACAAATGTTTTGAAGATTTTACCACATTCAGAAAAAGCAAATATACATTTTTTATCCTAATTTCAAGTCTTTACAGTTATTTTTTAACTGAATAAAAACAAAAAATTGAAAACATAATAAATTTTCCTCGATTATAATGAAAAAAATACCTGAAAAAATCAAAAAATGACCTTCTTAAAGTACCACCCTGTTAGATTTCCTTTCAGATAAATTGCTATACTTGAATATCGGAGCAAAATTAACAATATAAAAGTTGTCCACAAAAAATAAATAAAAATAAACATCATTGTAAACATTCCTTGCTCCCCTTAGAATCCAAAATTCTTCTTTATAATAGGTAACTAATATAAATACATTAAGACGGTGATAATTTCAATTGTAAATGTACATTAATATAGTGGATTGGTTTTAATTATCCCTCTGTTTAAATTGTTTTAGTTAATTTAAATATATTAAAATGTATGAAAAGTTGAGATCAATCTAAGAATAATTAAATTTTTAGTGATTGGCATAAAAAAATATAATTGAAATATTATTACCGTTGCCTAAGAACATTTCCAGCAGTTCTAGAAGCACCTGGTTTTGTTGGTGATCTTGGGCCAGCACTAGTCGACTGCATTGCACTAGGATTTACAGGCTAAAACATAAAACATTATTGTTAATAATAAATCTTTAAATATAATATTTGTATTATTATTATAATCAACTAATTTAGTACAGGACAGTATTTTTATTACAATAGTTTAAATGTAACAAAAAATCTATTATTTGAACAAAAATAAATATACATTAGAGTTTTATCGATTACAATGGGTATCTCAGAGTTTAAAAGAATTACTACAATTATATAAATATGTATTTTTATGTTTGAATTGTCTAGTTACAGCTATTTACAACTTGATTTTCACAAAAAAGTTACATGTCTTAAAAATATTTTACCTAAGTAATGCCTAAATTTTGAATTTGTTTATTTAAGAGTTAAATAAACAGCTGCCAGTTAATTGTACCTTGCAGTATAAAAAATTCACTTTTTATGATAAAATATATACTTAATAGTTTAAACTTATGTTAACTTAATTACCTATTACTTTTTTTGTAAAATTAATAATTGAATAAGCAGCTAGTATTTTCATAATACTTTACTTTTGTATAAGAGCATTTTTTAACATTGTATCAAATATTAAATGTCCAATGAAATAACTTATGATCTTTTGATTTGATAAAAAGTTCACAGTGAAATTCCAGAGAAACTATATGTGTTTTTCACTGACAATGTGCCAGTGTTTTGAAAAATACAATTTTAGTGTTAACATGGTTAAATAAAAATAATATAGGTACTTATATTTTTATTTCATGTATATTAATGATTGTGAATATGATATTATCATAATATTAGTGTTATGATGATGTATTTAATCTGGGTTTTTAATGCAATAATAAACAATTTGAGTACAATTTTAATCAATCCAAATAACTAAAATCCAAAAATATCATTTATCCATTTTGATTATGTATTTATTTAATAACAGTTTTAAATTAAAGCAACAGTAAAATGCTATAATAATAATGATAATAAATATTATACAAAATTATAGGTAGTTTAAATATAACATAATTAATCATGAATGACGGGATCCATATTGGCAATATACATTAAGTGTCTCAATAGCTTAAAGGGATGTTGAAATATTTAAGTGATAAAAGAACATTTTATTGGATAACAGACCACCTATACAAAGTCTTGCTAACATCCATATATAGTCAGCTAAAGATTCTAGGTCAAAAACCTTTGTGACAGAAGTGTACTCATGAAGGAGACATAGGATGCCTAAAATAAAGCTAGCATATCTCTAGAATTTTCATTGGGCTCCACTAGGAGTGTGTGGGTCCCAAATTATTGATACATACTCTAAAATAGATCCCATTAGTGCACAATAAAATGTCTTTAACGTGTAATTTAGGGAAAACTTTAGTTATTTTCATTATAAATCCAAGATTCTTCAACGCTTTACAGCATATCATATTGATAAGAGTTGGGATCCATTGAATTGTTAAATTTAAAATCAAGATCAATTATATGATTATCTGCTCATAGAGGTACAGAGCCCATTATATTATAGGAATACATTATTGGAGATCAATTTCTGCTGAATGTCATTAGTATTACTTTACACATAGATATGTTTATCATAATGTGAAGTACTCAACAAAAGGGTTCAAATCATTCAGGTGTTGGCAACAGTATTTAAATTATTTACAGGCATATAAATACGCATGTCAAGAGGAAAATACGGTAGGTTACTGTGGTGCAATACATGACTAACATTGTTGATGAATAACAAAAACAGAAGAGGAGACAGGTGATTACCCTAGGGTACTCTGGATAATGCTGAAAATGACTTTAACTCATTGACGCCTATTTTCAAGGAGTTTAATGAAAATATAATGGTTCACAAAATCAAATGCTTTATTAAAATCTGTGTAGACAACATCTACCTGCGACTCTACATGAAAAAACTCAAATAAGAAATTACTAAAAACTAAATTACAAGTTGTGGTTAAGCGAATAATAATTCTGATAATTGATGACTGAATGCAGTTTAATACCAAGGTTTCAAACATTTTATACAAGGAGGATTGAATAGAAATCAATCTATAATTTGAAATAACGGATTGACTGCCAGCCTTATGAATCGATATGACGGAACAACAAATTTTCCGCAAAGTTGGAAACATACCTTTGTCTAAATAGTAACCAAAAGGGATATGAAATTATTTGTCTAAACTAGAATAGATACTCACCACAGAGACTATAAGGGCCAACCAATCAAACGCCATATTTTATGATTATTAATAATTATTGCGTTCGTGATGGAGCGACAAAGTTCATAGTAATTAGTGCATTAAATTGAATTTACTTTAGCACTCATTGTGCACTTTTTGTAAAATTTATAATGACATAACTTGATTACATACATAAAAATGATATATTAAATTCTGAATTAAAAATATACTATTATATATAAAGTATACTAGTTAATACAGACAAAACTACAAAAGTACCATATAAAAATATCTTTAACCTGAATACAATTAAATATTATTGAAAATTATAATCTAGGCATATAGACATTATGTCAAAAAAATAACAAATAAAATGGGTATAAATTCTATTCAATTTTTCCAATTATCGTATAACATTTTGGCAAAAAACTATCAATCAATTGTAGAGCATAAATGATGGGTAGGTATAGTACATAATATTATGTGATATACTGTATAATATACACAAGAAGATTGTGTGAAGATATAAAAGTGGTGTACCAAGAATTAATTGGCCACCAAAGCCACTAAAGACAAAAAAATAGTTAGTTTTACGGAGTAGTTTTAAAGGCCGGAAACCAATAAAATAATTAATAATAATAATACACATCAAAATCAAAATAAAATAAGTTTAATAAAGTCAATATGGCCACAATATGAGGACAAAATTAATAAATTTTTAATAAATTCATTAAATGTAAGTAATATATATTTTAGATATACAAAACCGTTTCATAGACTTTTATACATTACCTAACCTAAAATGTATCGATACAAATTGTATTGGTCATTTGTTCAGTAGGTATAAGTTTGGATAAATAAATAATTATATAATTTTTTTTTAAATGTGGTAATTTAAGTATACAGTGTATACCAAAAAAGCATTGAACATTTTTTTTTTTTTAATGACCATATTATATACATTACCATATGACCCATATTACTTACATGGGTGATATAAGTATGTTCCATAACATTTTTCATTGTTTGTTAATTTATAATAACAAATTGGTATTTTTAAAAGTTTCATTGTATTATTATTATGTTGCGCTATATTAAATGACAAATGTGATTTCCAACACGAGTTTTAACTAACTTGAGCACTTGGTAATATGTAACGACAGCTACTATTACAAAAACTAAAATTGTATGGTTTACAACAATTGAATAAAAAGGAAATTTACAATGAAAACAACATTTTTTTTTTTTTTTGATCGCATGACGATTATAAGGAATATTAATGAATATATTAGTACTCATTGTACTTTTGACCAAAAAAACAATAGGTACCTACATTGAAATGAACAAGTAATATTTATTGTAAAATTTAACTGTACCTACCTAATAAATAATTAAATATTATTATAGTGAATGCTAATACAAATCTTACCATTTTCGGCTTCTCGATATTATTGCAACTGAAATGTCAACTGAACGAAACAGAGGAAATACGTAAAATGTACGTGGAAGGCAACAAGCAATAAGCACCGTGTACAAATGTATTGACGTTTCGGTCAGCACGTCCCGTTACTCGACAGTCGACGATAGTTCGGCGTTTACGTGTCGTTAAGTGTTCAGAAACTATACACGTTGTCAGAATGACGAGATACGATCGTGAAATTGTTGGCATCATGGAAGTAAAAGTCAAATTTAATGAGGAATCAAATCCAGTTATAATAGATAATATATTATCTATGGTTATAACCATGGCTGTCGTTTGTCAAGGCCTCATGATGAAATAGATATCTCTGAATGATAACAACAATCAACATAAATAACATTCGAATACTCAATTGTCAAAATATTAGTTCAATATTAATTACTTAAAAATTATTTAATAATAGATCATTTTCTAGGTCATAATACTAAGATTGTGTTAGATTCGTACAGTCTCATACAGTTATACATCCATTGATAATACGTTGTTTAGCACAAAAAATTATGTTAATGATAACTGTACAATGTATAATCTAAACTGTTATAATCTATTAATTATGTTATTTTCGATTAAAACAGTCCGTGCGAGCGACTACGCCGGGTCTCTTGATACACACAAAATACATTTGACGTGGTTTTGCTAACAAATCTGAGGATCTTTTTATTAAACTTGCATATTGGAGCAAGATTTCTGCTAAAAATGTTTATTGTAAATAAAAAAAACATCAGAATCCAATAGGTACATTCTTCGCTACACTCAGAATCTAAAATTTAAATTCATGAATTAATACAATTAATCATTTCTAATTTTGATTCTAAAAATATATTATTTTATTATATTTGTATAATTGTATAATTTGTATAACTGATTGTTCCCTATTAATTTTCCATAATTCTATCTTGCCCTTGAAAAATATTTATTGAAATTTATAAATAAGAAATGTTTCTTTTTGTTTTAATCAAAATATTTCCAAGATCTGGAATCATTTTTATGGCTATTTGAACCAGTTGCATTTGTAATTATTTATACTTAAGAATTAGGGATATTTTGTATAACAAAAAAGAACATAACATTTTTTAGGAGGGCGCCCCCTTGCCAATCCCCTCAGGGACGCGCCTGATGAGTGAACGCATAATGGAGAGATTTAGCTTCTTTTTTTTTTTGTTCATCGGTAAATTTTTCTGTTACTGGGTGCCGATTTGCCTAGGTATGGCACTGGGTGATGTTATACAGTACCTACTTAATTTTAGTGAATGCAACCTAGTAAATGAATTACCTTTATGAATTGTTTTTTTTCCAGTATAAAAAAATTAAAAATTGGTAGAACAATATGTTAGGCTTCAATTTCAGTAGGTAAGTCTAAGCAAACATACATATTTTGAAAAAGTTAAATGCAACTATTAATTTTACAAAATGTCTAGTAATTTATAGAGCTGAGTCAATAATTGTTTATGTATAGACATTCAAAAGTAAACTTAATTATTTGAGCATTATGGTTGATAAAAACTTTAAATAAGTAGTTCAATCATCAAAACCCATTTTTCTTTGAAATAAACACTAATAATAATAATAATTATGTAAAGTATTTAACTATCTTTTTTTTTTATGTTTTTAAAAGTTTAAGACATATTCTAAGTTCTTCATCAATAAAAGCAGTTGGTGCCATTATTACAAGTTGTTTAAAAGAATTATAAACTGCTTTTTTGTTGTCATGTATTTGTTGTCTAATATCTTTTAGATTCTGAGTGGTGGGATGAAACTTATGGTTTTAAAAAGATGTTTATTGTTTTCTTTGGACAAGTTTCCTACCAGATGACTTGCTCCGATTTTTACGTGTAGTACCTTCTCTGAAAGGAAATTGATTTGGAAAGGTACTCTGGAGTCATTTTTCAATTTTCTCAAGAGTTTTCTCAACAAATGCGAAAAACCAAAAATAAAACGGGAAAATGTACGAAATATATTTGTATAATATTACGATTTTTTAAGTTTTCTCAGCAAATGTGAAAAACTGGGAAAAACAGGGGGAAACCGGTACAACATTAAATACATTTTGTTGACAAATGATCAATATCAACTGAACTCCACTCAGAATCGTTTTTTTGTAAGCAATAGTTAATCGTTGTTTATAGGTATACATTAAATTACTTATAACAGTAGCTGCACCCGTCCCCATTATCCTAGGACGTCTTATTTTCTCCCGTTTTTATAGAAACGTCAAACGACCAATCCGTTCCGATAATCGTACCTAAATTATAACATTTATAGCGAGGGAACTAGAGTTCTTGTTCCCTAGGTAGGAGTATAATAAATGCAATATAAAATATATGTAAGGTACAAGCCATCGGCGGCGCGAAGATTTGGTTAGGTCTTCCATTATGCCACACAAAGTAAGAATGATTTCTTTTTTGGTAATGATATTATTATTTATTAAATACAAATTGAAATATGCTACACCAGTAAAAATACAATATTATTGTGTAAAAACTACCGGTTAAATAGTTATAAATTTAATTATTTTGTTATATATTTCAAGTAAGTTTAATGAGTTTAAATATTACAAGTAACATAAAAAAGGACGGACCTACTTCACACTATAGGTGGGCCACTGTTGTAGATGAAAAGTTTAGTAGGTAAGGGGGGAAATTTATCTGTATATATAAAAATATCAGTTTTTTTCACTACAATAAGGATGATTACTAAATTTCTGTTAGGGCTAACAATTTTATCCACAGATTACCTATGAAACGAAAATTGTGTTGAAAAACTACATATACAATTACCAATACATTTTGTCATTTCAAGTCTCTACAAATATTTTTAACCAAATTATACATTTTTAATTAAAATAGAAAATAATAAAAACATTATTTTTTAAATTTTCCTTCTTATTTCTTCAAATATTATCAAAACATAATAAATGAACACAAGCACATACTACATGTGGCTATCCAAGGTTTATAGATAATATTATCTATAAGCCTTGGCGACTATCTTCTCAGCATAATTTAAGATATACCTTAAACTGCGCTTCTCAGCATACAGCGCTTCTCAGCATATAGCGCTTTTATCAGTTATTAGCATATTATAATATGAACAACATGTCTTTATTGTTTAAAACTGTAATATTTAGGTACTAATACATTTATTTTTTTCGGTTTTTCCTATTTAATGGGAAAATCAAAAAATGACCCCTTCAAAGTACCAACCCAAGAAAGTTCCATATCAGAAAAAGTACTTCACTTGATACTTTGGAGTAAAATTTCTGGTAGAATTTTTGAATAAAATATAACAAAATAAATAAACATCAGTACAAAACCAATATATTCCTCGCTGTACTTAGAATTTAAAATATTAAATAAAAAAAAATACATTATATTACTGTTTAAGTCAAAATTTATTAATTATTATACAATATAAAATAGCTAATTAATAAGTTACAAATTAACAAACAGTAGGTAGGTACACTATTATTTTAAAATTATAATATTTTAATTCTTGTTTCTAGTACACATTTTACAATTAGATTACCCTTGTAAAAAAAATTAGAAAAACAACTAGGATACCCAGGTTTAATTAAATTTATTTCAATAGTTAATTAACATTAAACTAAAATAGTATTTTGGAATATAAGATTAAAAATGCTAAGTGTTATTCTTACAATATTCTGTTTGATGGTGCTAGCTTTTTAAATTGTATTGGTTAACTAATAGTTAGCGCTAATTAATACTTTACAGGATATTGTAAAAAGTGCCCTCAAAAAATTATACTCAAAATATATTGAAATTATAAAGGTGTCTAAGATACTATTTGAACACAAAAAAACTATTATTTTTTTTACTTGACTACTTATTGTGTAAATAATTATTTGAAGTATATTATAAAATTCTCTAATATTATAAAACATCAAATATTTGCTAATTTGTATGTGATATTTGTTATCCTAAATTAATACTGTAGTATATCCTTAAAAATTATTTTATTTCATTTTCTGTTTGACGATAACATTATATAAGTACCTAGTTAATTATTTCAACTTATTTAATGTTTCATGTACATTACTACAATCTAGTTTTTATAATACAAGGATAATGATTTATGTAAATAAATATCTAAGTAGATTTGTTTATAAACAAAAATGTATGTATAATTTGTCATACCTAGAATGAGATTACAATTTTCTAGTGTCAGGCAAGATAAAAAAGTTAGTTTCTATTGTCACACTTTTAACACTTGGAATATTAGTTATTTTCTCAATAATCTGTTATCATACACAGAAATATTGTTTAAAAATAATTAAGAGAATATATAATATACATGTAAATATAAATATGTATACACTATAACCCTAATAATAAGAAGTTAAAATTAGTTTCTTAAAATACAATTAAATAAAATATATACATAAAAAAACTAACTTAAAAAGCATATAATAGATAGATAAAACATATAATAGACAACTACTTAGATTTCATTTCTAATTGTTTAAAAGGCTGTTGCTTTTTGTTGTCTCGTTTACGCATTTCACCATGATCAATTTCTGTTCCTGAAAAACAAGATTTAAATGTATATTAATCCATGTACTTAATTAATGTTTTAAAATAGGTACTCACTTTTAGCAATAGTAAGTTCATCTAAAATAATTGGGTCTTGATCTTCCCAACCAAAATTGGTTTTGTCTTTTTCAGAGTTCTATAACAAAGATTTTTAAACTACAATTAGATTTTAAGAAAATAATTAATAATGATCATTCATTTTATTTACCGAAGAAGTATTACTGATGTTTTCCCAATCTTCTGTAACATTCCATCCTGAATTATCATCCCAATGATCGGGTAAAATAGATACCGTTACAGAATTTGTATATTCTTGTGGTTCCTAATAATATAAAAGTTAAATGTTTATAAATATATATTTAATATTGTAGTTAACTTTGAAAATATAATTTTTATCTCTAATCTCTATAATAGTATAAATACTATTAATTGTATAATTTTCAGTAAAAGTGTATGTTATTTTTCATAAAACCATTAAATAATTATTTTCAGAAATTTTAACTTTTGCTACAGAATACTTTAATATAATAATATTATAGTTTTTTATGGATAGGTATAATAAATTTTAAATTATGTAGCTGAACTTGAAAGATACAAGACAAATCATTGTGGTATATTTGTATGAATGTTAAAGCTAGATCATTTTTGAGTATTTATAATTTTCTCTGTAACTTTTAGTCAGTCAAGCCTTATTAATGTTCTTATTCACAGTATAAGAAAAATATCTGTAACCTGTAAAATATTATCCTGTGGTTTTTCATAGTAATCATGTATATCAATGGCATTTGGTAATTTGTTGTGCATCGTACCATTATTTGAATTTGAACTGTTTAGTTTTAAATTACCTAAAACATTATTTATTGATTTAATAATTAATCAAAGTAATCCTGTGCATAAATCTGGTCCCACATGAATAATGTATTTAACCAGCGTAGTGTTTGGTAAATATTAACTGATTAAGTCATATCTTTCACTCATTGAATATTGACACACTTTGTTGATCATTGGCTATAGCTCCCAGACAACTAATAAATTGTATAAAATATATTTTCAATGATATTCAAATCCATCCTAAATTATTATAGTCAGCCAAAGGCTAGCCAATTCATGAGAGTACTATGAGTGTCATAACAAACATGGGTAGTTTATTTAATTTGTGCATAATTTAACAACAGTTGATGGGAAAACAAATAGTGATTAATAAATTGTACCAGTGTGGTCTAGTTGCACATGATTAGTAACTGGCCCCCAGTAAACCAATACTGGAAAAATACACCATTCATATGGAACCAGCTAGATTTATAATTAGTGATAAAAAAATACAAACTCTTTGAAGATTCTGTCGATTTATCATTTTTTTCAATATTCTTAGATGAGTAAAATTTGGAAGTGACTGTTGTGACAGCCCATCCAGCCCATGTGGGTATATTTGGATTAGTTGTAGCGAATTCTTCTTCTATAAAATAATAGTAGCAAAAGCAAATTAATAAAATATACTTTTTTGTATGAGATGATAACAGTAATTGTTTTCACCATTTTTTTCTTTTAAACTTGGATTTTCAGATACACTTTCAAGTTTTCCTAAAAAACCTTTAATTGTTTGGAAAGTTATATCTCGAACACTTTTTTCAGGATCAACAGTTATTTGACAAAGAGCTGGTAAAACTCTGGTTGATACTTCCAGTAAAGAATAATACTGTTGAGTAGCAGAAAATGCAGACACACCTAAATATTTCAATAACAAGTTATTTTTGTTTGTAACTTGAAATATAAAAATTTACTATACCTGCTATTCTTGATGGTGGAAATGGATCTTTAAGTGCACGACAAAATGCTGAAGACAATATTTTACTCCTGATTTTTGGGTCTAAATATTGAGCTAACTTCCCGAGACAAACTGTTGTATTCGTTCTTATACTATCCTATAGTAAAATAATATATTAATACAGCGGTTCTCAACCTTTTTATAGTCGCGTACCACCTACACCACTTGAAAATTTCTACGTACCACCTGACCATTTTTTTGCTTATTAATAATGTATACGTTTATGTTACATGTATAGAATTTTATTTTATTAGGAATTACAAAATGAGATAATATAAAATAAATATGTATATATAATAAACTATAAAGTAATTAATGCACAAAAAGAAATTAAATTAAATCAAATTAAATATGTAAAATTATTATAATTATTATGGTTTACTTTTTACTTCAATGAGACGATTGGTGTTGTTTTGAACGAACGATGACATCAATATCGGGCTCCAAATTGGTAACTTTAAGTCTTAAATCACTTTCTACGTTTAATCTACTTCTATATTTATTTTTTATGTACAATAAGTCAGAAAATGTTTTTTCGCACAGATATGTTGATACAAAAGGGATTAAAAACTGTAAAGCTTGTGTGGACAATGCCGAGTATTCTTTTTTCACGTCCAGCCAAAAATTAGTGATATTTTTGTTATTGAAAGCGGTTTTTAGGGTAGAGTCACTGGTTAAGTCAATAAATAATTCTTTTGCCAAAATGCCATCTGGAATATTCTTAATATAATCATCTACGAAAGGGTTTATGATCCATTTCATTTCTGAGTTATCCTCAGGGAAATATTGTAAAACATNGACATGCATTTCGATTCCTTTCGGAAAATAGTAACTTTTCTCTGAAAAAATTCAATAGGTTTATTTTCTGTTTCTGGATGCTTCGATAATTGGTGGCGCTTAAGTAGCGATGGCTTCATGCTTTGATTCGAAAGTGTTTCTTGACAAATTACACATTGAGGTAACGGAGTAGAATTCTCAGAACCAAATTTTACAACGAATCCAAATTGTAAGTAACTATCGTCATATTTACGATTCGCCTGTGTTTTCTGTTTTTTAGTATTTGAGCTTCCGCTTTCGAAAAATCTTTTCATTTTACTTAATTTTATATCACAAAAAAGTTAGAAAAAACTACATAAAAATGTAAAATTTTAATATAAAATAAACTTGATGCAAACAATTCGTATGACACTCGTGAATAAACTGAAAGAACTCACGAAACTAAGGTAAAAACGCATTATTGTGAATTAAGAATACGCTTTATCGGGTATATTTGATAAAGTTTATCGATTTATATTATATATATATAGAATATCGCTATCTTAATTGCTACGATTACAAACGACCTCCACACCATCAAATAAACCAAATAATATTTAATGATTCATTCCAAATTTTTTTATAAAGAGAAATTTTCTTCGCGTACCACCTATGAGCTTTTCGCGTACCACTAGTGGTACGCGTACCATAGGTTGAGAACCGCTGTATTAATACAATATTATAAAATAACAAACATTTTAAAACTATACCTGATTATCCTTCATTTGTAAACAAGCAAAATGTCTCATTAACTCCACATTTATATTGTTATAGTTTAATTTTGAACTGATAGGAATCATACTCTAAATATAAATTGTTGAACAGGTTATTTAAAAAACTTTTTTTACTAACATTTTATATATTACATACTCGAATAGTCAATTCTCTAATAATAGGATTAGCATCAGCAAGGCCACTCACTAACAGAGGAAAAATACTTGCATTTAATAAATCAGGTTTTAAACGATCTAAAACATAATAATAATATAAATATATATATAGATTAAAGTAAATTCAAATAAATATAATAAATATATTTAAACTATAATGATAACTTAAAACACATGTTAAATGAATTATATTTACCAGCATATAACTCAATTTGATTTAGTAATAATAATCTAGTTGCTCGGTCATTAGAATCAAACAGTTTAATAATACAAGGTATAATATTTTTTTCAAATTCATCATCATTTAACATTGTACTTAGCTAACATAAAAAAAAGTGTATTAGTTGAATGAAAAAATAAACATAATTGAATGAAAAAGATACCTTAATCATTGAAGGAAATATAATTTTTTGTTCTTTAACATAATTAAACATTTCAAGAAGCTTAGGTAATATATGGTGTTGAGTGATATTTTTGGGGAAAGTATCAAGCAAATTAGGCAATTTCTCCAGAAATGCAGTTCTTTGTGCAGTGTCCAACAAATGATAATTATTCAGTGATGTCATAGTTTTTTCTAAGTCATGACCAAAATATTTTTGTTCTTGTAATGAAGAAATTATTACATCATATGACGGGCGTTTTGTAGGATTTACAGATATCAACTTCGGATATATTTTTAAAATCTCACTAGGAATCTATTAGATGATAAATATACAATAATTTGTTTAATGTATTTTTGTTTGAAACAAATGATTTTATTACATAAATACCTTTTTAATATTTTTTAAGTTTGATATGTGAGATAATGGACCATTAAAAATTTCCCATATAAGTATACCAAGACCCCATACATCAATGGAACTGAAAAACATAAACATTTACATTAAGATATTTAAATAGATAAATAATTGTAATTCTAATCACTTTTTTTTATGGTAGTAGTACATTTTTTATTGGTTTTGTAATTTAAAATATTTGTACACTGTATATTATTTGCTTAAAAATAATGATAAATCATTTTTATCACATTTAAAATATAAAAAAATGAATAAAAGCAAAAACAATTACAAAGATATATTTTTCAATTTAATATTAAAATGAAATATATGTAAATAGTGGTATTAGGTTTTTAAAATTATTACCTAGTTTTTTTAATTACCAAAACCATGTAGAGTACTACATTTTTTCTGAGGACTAGTTACAGATTAAAATATTAAATAACAATTGTGGGTACTGATTGAACAATAATGATTAATTACTATGATGTATTTTGATGTCCTGGAGCATGATAAAAATTATTTACATCTGATTGAGGAGAACTGTCAACAGAATTCATATATTCCAGTTCGCCTAATTTCCATTGTCCTCCTTTATTTATAAATACTGACCAAATACAAACTTTGTTATGACATAGCTTTGCTTCAAAGTTTAAAAACTTCAAACCTTCCTGAAAGGTCAAATGTTAAAAACATTAAATCCATGTAAAAATATAATATGTTATATTAGTCAATAATAATTTATGGTACTAATCTTATAGTGAATATTTTAGATATCTGTAATAATGCTGATCCTATAAATCATATTTTTTAAATTATATATACTAAAATTATTAAATTAATTTTATAGTAATTAAAGTTAATAAAGTTATTTTATAACTAATTATTATAATACCGTATTCTTTAGAAAATATTACAAATCACAGAAAAAAATGTGTAAATTGTACTGGCTAGTTAGAAAATATTCTAAACTAGACTTTACAAACTTCTCATTTACATAGCTATATCATTAAACAGATTTGGACTTAGGGTATACAGCTGTGGAAATATGCCAGAAAATTCAACATTAGTAATTTAATTTTGTTAAAATATCACCCTCTGTACAGTCCAAATGACATCATACATCTCGATCTGAAGATTATCCAGTACCCAGACCAAGATTTGTTTTTAACAAACATGTACATAGATTATAGTTGCGCACCAATGCAACTGTTAAACAACTCAAAAAACATCAGGTGCTTCAAACACCTGAAACTGTACAACTTAGTTCAAGAGATTTAGGCTAAGGATTGAACTATTTCATTAGAGTTATAATATGCTCCCAAACATATTCAAGTTTATATATATATGTGTATATATATTTATTACTCAGTATATTATTATTTATTTATACACCCATCATGATTATTTTACATTGTATTTATAAATACTATTAGTAATTGAAACAAGTGTCTGAGGCAGTGAACAAAAAAAAAATTGATACAAAACATTTACTACAATAGTCATTGATTATTAATTGTACATGGTATATAATTAATTTATAATCAATACTATAATCTACCATAATTTATTTTATGTATCACAATTCATTAGTACCTAAAAGTTTATTACTATTTTTGTAGTTAGTTCAACTTTTTCATTCATACTTTTATGAATAAAATTTCATATCTTTATTGCTGAAAAAATGATTGCATTATAATATGGCAATTTAAGAACAATTTGTTTTATTATTATTTACTACTATTGCTATAGCAATAGAACATTGGCATAGTGCTTGTTAATACATTAAGATCTATAACAATTAGAAGTCTAAGTAATGTTTGTAAACAATTTTTGACTAAACATTTGAGTTTTAATAATAAAAAATATACTTACAATAATATTATATATACCCCATGATATATAATGTTTCATAATAGTTTCATTGAGGTCTTCTTGACATGACAGAAAATAATTTAGTGGTTCTACATATTCAGTAGTCAAATATATTGATGTTTTAACCTAAACATTTCATATTTAATAAGTATATGTTATGAAGATGTTCAGAATACATTTAAATGTAGAGTAATTCAAAATGATTTATCTGATATTTAACTATATATATTTTAAGATTTTAGATAGATTGTAGATACAAATATTAATTTTAACATTTAATGATAGAAAAATATTTTTAATTTAATTTATCAATAACTGTACTTATAATTTATATGTAATAATCCTTATCTTATCTCTACACAAATTAGTCATATAATATTATATGATCTAATTTTTAAACCAGATGAATCATTTTGAATAATTTTAAATTTAGAAATATATTTCAATATTAATGATGCCATAATAAATTATTTTATACCTCGGAGCTTTCTAAAAAACTGATGAAATTAGGATGTTTTAAAGTTTTCAAATGTTTTATAGCACTTTTAGCAAGTACAGTACGGGTTTCATTTCCAAGAGTGTCATCATTACTGATAAATTCAAATATAGAAACTTCTTGAACAGTATTCTGTAACAGAAACATATATATAAATATAGTTCAAATTTTCAATTATATTTCAATGGAATCTATAAGAAAAAAAAAAGTGTAATATAATATATAGGAACTTAGTTTATAATTTGATAACAAAATTTATCTAATAAAATTGTTTTTATTTAAAAATAAAGTAGAATCCACTTATAGCACTCTTCAAGGGACTAACAGAATCAGATTGTTTTATGGGAATGACAAAAACAACCTTAATTTTATTGAAAAATTGCTTTATTAAACACATTTTTATAATATAAACCATATTCTATATTTATGAATAAAAAAAGGACTTATAATGTGATAAGTATATTGTATTTCCAATGCTTGGCAAATATTTTTATTAGACAAACCACTTTTTAAACATTCGATTATTTTCATTTTTTCAATGATAGAAAAATGACAGTTTTTATTCAACATTTTTAAGAGCACGCTATACCCTGATACGCTATCCCAGTCCAATAGAAGTGCAATATGGCAAAATCTACCTTACGCAAACTAAACTCGTTTAATTTTGGTTTTAGAATAAAATTACCTATTGTAAAATTAAGGGGTTAATATTCTGGAATGAATTCTTCAAATTCATTTTTCCAATTATTCTTATCATTATTATTCCAGATAAGATGTTCAATATGTTGTTTAGAAATAAAACCAATTTGCCATTTTTAAATGACTGGAACATTTCAAAAAATGAATTTTCACTCCAGATTATTATCTTCTTTTAATTTTATAATAGGTGATTTTACTCTAAACTCAAAATTAAGGAATTTCTATACAGTCTACTTAAAAAAAATTTTGTTATATTTCCTGTTAGTTGGATTGAGACATCGCATGTGGGTATAGCATTCTCTTAAGAACAGAACATAAATAAACAAATAGAAATCAAAAAAGTGACTGAAATAGAGAGACACATATTGTGCCGCATATATTATGTATTACAGACTAGATAATGAATTATATCGCATTGAACCAATTTATTGTTATAGGTGAATGAAAAAACCAATTTTCATTTCAAAATACCATTGTTATATCTAAATTAACATTGTAACCGAAATCTTTATATCCGACCAAAATTACTGCATTTGAGATATAAATACCAACCAAGTACATAGCTGGGAATTGTTTTATCTGGAATATCGTTATATATGGCATCGTAATAAGCGAATTCTACTGTAGTTATATTGACTGACATACGTAGGTGCCTAAGTATTAAATTAACTACCTATAAATTATAGGTAGGGTATAATAAAATATTCTATAAATTTAATTTGGATGTAGGTGGTCGGATAACGTAAAAAAAAAAAATTACATAGCCATTAGTATTTTTTTAGTCGCATTATTTAATATGAAGAATACTATAATAACAAATAAGCACCAAAGTTAAAAATGTTATTTGGTTTTCATTAAATTTATATAACTAATAATAAATGATTACTGGGAACAGAAATTTGTAGAAAAGAGTCCTCGAAGCATACCGAGTAAGAAGTGGCAAGGACATAGGAAAAGAGGATCTTAAAGATTAGGGAGTGCAAGAATGGAAGGAAATTGTTCAAGATTGGGAGAAATGGAAGGATGTAGTGACAAACATAAATAGCAATAATAACCATAAATTATTTTTTAAACTATTAATTTTTACTATCTATATAGTATTTAAGCTATAAATCCCAGTAATTATGATGATAAATAATAACTGATAAATACTAAAATATATATATATCATATGTTGTTAAATGATATTTAATTTCAGAACAAATAAATTATTATATTATAGATACTATCTACATAGGTAGTAACATTTTAATGAATTATTTAATGCTATAAAAGTAAAAAAAAAATTTAAATAACTAAAGATAATGATAATAGAAAAATGTTAAATATTTTAAGTTACATAATAAATTACCTAAAGTCTGTAATATAAACAGTTAAACAGTATAATATTACCTTTTTCTTTCCTTTGTTTAAATTCCATAAACTTTTCTTGTTGAATTCATAATTTCCACAATCGGTGATTTCATATGGAAAATCTTTGGACGAGTCTCTTGAAAAAATAGTCCACATAATTTTTGGTATGTACGAATTTTTTATCGTGTTTAAGTTCAAATATTAACTATATCGAGTTTAACATGACTTAAAATTGTACGATTTAACATTTAGTTGAAATTAAAAATAATTTTAACTAATTTAATAAATAAAAGAATAAAACTCTCATTAAAACTACAATATCAAATCAATGAAGTTTTATAGACATAAGCACAATAATAATTGATATGACAAAATAATATAATTCGTCATAAATATATTTTATATAGGTACGATACGATTAGGTATTATTGTTGATTGGTAAGTAAATAGATATTAGAATAATATCAGTTTTTGATAATAAATAACATTACGAAAATAATCTAATATCATGTTCGTACTTATTACTTAATTACAAAAGGAAAAAAAAATTAAAATAGTAAAAATCTGAATTAAAGTTATTTTTTTTGTAGAAATATCTATAAATCAATTAAAGTTGATTTTATAAAAGCAACGTTAAATTTAAATTGTATACTTCAATATTTAATCCTTAGATCGTGTACAATGGATAGAGACATTAATGGACATTAAAACATGCCGCCAACATATCAAGAGGGCATTTCACTTTTGCGCGTGCGTGAAGTACTATTATCAGTCTTATCCCAACATGCTTAATAAAATATCACCTTTATGTAAAATATACATCTGAATATCTAATGTAGGTTTTAATACAGATATAGATAATAATTATTATCTAAATCTATAAGTAATTTAATAGTTTTATGAAGAAGGCAACGCAAACACAGTAGCTACATGCCCTCTTGAGTCTTGATATGTTGACGACATACTCGTTTCATATGAGGTATAGCTGTAGCGCCATTATATATGAACTAAGATTTAATCAGTATTATCTTATCACAGTGAAGATAATGACATCGATGTTAATAAATTGTTATACGCACTAGAAGTAAATTGAAAAATTTGATCGTTGACGAAATTTAAAATTGTCAACTTTTAAAATGTTCGCTACAAAATTGAAAACTAATAATGAAAACAAAGTTAATTTTAAAGATAAAACATATGCAGAACTACAGGAATTATTAGAACGACAGAACAAAATCATCAATAACAAGTTTGTTTACAAAATGTATTTATTTTTGTTTGGGGTTAATTAGAAACTACTAAGAATATTCAATTTTTGTTTAGACGATTTGTTGATGGATTGCCTGACAAAGGCGAGAAATTAAAACATTTCCGTGCTCAATTAGAAATTGAATTGGATAAACATCAAATTCATAAGAAATTGTGTGAAGATATGTGTTTATTGAATATTGGCAAAGATCAGCTAGATACTCTTGAGTGGACTGGTAAACATATTCCAAGTACTTTACAGATGAACACCCAACCTAATGTCAATAACAGTGATGAAGATGTATTGAAAATGTTTGTTTCGCATTCGGGAATTTGCCAGGATAAAATAATCATTAAGTATATACAGCTAGTAAACATACTACTACTAGTTTTCAACTATACTCTGGTCCAGAAAGAATATAATCCATAAAGGTGTCTAGATATATTTTCCAGTGGAAACAATTAAATTTAGTATGCAAGCCGATTATGTTCTTTCTCGGTCCAGCATGTAGGCAATTTAACTATTAGAATGGTTTTTTATGTAATTATTTTTCAGAGAGATACCAGAAAAACCATTGATAAAACCATCAGATTTGATTGATGAGGTGTCATTAGACAAAAGTAAACTGTATATCGAGTCCCAAAAATTTCCGGAAAAACTAGAACCTTATGCAAAAAATTTATGTGGACGTTTTGATACCAATATACCAGTTTCAAAGAGACATATTTTATTAAATAAACCCGCTAAACCAAATAAAAGTAGTACTGTAAAAGCTTTATCTGTGAGCCTTGCGGAATCTGTCATGTTACAACATTCTCAAGATAACAAGTTAAAAGTAAATTACACAATAATTCAATGTTTCTTATATTTTCTTATTTAATAAAAATTGTGTTTTATATTTTCAAGATAATAAAAGAAGAAAATCTGAAATCAAGACAAATGCCAAAATTTGACTATAGCAGTTATCGAGAATCAACTATTTTCAACACAATCCATTCTGAAGATGATAGTGATAGTGATATTAGTATATCTTCCATTACTGAAGAAGATTAATTTAAACCTAAATTTGTATACTGGAATAGTATTTCCTTATATTCTCATTGTAAATTTAATAAAAATAACTTTATTTATACTCGTAGTCATGAGTCATGAAATTAATCAATTTCTTAATCAGAATTAATCACTAAACCAACATTGAATAATAGTTTAGCATTATTTGTATATCATAAATATATTTTGAACATACATATTTATGTACAATGGAAAATTATTAGTAATTATATTAATTTTAACATGATTTATATTTTTATACACATATTTTGGAATTTTACTTCTACCAATAAAATCTCCTTTAGTATTTTTATACTTTATAAATATACAAGAAAATATTATAATAAATCAGGCGCAAGAGGGGTAGAGGTTCAACCTCGCCCTCTCGGAATTTCATGAAAATTTTGATGAAAGTAAAAATTTAATATTGTCTCAAAAGTGGTTTCTGTCAATGAGGAAGATAAATACAGTTTTGGTTTTATTTTTATTTTATTACTAGAAATAGTATTTTTATTATTTTTATTTCTAATTTGTTGTGGTTTTCTTGCTTTTAGAAAATTATAACTGATTTAGCGATATTACTTAGTCTGCATTATCATCACAATAATATGAATTTTGTTATCATTTAGGATGTATTCACTAAAAAATATTAAATGTAAAATTCATTAGTAGGTACTTAAAAGGCTAAAAAGCTATCTAAGGATAATGCAGGGGCAAGTGCAGCTACTGTTGTAGGTAATTTAAGTACATCTGTAAACAACGATTAATCAATGCTAGTGAAAAAAAGGTTTCTAAGCTTAGTTTGGTTGCTTTGTCAATAATGTATATGTTATATTAGGGTAAAATAATAACATATACATTATATATCTTCTTTAATAATATTTGTTTAAAATTGTACCTATTTTCTTGGTTTTTCTAAGTTTTTCCGGTTTTCTTATATTTTTCCCATTTATTGGGAAAATCAAAAAATGACCTTCATAAAGTACAACTCCAGTCAGATTTCCTTTCAGAAAAGGTGCTATCAACGTAAATAAAAGCTAAATTGCTTGTAGAAAAGTTGTTTACAAAAATAAACAAAAAATGATAATAAATAAATAAACATTTTGTAAAACCAATACATTTCTAGCTCCACTCAGAATCTCAAATATAAAATCCTGACATTTTTTATGAAAAAGAAATTATACAACTGAAAGTATGTACATTTTTTTGTTATAAAAGTATAAAAGTGTACAACCTTAAACCCCCCTGAAATATTTTTTTTATTACCACACCTATGATAGGTATGCCTGTATGTAAAACATAATCTTCATTGAAAAAAAAAATGTTTTTATTTTTATTATTTTAAAATTAACTGTGAATTACATTTACCTTATAGCATCTAACACTTTATTGATGTTCAATTAATTTCAATCTGTTTCTCAATCAGATAATTTAGGTAAATAAAAAGTATATACTATATAGGTATGTGATTGTCATGGGAAAAATGAAAACAAGAAAATAATTTAATAAGAAATTTGTTTATTTGTTTTTTTTTTTTTTTTGTTCTTCAAAACTTACCTTTTTATTAACTTAAATTACTTATATGTTTAAATAAATTATGTAAAATGGGTATTTAAATTATATTTGTTCATTATTAGGTAGGTACCTACTGGATCATTGCCATATATTTACTCGAAAATACTTAAATTTTTATTTTAAATATTAGGATTTTAGTTTTTTATGTTATAGAATTGTGGGAAAAAGGCTAGTGGATTGATTAATAACTTCAGAGTCATTGAGTAAAATGTGTAGTGTTTTTCTGTTATTCTCGCTGTAGTGTAATTTTTTAATGTAGGTATATTAAATTAAAACCATATTTTTCTTGTTTTAATACTGATGTCTTGAGAAATATGTGATCCAAATCCAATAATATTATTTTACTATTTTGGTTTTACAAATTACACAATTGGTAATTTTCTCTAATTGGTGCATTGGGAAAGTCATTTTTTGATTTTCGAAAAGTCCTGAAAACTTGTAACTTACATATACTGATTTTGTTTTGTTCAATGAAAAATAATCATAGAGGTCAGAAATTCCACTGAATACTCCACTGAATACACTGAATACTGAATACTACGGAAAAAAAAGCAAGTGGTAAAAAGTGTAATATATTTATTTTACACATCATAATATATGTATAAGGTACTTATATATTAAAATAATAAAAAGTAATATTATTGGTTAGTAATACATATTATATAGTACTATATATATAAGAGTTATGTACACCATATTTTAATACCATTGACTATATTATATAGGTGTATTCAATGATAATGTTTTAAACCTTTTCATAAAAATAGTTATTGTAACAAGTTATCGAAATCTGCAGTTGATAATTGAATGTAATAAAAATGACCACTATAATTATAGTGTAAATACAAAATATATAAAAATAAACTTAAATAAACCTATGACTAAAGCATATAGTGGAATTATAGATTTTTAAAAACCAAAAACTGCATTATATTATTATAGGTATATTATATAATAAGTTATAAAATAATAGTACATTATATCATGCATAGGTATAGTAATACAATTTTTATATCAAACTCAAAAAAATAAATAAAATTCCGTTAATTATTTTTGTGAAAACGTTTAAAATATATATAATAAATTTAATACAAATTTATATAATTTAAATATTATCATTGAATAATCAGGGCCGTCTTTAACCTTTTTGAGGCCCTGGACAGTGGTATAATGTATTGCTTTTTTATCCTAAACTCCTTTGATAGTCTCTTGTATGCAGCTTTTTCCAGACATGGTATCTTATATACCCACGTGTTCCACCTCAAACAAATAGTAAAGGTAATCTTACATTTCTGAAAAATTAGTTGAGGTTCTCTATTCCCCCTCAATTCGAAAACTGGTTATACTTGAGTTTTCTACCAGAAATATTACTCCAATTATTTAATGTCAAGTAATCTATTTTGTTCCATTAAATACATAATCACTGACAGATAGCCATTTTTTTATATTTTAAATATTTTTCATAATAATTAGGGATAACCAAAATAGACGATATAAAAGATTTTTTTCAAATTATGGCACATTGAATTCATTGTTTTAAATTTGCACAGCCTATGATTTTCCAACATAAATATTGTTCTAATAGATAAACGACAAAAGACCTTTTTTGTTGCATTTTTAATCTAGTTTTGAGTAAGTTGTTCGTTTTTTGATTTTCTCTGTAATTTTATTAAAATTAAGGATAACTGAAAAAAAACTTAGGCATAACAGGAAATTTTACGAAAATAATGATTTTATTTGGTTTTTTCGTTGTGATTCAGGTTAAAATACTCGTAGACTTGACATTTGACAGAAAATGTACATTTACTTTTCTTAGACGTGACACAAATTTTCAAAAAATTTGAGTTATTTTTAAGCTATTACAGACATTTTAAATTTGCAAGTATTTTACGTAATTTTTATTTGATAGGTACTCTGTAGATAAAATTTTTAGACCTAACACTAATTAACACCATTTCGATTATAGTTAATTTTCGATTTTGGGGAAAATACTCATTAATGCATTACATTAGTGTATTCGTGTTCTTTTCTGGGAAAATTGTTTAACTGAAGAAACTCTCTCAATACAGTTTCTAACAGATATAATTTTACTTGAGTTGCCTATTGCTAAATTCAAAGAATGAGAAGCATAATGGATATACAACGTATGCAGTACAACCTATAAAGTAAAAATAATAAAAAAGAGAAGAATATTATAGGTAAGTAGCGTCTAAAAATTAAATTTAAATCATTTATCGAATCATTGGTATTATATTATTTTCCCAGTTTATGTAACAGTGCAAAAACAAATGCAAAACATTTTTTTCGGAACTTGAATTTAAAATTGCACAGCAAGTACTTACCATCACTAGACTACGACAGACATATTATAAAATTGACAGTATTGAGTTATTTAACATAAGATATAATATCCGCATAATATTAGAACTTCAAAAAGCTATAATTTCGTAACTATGCCAGTCTTAATTCTGATTTCACCGTTCATTCTTAAATTGGTAATATACATAATATATTACAAAATTAAAACAAACAATTTTTGTCAATATTTGATATTAAAATTCCTTTACCCAAAACAAAAAAAAAAAAAAATACTACATTAAGCTCAAATTTGATTTTTGACCACAAAGTACGACTTTTTGTTGAAAATTTGACCACGTCTAGAAACGGCAAATATAAGTTTTCTGTCCAAATTTCAAATCTCTACAAATATTATTAGTTGAATTACAACAATGAACAAGTAACAAAATTGAAAATAAATTTCGTAAATTCGTAAATTTTCTATTTTTCTTACATTTTATATCGGTTTTTCCAAATATTATGAAAATCGATTGAAAAATTAAAAAAAAAAAATGACTTAAAGTATAATCTAGAAATTAATGATTCTTTTCAGAAATGGTGCCACATGTACATATCGAATCAAGATTTCTAGTCAAAATTGTTGTCACAGAAAAAATGTATAACAAAAATAATAAAGTAAAAATAAAATTATTAAAATGATTAATACTCGTAAATAATCTCTAAATAAAAAAATGTATGTATACAAATAAAATAAATAAATGAATGATTGTGTCTCCTGGAGTATTATGATAAGTGTATGACCAATTTTGAATTAAAAATGCATCATTAGGTTCATCACAGTCAAAATGTAAAACGTGACTGAATATAAAAAATTAAATGAATCAATACATAAAAAAAAAAATTATACAAATTGGTCGTTTTACATAGAAATAATTAATTTTAATATAAGAGATTATTTAAAATAGTTTATTATTAGACACAGATATGTTAAGAAATATAAATTATTTGATTATATTTACTATCTAAAACTTATTGATACAAGATGATATTTTTAAAATCTTATTAAAATTATTTTTCTTTACTTCATTGTGTACATGAAATTGTTCTAAAACTGAATTAATATCAAAGCGTATATTATGGTTATTTTTAAAACATGTTTAGCGAAATTTGAATTAGGGGCAGTCTTTTTTAATTTTATTTCAGAATTGTGTTCTTTATATATTATTTTAAAATAAAACATATTACAGTTACATTTAAGTTTATATATACCAGCATTTTCAAAAGAAGGGGGTATTTTTTATAAAGTTTTTAGTTATATTGTTTATATGTTTGATAAAATTATTATTAAGTAGTCTTAAAAGTGATTTTTAAATTATTTGTATTTTTGTACAGAATTTTAGCAAATTTTTTTTAGACATATTATTTTGATATTTAATACTATAATAGTTAACAACATTATTTGGTGAGTTATGTATTATTTTTTCTTTAATAAGTTTATGAATTTTTTAATAGTATTTAAATTGAAATTATTTCTATAGGCTATATTAAAATATTATATATAATATTGAGCTCGTTTTGATACTTATATTTATTTAATTGAATATGTTCAAGCCCATAGAATATTAAATTTAAAAAATTATATTTTTTCAGAACAATATGAAACCAATAATATTATCAACAACAAAATACCTATAGAGTCCATATATCAAATCATATTATAGATATGTTGACACATTCATTTTAATTGGAAGTTCAAGTAGACGAGCAGAAAATTTAGTTAACTACGTAAAAAAATAAATATAAACATTCAATTTACAATTGAAATACAAATAGACAATAAATTCAATTTCTTAGTTTTACAGTTTCTACACAAACTGATGCTATAATACTACATGATTTTAATCACCCTTGTTCTCAAAAAATATCATTTTTTAATTCAATATTCTATAGGCTTGAACGTATTTCATGTAGCTGTAGACTGGGATGTCACATTTCAAGAGGGTGTTACAAGATAAGATGATCAATATTTTATATTTTGCTTATCATCAAATTTTCATTGCCAGCTCTCCTTATAAATCAATGGCCCCAGCTTGGTCTACATAGATAAAAAATCCTGGCTAACTGTGGTAGTCAATTGATTTAACATTGGCCGATTAACATCCTAGGCTGCAGCCTATTCAGCCAACTGGTCAATCAGGCCCTACTCGAATAAGTATTTCAGATGAAGGTAGTCAGTATACTTAGCAATAATTAGTATGCAGTTAAAAACTGTATGCGAACTGAACGACTTTTTGATGTAGTTCTAATAAAGAACTTATCGTATTCATATTAATGTATTATGATATGTAACAACATCGACATAATATATAATTATATTATATAGAAATTAAAAAAAAAAAAAAAAACAATAATAATAATAATTTATAAGTACAAAATAATTAAAAATTTAAATTATTATAATACGAGAAAATAAAGTAATTATTTTCGATCTTTAACATAATTATAATATAATTGTTATTAATACGTTTGAAAATCTGAAATTTTAATAATCAGAGGTGTTAAATGCCATCATCTCTTCTCCCCATTCAGTACCGGCCTGGACATCCGTTTCCTTGGGTCGACAGCACGGTAAAATACAATGTTCGTAACAGCAGGCTTTGCGCAAAAGAAATTTCACACGTTTCGGTCGTATTACGGTCACGTAAAGTATGAACGCTGTTTGAATGGGATTGAATATAACATGCACGTAGAAAAGTATGTCATCTTGTGTCCATGAAAGAATAAACAGCGTCAGGTCCACAATCATGATTGCGAACAGTTTAGAGAACATATCGAAACTATAGGGTAAATAATGTAGATATGTTTAAATAAATATACAACATAGGTATAAATACTATTATAAATACTTAATTATATTATATGCTAAGTAGTAAAGTAATGTTAAAAACGGTTAAATTTTGCATGTATTAAAATTCTAATTTTTTGAAATTTTAAGTGTAGATTTTTCACAGCATTTTCGTATGTGCCAATAAAGCATATTAATAAATTATACCTAATACAAAATTAATTTAAACAATATTTATAGACAATTTAGGTTAATATGAAGCAAATGAGCTTAGATAACAAAATGTACAACATATTTAAGTCGACAGAGAAGAGAGGACTGGAGTTTCTCTAAAACTGTGGCACAGGTAAGTAGCATGATCAAGGGACATACATTTATATGCATTTTATTTTATTACACATAATACAATTTTGTTCTATTGATTGTTTGTGTTCTTAAGTATAGCATATACGACAGTATTTAAGGAGTATCCTGATGCGATAAGTGGCGTAGCCAGTGGTGTTTGAGTGTTTACTCCCTGCCTTCATATTGCATTTTTTTTTAACATTGTATATTAGACTAAAAATTAATAATTATTAGACCGCTAGATGGCGTAATGTATCACGTATTGGTCCTACTTCCTGTCTACAGTCTAAAAATATTCTTTGTTCCTCTTTATATTATCACTGGAAAGTCCGCCTAAGTTGGTAGTTTAGTTGCCCTATGGTCTTAGTAGTGATAGAATGCAATCTGAAACGAATTAAAAAAGTTCAATGGAATCTTGGAGCCAAAAGGAGAAAGATCAAGGAAAATAAAAGCCATCTGCATATTCATTTGTCCATCTAGTTTCAAATGTAGATTTTAGGAAAACTTCTACAATTAAATTAATATTAAAAATAAAAATAAACCTATTTTAATTTCTGGTTCTGGCAAAACATTATTACAAAATACTTGATAAATAGACTTCATAATATCAATTTTAGCTATATCCCCCTCTAACAATGGTTTTAAAAGGGTTTTAAAATTATTTAAGGGGAGTGACAAATAAAAACTTAACTACTGATCTAGCATTAAAATTAATAATGCAAAAACACAAGAAATAAATATTATATAGTAAAGGAAGTCAGTAAAGTGTTCAATTTAGATGGTGATCTTAAAAATATAGATATCAGTGATATTGTTGCATCTGTGATAGACAAATTGATAAAAAATATGCCATCATTTATCAGTATTAATAGTTGCTAAAATAGTTTTTGTTCCCTACCAATGTTTGAATTAAAATCATATAAATTGTGCATACATTTGTTTGGTAACGAAATGCCTATACAACAATAATTATTTAAAAAATACAATTTAATTTTACAATTATTGTGAACAAAACAGATATTCCACTGCCAAAATCACTACTCATATTTAGGTTTTATCTAAGATAAAACTTAGTTTTTTTTTTTAAATTTTTGTATCATGCATTATCAATTATAAGTGATATAGAATTATTAGATTAGGCAAAATTTTTGAAATTCAATGGAAATTCATTTTTGAAAGGTAAATTAAATTTTCATAAATAACGAAATATGAAATATGAATTGGAGGTAAATCAAAAAATATACATTACATCTGCTTCTAATAATACAGATACAGAATTGTTAATGTACACAATATAAAATTCAATTTTATATTTCTTAAAATACAAATTTATTTTTAAATTGGGAGAGTTTAATATTTTAAAGAATTAAGTTTTTGATATAACTAATTTGTATTTTATTATTATTATACACAATATAAACTATTATTATGTTATTGTAAGTACCTATGTAAATAGATACTATAGGTACTAATAATTGTATCCACAACTTAAAACCCGTTTTATGTGGGTTTCAGGTAATGTACACATTTTTAAAATGTGTTTACTAATTTGCACAATTAAAATAACAATTATTGGTATAGGTTTTTTCAGTCATTTTAAACTATTTCGAATTTTGGATGCTGGAGTAATATTACACTGGCATCTGCTACTATTACCAATTTTTCTGGGGTTTGAGGGTTAGGTTAGGTTAACTTAACCTAGCGCAACAAACCTATCAAAAACTGTGAAAAACTCAGTTTTAGTATAAGTATAAGTATAAACTTCAACCCCCTCACTTAACATAACCCCAGATACGCCACTGGGGGTGATACTAACTTTGTTTTTTCAAATGAGAACAGATATTAAAAGTTCCTATTATTATTAGTAATTAGTTTGATAAAGTGACGATGGTGCAAATTTTGATATTCCAATTTTAAGTTTGGGTAGAGGGAGACTAGTAGAGCGTTATGAAAACGTTACTCAATGTGCTACCACACAAATGAAGCATTTTTATACTGTTACCCTTAGTATTTTAAAGTAGAATAACTCAGAAACTCTTTATTTAAATTTCGATTACAATAGGTCAATTTTCAGAAAAATCATCAAAATATCGCCTTTTATACACTTAAAAATTTAAAAAATCAGAATTTAATTACATCATAAATACTATGATAATGATAAATGTATCTAAACTTAAAATTGTATAGGGTGACTTCTAATATTTTTACCTATATTTCATTTTGTGGTGAATTTGACCGTACGTTGACATTCGTTTAATCACCGTCTTTGTGGAGAAATAAAAGAACAAATTGACTAGAATCGTACACATAACTGGAACGAAAATAACAGCTACTCCGAGCCACCCTGTAAAAAGAAAACATTTGTAATATGATAATATTTTTAAATTTGTTTTTTATTTTGAAAACTAAACAACACGTAAATACGCGCGACGTGTTAATAATAATATTAAATAAAGCATACAGATATTACTAATTACTTGATTCCATTTACCTATGGCTCCTTCGATCGGTGGGGCAGAAGACGGATGCGAAGAATAATTTCTGTTGATGTCATTTCGGGAATCCGGAGCATCTAATATGAAATGAGCGAATATTGCCATACCTCCCATCGCGATAGTACAACTCCAAACGTATAGAGAATAATAACAATATTTGCGTCCGTCGGTAATGCGCAAAAACACATTTCGTGATTTAAATGTATGCCAAATGTAATATCCCATTGCGTTTAGCCAGAAAAATGAGCTGAGCGTGGAGATGTAAAGAAATGCGTCTAAAAGAGAAAATGATTATTATATTCACGTTTAGTAAATTTTTTATAATATAAATTTTAGTTTCAATTAAGAAAACAATACCTATTATGTACCTTTATACCCAGAAAAAAAGTCAATTTTAGATTTTGAGCGGAGCGAGGAGGAATGTATTGGTTTTACATTGTTTATTTTTTTTTTCTGTGGACAACTTTTCTACCAGAAATTTTGATCTGATTTACAATGATAACACTTTTTCTGAATGGAAATCTGATTGGGGTGATAGTGATAGTTTAGGAAGATCATTTTTTGATTTTCCCAGGAGTTTTTCCCAGAGAAAAACCGGCAAAAATGTACGATTTATAATCGGAATAAAATGAAAATAAAATATTATTGACAGCGAGTCGTTTTTAATTTGTTCAATATATTGATTAATCCTCCAATACCAATAGCCTATATGTGATCAATATTATTGCCAATACCAAATATTGATTAATATTATCGTGTATGGGGGGCTTTAGGAAGATCATTTTTTGATCTTCCCAGGAGTTTTCCAACAAATGTGAAAACCGGGGGGAAAATGGGAAAATAGGTACAATATTAAATAAATATTAATAAATATTAATACAGAAAATATATGATGCATATTATATAATTATTTTACCATAATATGACACATAATATATTATGTACCCCTTAAAGAAAAGCAGATTGAAAAAAAAACATTTTTAAAAATTAAATATTCAATAGAAAATATTCTAGAAAAATCAGTGGGACACGTGTATATATATTTTTTTTCTGAGGGCGTGTAGTTTATTTTAAAATTTTATGAGTCCCTAATTTTTATGAATAAAATATGTGTGTGGAGACAAAAAATGTTGAAATTCTTATCTATGCAATCAGTTTCTTGAAAGTTTGTTTGGTTTTAGTTAGTTCTCGGGAACACTCCACATTTGTTATGAAATATAGGCTTCCCTTCGAACTTTATCCTACTTTCATCTAGTTAAATTATCATACACCTTAATATCTTGCTTTACAAATATGTTGCATAATATACAGTATACACTTTAATTGTACTCATGGGTTATACATTTATAGTCCTAGTTATTAATAAAATAATAAAGTAAAAACAAAATCATTAAAATGGTTAATACTCGTAAATAAATTAAGTAAATATATATATATATATATAAAATGTATACATAAGAATAAAATAAATAAAAGAATCAATGTACCGCCCGGAGTATTATAATAAGTGTATAAAACAGACAAAATGTAAAACGCGACTAAATATAAAAAATTAAATGAAAGAATACATAGAAAAAAAATTATACAAATTGGTCGTTTTACATAGAAATAATTTATTTTAATAGGAGAAATTATTTAAAATTAGTTATTATTAGGCATAGATATGTTAAGAAATACAAATTATTTGGTTATTATTTATTATCTAAAGTATATTGATATAAGATATTATTTTTAAAATCAGTTTGAACATTTAAAATATTATTAAAATTATTTTTCTTTATTTCAAAGGTTAGGTTAGGTTATTTCCCTATCGTAATTATTATAATAATATTGAATTTCCTGTAAATTTCTTTACACTTTATAGTTATTTCTTCAAAGAAACAATTGCAGCTGTTTATACGGATGTTAATAATTAAATAGTATTTCATGACAGTCACAATATCAAAAATATAATATTTTTAATCTGGTAGGTACATACTCTAAATTAAACACTATATTATTAAAGTACCTCTATATATGTATAGGTACATTTTTTCTGGGGTTTTCATCGTCGAGGTTTTTTATATAACTATACTAAATGTGTCATAATATTATATAGGTAGACAACGACCCTATTTGAAATTCAGTCGTGATGTGATACGAGGTTGAACTCATGGAGGGGGAATGTATGAGGGTTTCATATTCTCTCTATGATTTTTTTTAGTCTATTGATTTTCCAAACACTGCATAGTTTAAACTCCCACGGGACCAGTAACCAATCAAAAACTCATATAATCTTACCATAGAAAAAAATAAATATAAATTTGAGCACACCAATAATATAGCTGTAGTTTGAAGATCTGTTAATTACATAATAAAAAATGAAATATAGACATATCATAATAAGAATAGTTTACCATTATGTTCAAATAATAAAATCGAATAATTTCAATTGTATATAGAAGAAACAAACACTAAAACAAAATACATATAAGTATACGTGTTTCTTTATTCCTAGGGTAGAAGACCTCAAGTATAGCATGTAATAAAATATACATAATTTTATAATGTTATTTAAAGTTTACACCAAAAATTATATACTTCATACAAAATTATAAAATAAAAAAAAGGAAATACTTCCAATGTGAGTGAGCCACTTTTGTTGGGGAGAAATTGGGAAGGTAGAGGAGAAATTTAATGTAACTTTAAATTTAACTTTACGCAACAATTAACCATTGCTAATGAAAAACGATTATGAGCGAAGTTCGGTTAATAGTGTTTCTTTCTCAAAAATATAATATGTATGAGTCTGATTTTGTATAATCCAATTAGTATTAAAGGTTTTGTTATTAATAAAACTAATTTGAGTTTTAAAATGTTATTAAAAATACCTCAGTGACAAAAAGTAAATCAGTATTAAAGCATCTCTTGGAAATTTGAAGACTTATACAAAAAGAGACGAATAGTTTTATCTTAAATAAAAACGGAAACTCCATCCTCCACTTAAACCAATATAACTACAAAACAGGAAAGAGGTTATTCAGAAAATAATAATGGAACAGGTTACATCATTATAATATTTTATTCATTCAAGAAGAAAAATAAACAAAGTATGTTGTTTTTTTCGTTTCAAGATTACAAATATCTCCTTTTATTACCATTTTTATTATTAATAATTTTTATTTTCCGTTTTAATATTAAATTATTGATTTTTTTACTTATATATTTATTTTATTAGCGTTTACTACGAGAGTAAATTTGTATTATTACAGCTAATCAAGATCAGTGACGTAGAAAATACATATTAAAGCGCACTGAAGCAAAATACAATTGATCAAAAGACAAATTGGGTGTATAATAGATACTTAGATCTTTAACCACAGTGATGCGATTAAGTGGGGAGCCACTAAGGGAATATTAGTGGGAGATATGAGAGAAGGATTTGGAGAAAGACATAACGTGGTACTTCCCGATATTTAGACAAAGGTTGACATTGTTGACTCAAGTACAGAAAGAATCTAGGTCGGATGAAGACGAAGGCAATCAGAAGGAGAAATAATTTTGATGAATGACTTAATATCATCAGCAAGTAGAAGGGCCTTGGCGGTATTTAGAATGTCTTTAAGGGAGTTAACGAACAAAATTAAAAGAAGTGGACTGAAATGATCACCTCGAGAAACAACGGAGGAAATGGAAGACAGAACGAATGAAGTACCATTAACGGAGACGAATTGTCTTCTAGAGGTAAGATAGGACGTAATCCAGGAGAGTAAAGTTGTCTATGTCGATGTTATCAAAGAATTTAATGAGAAGCCCGTGGTCAACAGTGTCGAAAGCTTTCAAGAAATTGGCGAACACCACATCGACTTGGAACCTTCAAGAGAATTCAAAATGAAGGTGGAAAAAACTACGCCACTAGATGTGGTAAACTTACCTGGACGGAAGCCGTGCTGGTTATCCATAATTACTTGATTGAGACTTCGCTTAACATAGAAGTAAACTATTGATTCGAAGATTTTTGCGAGATGTGGAAGAATGGAGATAGTCCTATAGTTGGAGACATCTGAAGGGTCACCAGATTTCAGAATAAGTGTTATAGAATAGATCTTCCAGACGTCAGAGAAGATGCCTGAGTATTATACTCGTATTAGTAATTTTTATTTATAGCTAACTCGTTTTTATGAAAATATTAAATAATTTGTATATAAATTGTTTAGTATGGTTATTAGGGGGGAGGGTATGCAAAGAAATATAGCTCCATTACTAAATTCTTTTTTTTTACGCACCGCTATTATTTTACTATCCTGGAACGTCCGATGGTTGATATAGTTTATAACATTGTTACAAAATTGTTTATTATCATACAATTAATCGTGGTTTCATAATAATTTTTTTTTTGATTTTGTGCATTTATCCATTTTATTTGTTTTCTATAGTAATTTATAGATAATCGAGATAACAAGCGTTGAAATTTGTAAATTGATAAAGAAAACGGCCATAATCATATAATAACATTTATGAGGGTTAGGTACTATTCTAACATAATGTCTAGTATTTATTGCTTATCGACTGTCATAACCCTAAATGATACTATTTGTATAGCTTAGCAGAGTTTCTATATTTACTTTTTTTCTAAATATTGATTTGCTTTATTTGCATCCATAATTTGTCTACCAAATACGTAAATATCACCAGTGCCCCTATTACACATGTAAACCTCTCAACAAATTGTACTGCCTGGTTGTCCCTGTGATAACTACTCTACTGATCAAGATATAAGTATGAGTAATAGCTGTATCCTATACGGTCTTGCACGCAAGCCATAAGCAAATAATTATACGTGAGTTATATTTCTCCCCGACACGAATGACACTAATATCGTAGTATTAATATTGTCAACTCCTATATATATATATATATATATATATATATATAGTACAGTCAATAATAAAATATTCCATAGTATTTTAATTTTAAGGGAAAAAATGTCAAGGTATGAATATTATTTAGGTCTAAGGTGTACTGATTGAAAAAAGGAGTGTCACTAAAGTAAGTGACAGATGGGAAGGTACAATCCAAAAAGTTATTTAATTTGTATATAAGTATGAAAGATACATACACTGTTAAAAATATTTGTATGAAGATTTGGGTTATTAGAAACAAATACAACATTTATACCTACGTATAGTAATAAAAGATTTTATTACGAAATACGATTCTGAGCAAAGTTCGGTTAAACATGTTTTTAAATCCCGTGATTTTTACGAATTCAGAAAAATGTTACCTTAAAACACCCCAAAAAAATAAAAATTACTACATGACGCTCAACTTTTTTTAATCACGGTGTAAAATGTACAACAAACTTTATGTTAAATTTTTGAACATTTCTGTTTGGCCAATAAAACCACATAAGATCAAATAAACACAAAAAAAACTCAAAAATTCAAATGCCTATAAATAGTTCAAAAATTGCCAGGTTATATTGAACATTTTACAGCGTCTAGAAAAGGAATTGTTCTATGGAAATTTCAGGTTTATAATTTTTTCAATAGAATTACAACAATCGAAAATAATAAAACCGTTAATACCATACATTTTCCGTTTTTCCTTACTATTAATAAAACTATTCGTAAAATAAAAAAAAAAAAAAACCAACTAAGCTCAGGATTCATGTTTTTCCGGTCCGGTTCATGAACCCCTAACTTAGGCTAACTAATTTTATTTCAAGTAGGTATCTATACTTCCTTTTTATTTATCTAACGTTCACCTAGTCGACCTGATCACCCACATATCTATTTAAAATACATACGAGTATTCAGACTCATAGAACTACCCTCACGTCGCTACTGATAGTACAGTGTATAGTATAGTATAGTATATATAGGTATACCTATAATTTATAACTCACCTGCCATTAAATAGCTAATCGGGCCGTTATATTCGACGAATATGCGTACGACGTTAGCGATTCGAGCCACGATCATGCACCCGGCTAAAGTAGTGACCATGTTTCCGATCAGGTCTCTGAGCTGTGGTAGTACAAAATGTACAACAGCTACGAGCAACAGACATGTCATGGCTATGGCTTGACAAGCCGGGTTTACGACTCTGCGCATAACATAATCGACATCTGTCCAGGGTGATGGTACCTGAGGTGTGCATATAACTGCCACTTGTGCGTTTGAGTCCGGTTTGTCGATGTCGATCACCTATTTGTGTAATGTTGAAAATAAATAAAATAAATACGTAACACATTACATATCATTATAGAATAATATTCATGTTTACACAAGCAGGGTTGTGAATTTAATGCATTTTAAAACGTAGGATTCGATAAAAAATTATTTTGCGTTTATAAATAAAATACGAAATTATATAAGTATTTGATTTATAAATACAAAATAATTTTTTATTGAATCTTAGGCTTTAAAATGCATTAAATTCAATTTAAAGATTTGATGAAAATGTACGGTGAAAATTCTATATTTCAGCAGGGCCGTCCTAATAATTTTCGGGATTCGGGGTAGAGAGAAAGGCAGGATCCCACTTGTAATATATTTTTTTAAAAATTAAATGTTAAAGTAATATTTTGTATTGCATCTATAAAATTGCCGAGCTTATCCAACTGTAATGTATATTGCATAATTGTATACTTGTATTATCAATAGTTTTTCAGTGCAGTAAATTCAAAGCCCTGTTTATAATATTTATTCATAATAAAATGGGGTGGAAATTATATAAAAATGTATACAAAATTATTTTGAATCCCCGCGAAAGGCCCCGTTTTGCATTATTAATAGTTGCGGCAGTCAATGATAATATAGTCATCTAGGCGCGATGTGACGGGAAGAATAATTCATTCCCGTCAATAACAATAAAGAATAGTATAACTACCTATACGGAAATTTCAATCATAGCAGAAAGAAGTTTAGAAAACAAGTTAAATAATTTCCAGCTACAGGTTTGTAGGATCCAGGATTTGATAGATTAGCGTATGAAAAAGGTAACATATTGTAGATAATTAGCCAAATTACCTGGTACTTTCCGGACTCAATCTTTTCAAAAACAGAAATTAATCTTTAATTAAATTTTATGTGTCTCCATGATTCTAACCCTTATTTCTGTCACAGTTAATCGTTGACACCGAGTAATTTATTTTTTAAAAAGGGTACTTGCTTGTCTGTGACAACCAAATTAAATAATTAAATACATTTTTTTTATTTCTTTTGTGTTACCAATGTATAATTATGCGTATAATAGAAATCGAATAAACAAATTCAATTTGTTCATATTAAAATATTTTAAATTAAGTGTGAGCCACCCTTTAAGGTGAACATTTCGAGACGAAAAGTTGATCCTCAATTTGGATGTGAAGTGTACAAAGTTTCATCGAGAGGGAAGTAAAACTATTGATTTGTATAGTAGATAAACAAGCATATAAAAAGGCTTTCAATTTTTTATATAAAAGATAATAATTATTACTTTATCTAAACAGTAAAAGCCTTGTACGTAGTCGAAAGATCGTTCATGATCGATAATATAGTCACGCTGATGTTGTTCCTCACTGCCGCCATTCTGGTGTTTAAGAACGTAATGTCTGAGTTTTCCACTAGGATACAAAACCAGACGGTCACCAGAACCATGGTAATGGTACACTAGCCACTGTTGACGGCTTTTACAATTCGGAAATCCAGTAGCCAATCTAAATATCAACATGAACATAATATTATTGATTTGATATACTTACAGAAAAAAAAAAAAATACTACTCTCCTCCCTACTCAAACTTAAAAGTGAAATATTTCGTTAACGGGTTGACGAAAACTAACACCAAAATGAATTCAAATTAAAACTTCAACTATTTATGGAATAATTTTTACTATATATTGCTATTTGAAAGTTAAAAGTTGGTAATGGTTTCACACTCAAAAATAACGTTTATATAAGATTTTAGAATTGCTTGTTTCTTAAATTATATTTACAATATATTATGTATCATTAATTACAAAATAAAACAGCGAACTGGCTTTTTGAAATTTTATATTAAAACTTTAATAATAATTAAAGTTTATAAATTATATGAGTTTAATAATTTTTCATAATTGCTGCAATTTCCAAATGGGCATAGTACATAACATAAATTAAATACAATACGATTAATAATAGCCGAATAAATTTTGGGACAACGAAATACGGTTCGTATCGATCGCATAGGACTTTTCAAGAAACTTGATTGACTACCCTCGCCGGGCGCCTTATTTGATTTTAAACTTGTACCTACAATGTTGCCAACGTTTCCGTTACTTTATAGCTAAGTTAGCTGGGACTTAACCAGCTCCAGATAAATGGCTGTTGGCCTTTAGTAAAGTTAAAATACTTATGTAATGTATAATACTTTTTGCGAACAAACCTGCAATACCTATATATGTTTTTGAAACTTATAGACATAATGTAACTTTAAAGATGGCTAATGAGTGGGTAGGCTCAGGCTTAACCACTTTTCTCCGAAAATTAACTCAATTTTAAAACAAACAAAAAAAAGAAACTATCCTAGGATAATGGGGACGGCTGCAGTCACTGTTGTTGGTGATAAGTTGGGAAGGTAGAATATAGAGGGGAAATTAATTTGTATCTGTAATCAACGATAAACCATTCTTTACTAAAAACGATTCTGAGCGGAGTTCAGTTAATAGTGATGATTTTTCAGCAATATATATATATATATATATATATGTCATATTATAGTAAAATATTTAAATAGACATTATATATTTTCTTTAATAATATTTGTTTAATACTGTAATTATTTTCCCGTTTTTCCTACGTTTTTCAAATTTGCTGGGAAAAATCGAAAAATGACTTAAAGTACCTTCCCAGTCAGATTTTCTTTCAGAAAGTGTTATCATTGTAAATTAGAGCAAAATTGCTAGTAAAAAAGGTGTCCACAGAAAAAAAATCATAATATTTTACTAACATATTTCGTACATTTTCCCATTTTTTTTCGGTTTTTCACATTTCATACGAAAACTTCTAAGAAAATCGAAAAATTACCTCCTTAAAGTATCACCCCAAGAAAATTTCCTTTCAGAAAAAGGTCTAAAGTAATTGTTATATCAAATAAAAATGAATGACAGTTTAACACGAGGTTCATTATAAGTTGTACTTAAAAGTAAAAAAGAAAGATAAGCGTGATGTAGTAGTTTTTTTATAAATGCATGTTAATATTAAATTTTAACGAATATCGTAAAAATAACGATATTAAAAATATCTATAACTGAACGTGACTCAGAATAGTTTGTCGTCAGAAATTAATATTTGAATACTCATATATCAGTATCAATATCAGAATTGAATACTGCAGATATAAATTAAATAACTTCATATGCCTTCCAACTTGCCACTTACAATAATAGCACACCCATTTCCAGTATATAAGCTATTTTTTTAGATTATAAATAACTCATATATTTATACACAATACAATGTTATACAATTATATATTTTATATTTGTTTGATTTTAATCACAATTTATTTAAAAAATATTGATGTATTTAATTATATATAATTTGTATTTGTTGTGTATACATAGGCACAACGAGGGGATTTTTAAGTGACCTCTACTTTAAAATTAGTACTTCCAAAAAACCCAATAAGCTTTTTCATACTAATCACTAAATATTTTGTCCATGTATTTCATAATTAATGAGCATAACAAAATACAAATTTCCAACAGAAAATTAATGTGTATATGAAAAATAATGTTAAAATAATTATGATAAATTTTTATATATAAAATTGTAAATGAAATGAGTGGTTACTTATTGTAGGAATCGTGTAAAGTGGATTTTGGAGGCGTAAAAGACATGGATTTTTGATGAGTTCATAATTTCACTCTCTTAGTCGGTAGTCTAGTTGCGCCTATGTATAATTGATTAAAATAAATATCGATACACAATCGTTATAAACGAACCATTAAAATGAAAATTACGAATAGTATCTTACATTTTGAATAAGTCTTGAAACATTAAAAGTATAAAAATTAAGAATATTGATTAAAAAAATTAAAAAAACTATTTGATAATTTAGTTTTTTTATTTTCTAAAAATGAAAAAAAAAACACATTACTTTTTCATAATTACAAGAATATACAGAAGAATAAAAGATATGGAAAGGGTACAATATAAATAATTAGACTTGTCTTAATTAGTATACCAGGTGAATATTTTGAAGTTTCTATCATAACGAACAATTTCATATTTTTACTAGATTTTGCTATCAAACGATTTTTATATTTATATAATTATACGTTTTGTTAAAGATAACAGTTTATAAATTTAAATTGGTTTTTTTAATGAGATCTGAGAATTGTGTTTTTTTAATAATATAACAAGCAAGGGTATAAAATATATAATATTTATAGCTATAGTTCACAGTAGAGACAATATATTATGTACAGAGGTAGTTGTCCATTGTTGCCCTGGGTGACAAACCCCGAGGGTGGAGGAAATCGTATCAAAGTTTGTTCAGATGCAATTAACTAACCGACGGAAATGTTTGAAACTTGGGTAGACGCGCGATGAAAGCAAAATATAATATGCTACATAATACAATATAGGTATTATATATGTAAATATGTATATACATTTTAAACATGAAACGTCTCTGGAGAAAAAAATTGTAAATACACCAACAATGTAGGTATATAATAATCAAATAAACTAAGTTTTCTTTATAAGAAACTATTTATACGTATAATATATATTCCATATAATATTGAAAATAAAATGTAGGTATATTTATTTTACAAAAAAGTACAGTTTTTTGAACTTTACTACAATATATTTTAAATTATATCAAACTGTTTTATAATATATGTATCATATATGGATAGTCAAAAATAAATTTATAGCAATAAATAAATAGCAATTTTTCTGAAAGGAAATCTAGCTAGGATGGAATTTTAAAGATGTCATTTTTCTATTTTCCCAAGAGTTTTCCCATCAAATGTGAAAAACTGGAAAAAACATGGGAAAACCGAGAAAAACATAAGGAAATCGGGAAAATCATTACAATATTAAACAAATATTATTAAAGAAAATATATAATACTCATAAAATTATTTTAACTTTATATGACATATATATTGTTGACAAAGCAACATTATCAAATGAACTTCACTCAAAATTGTTTTTTCGTTAGCAATGGTTTATCGTTGCTTACAAATATACATTGAAATTCCCCTCTACTACCTTCCCAACTTCTCACCAACAACAGTAGCTGACCCACATGTGAAATATGTCCGTCTTTTTTTAAGTTGTAGCATAACAAAACAGACAATGTTTGATAGATGTTTTTAGAAAAATCATATTTTCGTTTTTAGACTATTTGAGTTTAATAAACTTTATCGACTTTAACGATACGATATTATAACGTATCGAACTTTTATTATAGATCATTTATGTAACCCGGCATATTATGCGTACACAATAAATATTATGGAGGCCAAAAATCTTTTGGCTATTTGAGCCTATATTGTCCATTTCTCACATAGGTAATGAAATCGGTCATTTCGGTTTACGTTAATATATTATTATTGATTCAGCGCTTCTGAAAACAACACGCACAATAACCTCTAAGACCTCTGGGATACATATTTTAGCATCACCGCGTATATACAGAGCGATTAATTTATCACGAAGCGACGTTAACTTTCACGAAGATTTCGTGTAAATTGTATTTTGGTTTTCTTCAGTCTTTGTTCATAATCATATAGAGAATCGTTTGTTAATCTTATGTGCAATAGGTTTATTTATTATAGGTTAAACTTAAACTGATTTTAAACTGTAGAGTTAAGTTTCATAAATGCCCATGTTTATTATTCTTTTTAAATATTATTATAATCTCATTTTGAATTTTTAGATAATAAAAAATATAGGAAGATTTGAAAATCAAGTCAATATTCGTTTATCGAGGTTATAGAATTTTTTAATATTGTAAATAAAGCAATATAAATGAAAATCAAATTTACTTGAAATTCTCGTAGATAATACAGCTGAATCATGACAAAAGAATCACTCTGTATAAATAAATCAGCACCTCCTATTATAGTACTAGCTATATTCACACTCAATGTACCTATAATATTTGTATAGAAATATATTGTTTTCTGTGTGTGTGTGTGTGTGTAGTCGAATATTTTCCATGGCCGAGAAAACAATGAATTTAGAAAAATATACCGTATATTCTGCACTATTCGGTATAGACTACCTACCGTGATAAAATGAAAATAGTTTTATATTGTATAATATTTTTGGTAGGTACCTATATAATAGCAGAATAGATATTTGAATAATAGTATATACGTTTAATATTAGTTATTTTATAAGCCAGCAAATTCGTAGCAAATGCATTTGAGGAATCTAGTTTCAAAGTATATAATCTTCAATTTTCATTAAAAGTGAGACAAATGTCGTTTCGTATGTAATTTTCAGCGCCGAGTTCGATAAATCCATTATTTTCGAGCTAAATGGGCAAATTCCAGTGTATTTTTAAGCTTAAAAATTCCATTTAGTTTTGAAACGTACAATCTCCTTTGGCAAGTGTAATTTTGTTTATAGTATGTTTATTATTATAATCAATAATAATTATTAACATTTTTAGTTGTTTGTAAACCTTTAAACTTAATAAAAAGGGAATAAAGCCATCTAGTAGTTATTTTCAAAGCAAGTAATCTCCAATTGTTAGTTTCATACTGTACAATCTTCAAATAAAATATTGTCATTTTAAGCAAGAAATTGATAAAATCATCTTTGTATAATTATACCAATAGGTTTAAAAAATCAGTACGGAGAAAAACGGTTTTTGAAATTAAGTTATTTGTTTTTTTTGTTTCTAAAAATTTAATGAACATGGAAATTATACACTTTGAAACTCGACGCTTCATTTTTATTATAGATTATTTCAAATCGATTACCTAGCTTTCTTAAGGGGATTAATAACCGTGTATATTATATTTTAGTCAATTTAGACCTTTAAAATTTAAAACCCGGACATATGCGTGCACATGTTCATTTATCAGGGGAACCAGAGATCTTTATTGAAATAAATCTTCACTCAAAATCACGTATATCAATGAAAACGTTATAGTTTATAATACCTCCAGTTAGACTTAAGTTTCGTGTACGTTTTTTTACGTTAATATTTAATGTTTAAAAAAAAAAACAAAAATCTCATCTTATATACTGAAAATCTAAAACAAAGTAAAATATACTTTGGCGAAAAAGGGAGGTTTTGCCGTTTCCTGTCTCTGCGCGTGTGTACAGAAAACCTTGTTACATTATAATATTATGGTACACCAGACACCTACGTATAGTATACAAAATATTCCAACTTTTAATGAAATTTACCAGCTAATATTTTGAAAATAAAATGTAATTATTCGAGTATCTTATAACACGGTGTACGTATATCGTCGTAGCTTTTAAATGCAATCAGAGTGTAGGACCGAGTCATCTGTTCACGTCAACCACCTCCCCACTAAACAATTCTCAAGGGAAGGGTAACATTATATATATACCTATATTATATATTATACTGAATAATTTGAAATATAACGGGCATACACGGATTCTTGTGTATACCCGGAACACAATCCGTGTATATTATAGTATAATATAAAGGTAACTATAATACATAATACCAAAAGACAAATCACAATTCGCTATAAAAATAACTACGTGGAATTTGTAAAAATAATTAATTTATGCGTAGCCGTACAGGCAGGTCGGGTACGAATGAATGAGATCAAGAAAGATCATTCCATTCTGAAACGTTTTCTGGATTTTCGGTAATTTTTCCAAAAAATAAAAAAAAATTACAAAACTACAAAATTCTGACAACAAAATGACGATGCACCGGTTTCGCTTTTGTTGATTATCTATTGCGTGGGGTACTTTGCTTACCCTACCAATCGACCTGTCATCTACTAATAAACGAATTGACTAGGTCAAAATTGCTACAAGCTCTTATTGGATTTCAATTCGAGCGGGTTTTTCGTTCGAAAACGTCGAACAGTTCGCAGACTGACGGACAGAAAAAAAAAAATACACATTATCGTAGGAGAAAAAAACCTGGACAAAATTCTCGCTCTGGTCAATAAAGTCTATAAAGAAAATAACCGGTACTCCGCCCACTCCCCTTGCCGCCGTGGTATCCACCTAATCGCAAGACCCGCCGCAATTCGAATGCCGTATATTATTATTATCTTATTCGTGTCGTGCGCGCCGAGTTCGGTGACGGCAATGGTCTCGCGCGCTAACGCCGTAAGTACAGCAGCAATTTACGCGATATAATACGAGACGAGACACGCGGTTATTTTACATTATTATTTTATAACAATGACGCGCGAATACGGTATTTGCGGTGACGGTTATCGAAAACCGGTTTCCGGAATGTCGACTGGCGGCCGGCTGCGCACGCCGCCGGTCTATTATGTTTTTAATGTTTAGTACCTATTGCCGGCGCGGCGGCGACGTGGTAACCGGAGGTAACCGCGCGCGCGGGTGTGCGTCACAGCGTGCGGTTTTGTTTTTGTGTATCGGCGTACGGGCAAGCGTAGGATATGGAAAAAAAACCGCACACGTCGGGGGTAATGGCCGCGTCGAGTGTTAAAGGGGATCGGACGCGATTCCCGAAACGAAAAAGCGGCGAGCTGCCGCCCGTAGCTGCGGACCGAGGACGACGACCGTCGCGCCGCACAAGTATCGATCCGAGCGGCAACACCGACGCGGTTCGAAACGCCGGCCGACTTTACAATAACACTATACTGGTGAAACCGAGTGGGCGGAGGGGAGGCTGCGGGAGGTGGGCAATTAACGGTTTACTCCTGGGCTCCATCCCGTTGCTGCGCTGTACGAGGGGGAAAGCACTTGATGCCAACTCAGGGGTGCTTTCTGTTTAAAAATGTTATAAAAAAAAAATATATTTACCAAAGCGACGTTTATTTTCCTTTATTCCAAAAGCGAAATGAGTGAATCTTATTACTTGTATATTTATAAAAAACTACTATTATTTAAATACCTAATATCTTTCCACCATCGCGGTATTCCGGAATTTTGTTTTATGAACAAATTATTATTGATAAATAGTAATAATATTTTTATGTTTCTGATATCTCATCACTAATGGATATTATAATGCTATATACAGTCGAATGCGACGAAATTGGGATTTATTAAAATTGAACATTTCAACTCTGATTGTTTAATCACTAATCACACTTTTAAATGTAATTCAAGTTAATATTATTTATTAGGTACATGGCATTAGGATATTTTATAAAATTATGATTAGGAAACTATCTTTTTTTTTCTTTGGAAACGAATATTTAATAAAATATTAAACATAATAAATGTAGGTAATTGTTTAAAATTGTTAATTGTGCGGAAGCAGTCGATTTTTGAAATAAGTAACAAAAAATAAACTAATACCTATTGAACATGCAATATTTCCTACCCAACTAGGTGGTGATTTTTAACGATTTTTCGAAAACATTTTTCATAAAGTTAATAATAATAATAAATAATAACAAAACACGTCATACTTACACAAGATACGTTTTATATATTTTGAAAAATCGATAAAAAATCATATTTTTTTACCAACTTTAGACGGCTTTATCTCAGGCGATTCTTATGATAAAAATATTAAATAATTATATTGATCAACGAGGCTTGAAAATAATCTGACTATTCGAATCTAATGTCAGAAATAAGCGTTGTTATTAAAAAAAAGTAATTTGTACCGAGTATACGCGCACGTTACAAATTGAAATTAATCCCAAATTGTTTATTTCAGTAACCCCTACAACTTTCTAAAAATAGAATTCCAATCTAAAATAATCGGGCCGAAATATTTAGTGTTTCTTGGAAACACAAACAAATGTGCAATAAAAATGATGTTCATTTTGCTATTTAATATATTATACTTAACAGTGGTGTGCCCAGGAATTTTCAATAGGAGAGGATATAGCAAATGAGAATCATGAATAAATTGTAAAATCATCTTCTCTACCTAACTTGACTATGGAAATTGGTAATTTAAAATCCGGATCCTAAAAAAAAATAGATTTCTAATCAATACATCAAGTTTTTTCTCGTAACTTGGCTTAAATATATGCATTTCAATATAAGATTACTCACATATTTTTAATTTCTAAGCCAATGGGGATAATATGATTCCTTACCTCCCACATACGCCACTGATACCTAATATACATTTTCAATGTTGACTAGTTTTCGAACATTAGGGCAATATATGAACTAAACTCAGTTTCTTGAATTATCTTATATTGGCATTAAAGGAATAGGCCTGCAGAGTGTAGATTGGTCACTTTTGAGAGAGACACATCTATTATTATCTTGCGTACGAGATATACGTCTCTCTAACACAAGCAAATATGTACATCAAATCGTATAATAATAGGCACTATATTACATTTTCACATAAATATAAGATTGGCCTTCTTGATTCAAGGTCCGGGTTTATAATATATTTGTTTTCTATTTTAACTAATGATGGACACAATCGAATAGTTACTATAAAACTATTTGATAATTGATTGCATTCGAACAATCAGATAGATTGAAAATTGTTCGAATGGTTTAACTATTCGGTTACTTATGTTAAAAACTATTCAAATAATTTTCAAATGAAATATTCGATAGTTTATCTGAACTATTCAAAACTATCGATAGCATAAAATATTCAGAATCACCCATCACTAATTTTAACATGGCCAATGGGGGAGGGGGGTGTTCTAAGCACCCCCAGTACCGTAGAAACTGTGGTGTGGGCGGTTCATTGCACCAGTACCCCTTGCTTGACGTTCTCGTATGGGGCCCATACTTAAAATTATTTAAGTATCTATTCCAATGACAAAATATTTTTTAATAAAATCATAATTTGTTAAGTTTAAGTGAGGGTGCATAACGCGCCAACCCGGTTATTATATTAAAATTAATTTAACTATATTATGGACTTTTATGCATTTATATTGTATCATGTATGCATATAATAATATATAATCTATACTCAAGTCAATAGATAAATTTTAAAGTGATAGTGTGATAAACTGATGTCTGATATACCTATTGATATATATATATATATATATATTGCTTTTAGATCCTGAACGAAACAGGAATGTATTAGTTTTACAATGATATTTATTTTTTATTTTTTATCTTAATTCTATCAGAAATTTTGCTCAGATTTTCAAATGTAACACCCTTTTTTTGTAAGAAAATCTGACTGAAGAGGACTTTATAGAGGCCAGTTTTAATTTTTTAGATGTTTTCATAATAATCTGGAAAAACCGAGAAAAAACGGGGAAATTTACGACATTTATTATTTTCTAATCGTAAATATTACGGTTATTTAAAACATGTATAACCGAACTCCGCTTAGAATCGTTTATCGTTCGCAATGATTAATCGTCCCCCTATACCTTCCCAACCTTCCCATCTACAACAATGGCCCACCTATTTTGTGTGGTATGTATGTCCATATCTTTTTTTATAGTATATGTTTAGATTAAATATTAATGGAAAATAATGGGTCCACAAATTAAATTTGCACCAAGGCCTATTCAATTTCGGCAACGGTAGTACCCCCTCCCCCCCGAATACGTCATGATGTTAATTAAATAGTGCGCAACGCTGATTACATTTGCATCAAATTACTATATTGCTAATAAGTATTATATATTCCAGAGACTACTCTATTTAATTGGCTTTATTGACGTTCGGGCCGAATGCTTCGCGGTTTGTAGTGAATTAGAAAACGCCTGTAACGGAATAAAATAAAAAACAAAAAAATATAAACATATAAAATGATGACGCACACATTCGCGGCTATCGCCGAAATTGCCGATGAACTACGTCATGTTGCAAGTAATATTATGTATATACGACAAAAATGTATAATTTGTGTTGACGACGCACAGTGATGTGAATTTACGTGGCACAAAGTCCCAGTTTTGAATATTGATTTTTAATTTTTAACTTTTTTTAAATTAATTATTCTATAGAATTATGGATGCAGAAAAAAACACATAAATTCAATGTTTATTTTTTTTTTAAACCAACGATTAATAAAAATGAATCTAAAAATATATGTATTTTTTTTGTTATCTATATTGATTCAAGTTATTAAGTTAGTAACAAAAAAAAAAAAAAAAAAAATGAAAAATCCTTTTGCTGAAATAAAGATAAAAATACAGAAATGTCTTTTTCAAAAGATTGCAGATTATTCAAATATATGCTTAAGAACATGAAATTCAATATAAGATTTCAGAGAATGTATAGAAAAAATAAAAAATCAGTATTCAAAACTTGAACTTTTTGTTATGTAATTTTACTATGCAGATCACTGTGTGACAGGGGACTGTATAAATCGGCAAAATAATACAATAAAAAAATATTGAGAAATATTATTTGCATGGAATGATAAAAACCAATGGTTTCTAGCCGTAACGAAACAAACCTAAAATAGTCGAACATACCGGCCCCGCTTCGTTCACCAAATCGAATATAAAATCATGTCGGGCTTTTAATAATAAACAAACCTCGATATGTTGTGCAAAACCACGTCGGGTAAAAGGAAAAAAAGTACTATATGAAAACGTCTATAAGACGTGAAGTTACAAAAAATATTTCAGATACTAGTGATGGATATTATTAATATTTTCTCGATTAATAAGCGTAATAACGTATATTTCCCTGCTTTTTATGCGACCCTAAAAGGTCACAACGACAAGTGTCGCGTATATAGACGTGAACATTAGTTGTGTTTTGGCGATTGACCTGATTATATACATTATCATACTAGGTTTTAGTTAATGGCTATAGATTCACGAAAACGATATGTTTACATGGTTATTAAAAATAAAGTGATAATATACATTAAAATTTTAAATTAATTCTTAGGTTTTAGAATTTATGTATTCTTTTATACTGTATATGGTAGTCATTAATTTCAGCAATAGTATTTTAAATTGTTCATAAAAATAATACCAGATTATGATAATCTCCACATACTTACATGCTTTTTGATACTGGTTTATTATTCTTTTGTTCCGAATTTTAAAAGTGTTTTTTTTTTTTTATTAACTTGTCTTTTAACATTCGCTAAACCAACATTTCGCTTAAATACATTTTTGGACATCTCAACCAAAAGAAAATTATAAAAAAAAAAGCCGTCCTAGGATAATGGGGTACAGCCTTTGTTATAGATAATTTAATGTTTACCCGTAAGCAACGTTTAACCATTGCTAACGAAAAAATGATTATAAGTGGAGTTTGGTTGATAGTGTTATTTTTTCAACAATATATATATATATCATGTTAAAATAATTGCATATGCATATGCACGGCTTATTGGGACTGCCGTCACCTAACAATTTTATTAAAAACAAACAGGGTTGGAACGTATAATACAGTAAAGTATAAAATGTTTTCTTTTTTTTACGGCTGCACTAAATAACAATTATCGATTAGATACTATAATTGTCAATTGATATTGATTAGTGATAATCGCAGAAATTTAATCATCATTTTTTAAATCTGTGGTTACAACCATGGCTATAGATTCTATACCATTAATTAAGTAAATTCTACAGTCTACAGCCCAATTAGAGAGGGTTTTATCAAATTGGTCTTATATACATAACAATTTGCGAAACAGATTATCTCCGGATCATTTAAATAAATTCTTAAGTGTATATTGTTCACTTAAAAACGGAGAAAAACATAACCAATCAAACGAGTATTAAATAACCTCAGATTTATCAAAGAATAAGACTTACTAAGAAGTAAAAAATATTACTGAAGAAGAATTAGCGAATTACCTAAGATATTATAATCGTATTATAATTATATAAACGATATTTGTGATAATTTGTTATATTAAGTACTAAGTTCATCTTTATTTTTTATTACTAACTACATTTATAATTCTAATATAAAAGAAGAAATACGTTTTGGTTTTTTATTTTATTCTAAATTCGACAAATGCACAAGTTGATGTGTTTTGTTATCTTGTTTTATTAATTAATAAGTATATACTTATTCAGATTTAAAATGTGCAGTATTATCACTATTATAATTTCAAAAAAATAAATGTATACTTTATACTCCTTATGTCTTTTAATCGTTAAAAAGTTTGATACGCGTATATTACTAACTCTGGTAATAAACTACAATTATTCGTTTTTTTTTTCTACGTATTTTATGATAGATTTTAACTTAAACTGTATTTAAAAATAAATTATGACATAACGTTCAACTTTTTATTTTACAGCTTAACTATAAATTATGATGAAACCGTCTCAAATTTCTTTATCATTTATATGAACCAACAAAATTGCATTCAAGTCAAACAAGTTTTCGACATTTTTAATAAATTATAAAAAAAATGAAATAATGAATAAAAGCGTTGTCCGGAGTATTAAGATATGTGTATGTACATTACACGTGTGTTATTTCGAAATAAAAATTCATCATCATGTAAATCACAAAGTTAAAAAGCAGTACGCGACTCGTGATACACATATTTTAATACTCCAGGCGATGCATTTATTCATTGATTTCTACTTATAAATTATTTATTTATATATTTATTTACGAGTATTGACAATTTAATAATTTTGTTTTTATTTTATTACTAGCTGTCCCGCGCCCGGCGTTACTCGTGCCAATTTTTAATTTTTTAATTTTGATTATTTTACCCGTATTCATTTTCTGTTTTGGCCGTGTCAAAATTGAATGAAAACAAATAGGCGGAAAGTGGGTAGTCCACCTTCGGCGGACTAAATGTGCTCAATGTAAAATTTGAATAGTGTAAATAATAGTAATAATAATAATTAAAATAGTTTTCTTTTCCGAAACACCAAGGTAACCCTTGAATAAACAAAAATAAATAAATAAGCAATTAGATATTCGTACCAAATATACCTAAAAACCCCTATTTACCCCCTAGGGGTTGAATTTTCAAAAATCCTTTCATAGCGTATGCCTGCGTCATAATAGCTATTTATGTGCCAAATTTCAGCCCGATCCGTTCAGTGGATTGGGTTAGGCGATGATGAATCAATCAGTCAATCAATTAGGACATGTTATTTTATATAACATATAGATTTTATTAATTATAAAGAAATTAAAAATCCCGGACTTTTCGAAAATTTTATCATGAATATGTTAATGTAATTAGATATTTAGTAAAAATGTTAGATTTTTACTATTATTTTTCACCAAATTACAATGAAAAATACAAAATCGATAACAAAAACCGTAATATTCCCATTTATCTGATGTTTTTCTCTGGTTTACCCCCCGCTATCGAGAAAAGTACAAGGGAAAAAACAACCGCCTCAATGCATAAAATAAAAAAAATATCCAATCAGAAATCACCACTAAAGTTGATAATTCGGTCGGATTATTGATACAAATACAAAGGCAAAATTTTGTTCACAAATTGTACGACATAATAATCACCTAAAGAAAGAAAATTCGAAAAATCGACTAAAACCTTTTTTCCCTGAAATCAAAGATATACTAATCGCAGTATAGTCATTATTTCGTGTTTGGACGGAATACTGCTGTGATAAGTGTGGAATGATTATTATTTTATTAGAATTTATACATAAGAGTTTTGAACGTCAAATGGTTCAAATCGTTATTTTTTATTATTTTTTTATTTTAACACGGCCAATGGGTGGGGAGGAGGACCGAGTCTCCACATAGTTTAGCTCATCTATGTATGAGGCAACTCCGGTTTGAAATCTCATCGTGTCCCGTTTATAAATCGCCTTATTTTAACCGTCATCGCGATAGTATCCGCGTCAAATATATACACTGATAATCTATGGGACTATGTACTATATGAAGGTGTCCGCCGTTGTAAGTAGCGTAATAAAATACAATCTATAGAATCTCTTACAACCGCTAGAAACACAAGAAGGCGAATGCTTTTTTAATGCACGAGAGTCGATTTATACGGCGGTCGTGAATTTATGGAACAGTGCGCACGACGAAACGCGACGTTCTGTGCATTTCGCACTCGAGGTACCTATACCTATTCGCCAGTCGTCTAAATATGGTAATGCAATTTAGTAAATGCGGGTAGGTACCTATACTACACGACGTAGCAGAGAAATGTCGGGGTGACAAACGACGGTACGCGACGATATAACCCAGAAGAAATCACACCGCTGGAAACGTCTCCTAAATAATAATACATAAAATATATAGCCGTTACGGGCCAATCCGATCGAACCCGACCGACGACGTGTCCCATGTGAATTTAAAACTTTATAACCAAACGGTGTGGCGGCGGAGAGGGGAGGGAAGGGGAACCGAATGCGGACTATTGATTTTGTAACGGTCTTTTTCCCGAACGTATTCACCGTCCGAGCTCCGAAATATTATGACAAAAAAAAAAAAAAAAAAAAACCACAGCCGGAACCAAAACGTACGTCACATTAAAATTAAATTTATGGCAAGTTTTCAGCACACATGCTAAGTTGCACGACAATAATATACATGACCATAGTGTTTTGTATCAATGAACTTACTTGTAAGAGACTGACGAGGCCGGCAACGTTTTCGATCCGGCGGTAGCGTCGTCTTCGCGGCTGGCCGAGAATTCCGGAGCCCATGGCGACGTGCTGGTAATGTTGGCGCTCCGGCACATGTTGACGACCACGATTTCGTCGCGGGCGCAACATTTGTGCACGGTAATCGCGGCGGCGTCGACGCTTTCGGCCGCTGCGGCCACCGTGTGCTGTAAGCCGGCCGCGCACTCGTGCACTAGCGTCAGCAAGAGGAACGACGACGCTGCTGCGAGTAACATCAAGGGCGCGCCGCCGGGAAGTCGGGGACGCCAACGCGTCATAATGGTCGTCCCGTCATCACGGTGGACGGCGACCGGTGCGCTTACGCAACGGTACAGCGATTTTACAACGGCAACACCGAAATCTGCGATCTCGGGCGGCGACGTCAACGGTCTTCGCGCGTAAACAGTAGTAAAAAGAAAGAAAATCTAATGGAGCGTTCAGAGCGAACCGGACGCGCGCGCATGCATTCGTGTCGCTCCGTGAAGCGGTTGTGTCCGTGAGTGCGCGCACGCAGGCACACGCGGCGGCGCCCGAGCCGGTCTGGTTAATATTATTTTTTTTTTTTTTGCCCAGGTGGGTTTCATCGTTCTGTTGTCTGTTGCCTTCTGTAGAAGTGGCTCATTGGAGTGGCGGCGGCGGCTGTAGTTTTTATTTTTTTTCCTTGTCGAGTTGGAGGGGAACCCGCCGCCGAGTGGTTCGGTTCGGTGCCGGACGCACGCGCACGAACCCGTCGCCGCGTCGCCGTGATGTAGTAGGCATACCTACTGTACATTACGTACCGCGTACTCGTCGCGTATATTTCCGTGTCGCCGGAACTGCGCGCGATGCGATCTACCTACACCGGGTGACTCAACAAGAGAGAGGAGGTGTACGGGGGGGTTTATAATGCCCTCGAAATTTGAGATTTCCCCTACGAATACCACGCATTAATTTCTATTGTAATTAGTATTATCATATTAATTTCTATCAAATAATAATTATTGGTGATTTTCACGATTTCACGATTTTCGCAAGGCTTTTGGATCCAGTCATAATTTTAACGGAATTTTTTTTTTTCGGAAATACTTATTTTGTCAGTAATTACAATACTCAAAAATTATCAGATCGTACATTGAAAGATGCGAATTTTTCGGACCGCGGTACTTTATTTGAAACATTTTTCTAGATCCCCATCAGATGTTTAGATAAACAATTTCCAACAAGTGACGATACATTGGTTCTATTTTGTTGATTTTTGGGTTATTTCGATCACACAGGAAAAAAGACACGACCGACATCTTATCAAATTACCGAGCTCTTTGCCCATTATTATTAGTACTAAATTACTACACCGTTGAGAATCCTTCTTCGATTGTGATGATTTATCGTTGCAAAAAGTATATAAACTAAAATTCAAGCTGTATATCGTATACCTTCCCAAGTATCCACCTTGAAAAATAGCCTGCCCGTAAGCAGTCACATATTTTAGAAATTCATACGGCGCTCTTCCGAAAATTAATCCTGCTTTCGCCACTGATTTTTACGAGAATACCGTATTATTGTAATCAAAGTTCGGATGTTATATAGCTGTGTGAAACATAAAAGGGGGAAAAACCACTAAAGGACTTACAAAAAAAGTATTAAAAACCAGTACCAAACGACCGAAAATTTAACGTTATTTTCGTTTTTAATCCGCGTACCATAGGAGCAAAAAAAAAAAAGCTGATACTGCTGAAAGGTGTGGTTGCTGTTGTAGGCGGAAGTTAGGGAGGTAGGATACATACAAATATTTAATTTATACCTGTAAGCAACAATAAACCATTGCTAACGAAAAACGATTCAGAGCGAAGTTCAATGATACATGTTTTGAAAGGCCGTAATATTTACGATTGTCGACAAAATTTAATTTTAATACGTTTATGAAAAAAAAAAATTAACCAAACTCAAATTGGTTTTTATACCACCAAGAAAAACATATTATGTACCGTATGTTAAATTTTCAAGCATTTCTCTTAAGTCATATAATGTTAATAACAGATATTAATCAATGTCCATTGCAATATTTCCTGAGATAATAAAAATAATCAAATTCAGTGTTTTATATTTCTCAAAAGTGTAAAAATTACATATATGAATTAAATTTTTGTGGTTTGGTAAAAAAACTAAAAAATAATTATTGATTTATTATTTTCGAAAATTTGCAGAACTATTTTACAGAGTTTATTCTTATGAACATTTTTACGTATTAATTATAATTATAATTTTATTAACTTGAATGTATTTTATTGTATAATATATTATACATAAATAATATATTAATATTTTAAACAATTTAAGTACCGATTGGCCGTTTTACTATGGTTTTTTTTTTGTTTCTGTGAGCGAATTTTTTACCAGGAAATTTGCTTCGATCCAAAAATGACAAAAATCGTTTTTGTGTTTTTATTTCAATTTTAATCGAGATGGAAAATTTACAAAATAAAGCTTTTATTATTTTCAATTTTTTTTTTTAGATTCTGAGCGGACGAGGAATGTATTGGTTTTACAATGTTTATTTAATTTTTTTTCAACTGTGGAGAACTTTTCTACCAGCAATTTTGTTCCGATTTTCAATGATAGCAGTTTTTCTAAAAGAAAATCAGATTGGGGAGGACGTTAAGGAGGTCATTTTTGATTTTCTCAGGAGTTTTCCCAATAAATGAGAAAAACCGGGAAAAAACACAGAAAAATGAACGAATGTAGATATTACTCGTAGTGAAAAAATATTACTGCCTTTTTTAAACCTGTAAACAACCTTTCTACCATCAATTTTGTTGTGATTTACAATGATAGCACTATTTCTAAAAGGAAATCTGACTGGGGAGGTATTTGAAGGTCATTTTTCGATTTTCCCAGGGGTTTTTTTAAATAAATGGAAAAAATTTGGAAATACGAGAAATTAGGTACAATATTAAGCAAATATCATTAAAGAAACTATATTACGCATATGTAATTATTTTAATATGATATGATATATATATATATGGTTGAAAAAACAACACTATCAACCAAACTCCGCTCAGAATCATTTTTTCGTTAGCAATGGTTAAACGTTGTTTACAGGTATACATTAAATTATCTATAACAGAGGCTGTACCCGTTCCCATTATTCTAGGACAGCTTTTTTTTCTAATTTTGTTTTAAACATTCGTAAAGACTTGACATTTTGACAGATAATTTATATTAGCTTTTTCTAGACGTGATGAAATTTTCCAAACATTTAAGCCAGCTATTTTCATTTTGCGATTTGTTTAAGTAATGTTTATTTGTTAGGTATATAATTTGGATAAAATTGTTAGACTAAACAGAAATACTGGAACAATTTATAAGAGGTTTGTTATAAATCGTATTTAGAAGTAACACAAAAAAAAAAAAAAAATGAGTGTAATGTGGTGGTAGTCTTTATTAGAGTTTTAAAATTAAAGGTTGACAAAAATCGTGAATTCCGGCCTTTCAAAACATGTATAACCGAACTTCACTCTGAATCGAGTTAACAATGATTTACCATTGGTTACGAGTATAAAATTAAATAACTTTTAAGTATCTCTAAGGTATCTTACCTTTCCGATTTCCTACCTACAACAGTGGCACACCCGTTTTTATATTCTATTTTATATGTTACATGTTAAAATCATTTTATTTAGAATATTAATTAAGGTGTTGCTCGATACACTGTAAGTCAAATAATTTATATCTGTGACGGCGATGATAATCGACGTTATTTGAAATCGATTTTAATTTCGTTCGTTTTTAAATGTTGTTTGTATTACGTTGCTGTGGCTGTGAAATGGTTATAAGTAATAAAAGTATGTTATTATTGAGACTGTGGTAAACACAAAGGATCGGCATGAAAGCTTTAAAAGCGCGCGCGTTACTTTTGTTCGACAAACTGTATAGCCGTCCTACGTTGTATGTTATTCTATAAAATGATGCTCTTTTAATTTTTGTATCCTCGTTTTATTTTCTATTGTTTTCTATAATATCGTCGTATATTATTTATGTTAGGCACTTAGTATATTAGTATAGCGACGATTATAACGACATTTTTGAAAAATATATGTACATTAAGAGGATGTGAGCAATACCCGCATTCGCTGTCTTCGTCATATAAACACATGGAATACCTTATTTCCGTTCAGTAGAGAAATGACGTTGTGCCATTAGTTTTTATATTAGAGTGAATTGACCGAATATTATCAAACTTAAAGTTAAAAACATTGAATGTGTTTATACGTTGGTTTATTTTGATATTTTAAAATATAAGTATTTTTAAACTGTGATATTTCACACACATCCGTATCTGGCTTAGAAATTGAATTATCGAACAAAACCTACGCTCAAATTAGAATATAATGTTCTTACTCTAAAGTTTGCTAACAGGCACATTTAACTCTAATATTAAAACATACAGTACAAAATTGTTTTGATTTTTACCAATTATTAAATTGACCGCAAGGAAAATTACCTCTCTAATCAATGACGTAAACTGGGGGGTTACATGGGGTTGAAATATTTACGACCCTTGAAAATATCATAGAATCACAAGAATATTTGTTTGTGGCCCACTTAAGTACTTTTATGTAAAAAAATGGCTATTTGAGCTTCTAGAAAAGTTGTTACAGGTATAAATTGGAACAATTTTACTAGGAAAAAACGTTTACGCAGACTAGAAGAAGAAAGAAAAAAAAAGAAATAAACATCTTAGTAAAATCAAATATTAGTAAAACTCCCTCACTACGCTAGTAATCTAAAATCCGAACATTTCAAATAGGTACTTATTACCTTATAACCTTTTTACCTTCATACCTTATTTATAGCGTATATTTAATATTTCATATTTCATAATAAATAATTACATATTTTATATATTAGTTGTTAAAATAATTTTGTTGAGATTAAGTATGTATTTAAAATGTCCAATTTAGAATATAATACGATGATGGCTAAAGTTCCCCACGAGTTAGATTGCGGTACAAATTGTTTGCAATAGTTTTATTACGTCTAGAAAAAGTAAATATAAGTTTTCTGTAAACATTTTAAATCTACGAATATTTCAAATAGAATAACATTTAAAAAACAAAATTTAAAACAAAATAATTATTTTCGTAAATTATCCTGTTTTTCTAATTCTCTAATTTTTAAAGTTCTCTAGAAAATAAAAAATTGCCACCCTAATGTACCTCCCCAGTCCGATTTACTTTTAAAAAAATTGTTACATTTAAAAATCGGAGCAAGATTTCTGGTAGAAAAGTGGCGTTCAGATAAAAAAAAATTTGTACAACCATAAGCTTCTTCGTTTCACTCAGAATTTAAAATACAAAACACACATCATTGTATAACCAATAGATCGCTCACTACGGTCCGAATCTAAAAGAAAAAGAAAGTTATTGTTAGAAAATACGGAAAAACACAATTCATTTTTTTTTTTTATTCAATAGTTACTGTGCAGTTACTATGCATGGATAAAACTGT